CGTGCATAATCAAATAAATAGATAAATAATTGCAAAAAATTTAAAATAAAAAATTACTCAGAAAATTGCCATAAAATAATTTCTTCTAAATTTAACTCTACGTTCATCAAATGAAACGGAATTAATTATTCTAACGGAAGAATTAGGAAATCATTTTATCTAATATCATTAGAAAAATGTAATGATGCAAAGAATGAATAATTTTATTGAAAGAGGGAGAGAGAGGAAGTTTAAGATTGATGGTCTGATATCTTTAAAAGTTCATGGAATGGTTTTAAATATGTTACATTAAAGAATAGATAAATATATTTGACACACGTGTAGCCCTTCGTTCATAAAATGCCGCTAAATGTCCGATAAAATTTATTTTACGCAATAAATTTGATTACTTGTTAACAAAAAAAAATTATATACATAAAAAAATACATAAAATCATAATACCTAATAATAAAAACAATAAAGCTAGTTTTCTCTGTCAAAAGAAACAAAAAATTTCCCCCTACACAATTAGAAAAGCCAATAAAATCTCGAGAAGCTAATTAGCTTTGATGAATTTAATGAAAAAAATTATACAAGCGCTTCTAAACAAAATATTCAATTAATTAAGATAACTAATTTTTCCTATTACCCTTTCTTTGAAACTTTCATTCAAAACGATTTTTTCACTTCATTTTTCTAATAAAGAAAAGTATAATTGAAAAAACAACTCGGACGTAAAAGCTTTTTTGAAAAGTATAAGTTTACATTTTTTAAAAAATTGTTTTAATTTTATTTCTTTCACTCAAATTTAAAAAATTTTATTTTTTAAATAGTTCTTTACTTAAAATATAAAAAAGTAAAAAATTATATAATAATAATTTTTTGTTTTTACTAACGTTTCTATTTTCATTCACTTAAATATTATTTGAATTTAATTTTTTTTACACTTAAATTATATTTTATTATTTTATATTTTCAGATTCAAATTTAAAAAATTCACTTATTGAATTCAACTATTTTAAAGACAATTTTAATAAAATTCTTCGAAATAATTTAATTATTTTTATAAATAGTAAAATTCTTCTCAGGAATTCGATTACTAATTTTAAATACAATTGTTTAAAAATTCTTCTCATGAATTCAATTATTTTTATAAACAATAAATTTCTTCGTATGAATTCAAGTATTTTCAATAGAATTTTTTTAACATTTCTCCAAAGAATTCAATTATTTTCAAAAATAATAATTATGGAAAAAATTCAATTATTTTGCAAAAATAATAATTATGAAATAAATTCAATAACTTTCTAAAAAAATTTCATAACATTCAATAATCAAATTCTTAATTACAATTATTAACTTACACGATTATTTTAAACAGTTAAAAGGAATTCATGGTAAAATTCCAAAATTTTTAATGAAAATTATTTTTAAAAAACTATTATTTTCAAAAAATTCGAAGAAATTATTCGAAGGAATTTAATTACTTACGAAAACTCAATCTAATAAAATGGTTGAATAGAATATTTAATTTTTTATCGATAATTTTAATCAAATTTAAGAATATTATTATCTAACAAAACAAAATCAATTATATTAAAAAAATTTAAGAAATTCTTCGAAAGAATTCAATTAATTTCAATATTTTAATAAAATTTCTTAAATGCATTAAATTATTTTAAAAAATTGTAATAAAATTCTGAGAAGAATTTAATTATTTTTCTATAAATTTTAATAAAATTCAATAATCAAATGTTTAATTGCAATTCTTAACAAACGCGATTATATTTAAAATTTGAAATAAATTCTTCAGAAAATTCAAAGAAATTTTTCAAAACAATAAAATTATTTTCAATAATAATTTTAAAAAAATTCTTTGCAAGAATTCATTTGTTTTATAATAAAATTCTTCTCGAGAATTTAATTTCTTTTTAATACATTAATTTTAAAATTGAAAACATTTAAAAAGAAAAATTATTAAAACAAAATTAGGAAAAAAATTTTTTTTAGCATTTCTGCTTTGCAACTTGTACTATTTTCGAAGTAAATTACGTTCGAAGTTCATTTTTGTAAAATTAATCAAATTTAGCAAAATTTACTCCGAAAGTCGTGAAAGTGGACAGAAGTTCTAGTTTAGGCTTTACTATAAAAGTGAAAAAAGTTACTTTATTCGTTTTTCCGTGAATGAAAGAATAGAGTTTTTTTTTATTGTTAGAAGAATATTTATTTTAATTAAATTAACTAATTTTAATTATTAATTTTTTAATGAATCAACTGATTTTTTTATTATAAAATAATAATAATGCAAATTTTTTGTTTTGACTAAAACAAATTTTTCAAAATGAAATTTCCTTGAAAAAACAGACAAATAATGTGATTGAATTCTCGAAAAAAAAGTGACTTAATTAAATTCGAAGATAATTGAATTTCTTAAAATTTGAAAACTTCGATAACACTGGACCAAAGAAGAGTATAAAGTGTGATATCATTATCTATTAATAAAGACGAGTTACAAAATTCATATTACGATTCTTATTCTAATGAATAATGGGAAATTAAATTTTTCGCACCCAATGTTAATTATTGTCCATGTTATTAAAAATGATGGATATAAATTAATTTTTTTCTTCACAGATGGAATAAAAATAATGAAGAAGAAGAAGAAGAAAAGAGACACGAGGCAAATATGAGAAAGAAGGAGTGTTGATGATCTCTAGGAGTCTGGTGCCAAGCTGGCTGCACGCGAAGGGGCTCGTCATCAACATCAGCAATTTTCTTGTTGCGGTGGGGGCTTCAAGTTTATAAGACACGAGAGTCGTCTTCTTGGGCCAATAGTCGCGAAACAGTTATTCAACAGTGAATATTTTTTTTGAAAAAAAAAGAATTCTATTTCTTTTCTTTTGAAATTAAATTTGGTTCAAATCAAAGAAGATACGTGAGAAAAGTTTGTTCCCATTTCTTCAGGAGAAAAAAGAAGTTTCTTCAATACAAAATTTGTTGAAACCGATAAATTAGTTGAGAACGAAAAAATAGTTAAAACCGAAAAATAAGTTTAAACTAAAAATTTAGTTTAAGGCGAAAAATAAGTTTAAACCAAAAAGTTGGTTTAAACTTTAAACTGAAAATTAGTTAAAACTGAAAAAAATCGTCTTACTGGATAAATAAAATTGTGTACAACAATTTTGGAAAAATACGATTTTTTCAAAAAGTTACTCTTTGAGTAACTTTTTTGTTTTTGAAACGTCGAAACAACAGGCGGAGATATGACTTAAATATAAAAAATAAGTGTGTTTTCGTTTAAAAAGACTGTAAAATACTTTCAAAACAGTTCAGTGCTAAGTTTTAATTAATTAATAAACGTTTCATCAATTCTTTCAATAAGGACAATTTCAAGATTCTCCACTGTTTAAACTCGAAAAAACGTGAGTTGAAAAATATTTAAATATCAAAATAAATTTCCTGACATTTTCAAAATACTAAGCGATTTGAAATTTTAAAGATAATTCCTATAAAAATGTTCCTTTCATAAATATTCAGTATGTTTAATAATGAAATGTATTTAATTACTAAATATTTATAATAATAATAATAATAAATTTAATTACTAAAAACTGAATATTTAATTACCAAAAAAGTATTAAAGCCATTAAACTAATTAAAACTATTAAAACAATTATATTAAATATGTACATTTTTACTATAATCTTTAACATTAAATTAAATAATAAATATATTAAATATTTATTATTTAATTTAATAGGTATTAAACCTATGTACGAAAAAATATTTAGTTTAATAGTTTAGAAAATAATGCTAATGATAAAAATAGTAGTAAATTTACATTTTCTGGAATAATATTTGCAAATATTTTCGCGAAAAAGTAAATTTACTCTTTCGCTTTTACGATTATATTTGTTTAGTCGAAAGAAAAAGAGAAAGAGGGTCTCTTCCATAGTTTTCTCCGCACGGTTTTTACTTTTTCTTTTTCCATAATAAATTAACAGATAACCCTGCAAAAATCTTTACAAACGTGATACCCGCGAATCTACCAGACAAACTTGATTAATGAATGTTTTTATTATAACGTATTTTGCTTGTCATTAAGGCAGCAGCCCTTGCTAATACATTTCAAATCAAACTTGACTGACAGATCGATTTTGAAATCGAAATTCAATAAAATATTTAAGATCACAAGATAAATAATTTCTAAACAAATAAACAACTAAGTCTTTATCTATTCGACAATTAAATCGAATTGACAAAAAAAATATTTCATTTTCGTCAATGAATAATTTTTTCCACTGTTAGTAAATAAAGAAAATTTAGAAATATACAAACAAGATATCAATAATAAAGAAACAATTAACGTCGCGAGTAAATTGATTATCACACGGAAAATGGCAAGAATCCCATTAATGTTTTACGATTGGAAAGAAAAAATATTTCGTATATGTATAGTTATGCGAGTGCCATGCGCTATGTCTGACAATGATTCATTCTGGTTTATTCCTCTTTACTGGTCGCGAATTGATAAAAAGTGCAAATCAATTGTTTCGCTTATTTCATAGTAATTCTTATAGATAATTTTCCAATCTCTTACTCTCAGTCTCTTCAACTTTTATCGCGCTTGAAAGAAAAAAAACATAATCCGTTCACAAGAAAATTCTTATTTCGAGAATGATACGAGAAACTAATTTTTCACAATTAATTTTAAAAGAAAAGTAAATCAATATTAACATTATTTTTTCTAAATTATTAATTTATCAAATTTTAATATTCTTTTCCTGACTGAATTAAAAAAAAAAAAAAAAAAATATTTTCCTTCTCTTTTTTGTCATTGTTTTGTATCACTTTCTTTTCCTGAGTTGATTGAAAAAAAAGAAGAAGAAAAGAGTTAAAAAAGAAATTGATAGAGAACCCTCGACCGACATTGATTTTTTTTCTTAGAAATTCTGAGTAAATAATGAGTTAACGAACTTAAGAGATAATTTAATAGTATTAAAATGAAATTAAAATCTTACCTCCCGTTGAACCTTTAGTGAACATTCTTTTCAAGATAGCAGTTTTTTCCGTATATGCACTCACATCAGTAATGGAACAGCAAATTCGTCGAAATTCTCGAAACATATCGTCCTTAGATGGTTTTTTCTCGTCACTTGATTTGTCCACAATTTTAATTTCCTCGTCTTTCTCAATTTTTCCCGTTTTCCCTTTCTTTGGAGATTTCGCTTTTGGTTTCTTTTCATTTGTCGTTGAAGCTTTTTGCGGTTTCGCTCCCTTGAAAGGCGCTGTTGAAAAAAATTATACAGTTCAGTATTTCATTATAACAAACAATAATGATAATAATAAAAAAAAATAGAAAAACAAAAAATTGGGTCACTAAAAAAGACGATTCCAGAAAACGGAGGTTTTCGAATTTTTCGAGATGCTGCTTTAAATTTAGATCACCTATTTTGAAAATGCTCCTGGGAAAAATTATTCTACAAAAATTTAATGCCCATTGCGTGAGGAATATCTCAAGTCCATAAAACTTCGAGACGCATGCGGAAATGTAACCCAAAAACGAGTTAGACTTTCTAATAATAGCAACTTTTGCGCATTAATGAAATATTTGTCTATTCTAATGAGAAATTTTGAGTGAAAGTCACACGTGTTTGTTAAAAACCACTTCTAGTCCAACAAATAAATAAAATACTCACGACAATTAGATCATTTCAAATTAAACGTCACACCACTTTTAACAGGCATCGAGTTCTCTCGATTTTATAGAATAAAAAAAAAAAAAAAAAATGTTTCCATAAATTTAAAACATTAACTTACAAAAAAAATAATCTAAACAAAATTCTAAACCTAAAGAAACAAAAATTACTAAAAGAACTAAACTATAAAAAAATTCGAAACCTAAAGAAACAAAAATTTATAAAAAAACTAAATTTAAAAGAAATTCGAAACTTAAAGAAACATAAATTTATTAAGAAACTAAATTTAAAAAGAAATTCGAGACAAAAATTGATAAAAAAAACTAAATTTAAAAAAAGATTCGAGACTTAAAGAAAAAAAAATTAATAAACAAAAAACCGAAGTAAAAATAATTAAAAAAATTTTGGAGTGTAAAGTATTGTTAAAAGAAAAAAATTTACTATTTTCGTTGAATTCCTCGAGTTTCTTGAGGACCAGTTTCTTGTCCTCTTCGTCGAGTTCATTCCAACCGCTTATATCTTCCTCGGGATCATCAATTCTTTTAGTCGTCGCTCTCTGTTTAGCGAAAACCTCAAACAAACAGCTCACGTGATGCCAACTTTTCATTGTTCCATCGCCAAATGGATTTTTCATAATTTTCGCCAATCTCACGCAATCTTTATCAATCGGGCATTTACATTTTTTACACTTTGCTCTGCCAGTTTTCGCTCGTTCCACTGCAAATGGTTTCTGCTGTTCCTCCTCAATTTCATCGTCCATTTTTCTTCACTAAAAGAGAAAACGAAAAACATTAATTTAATTATAAAATTAATTAATTTAATAATAAAAAAACTAATTAATTTCTTAATATTATAATTTTTTGGCTTTTTGCCAAAGACAAAAAAATAGTAAATTAAACAGTAAACTAAATAGTAAGTTATATTTATGATGTTTTGGTTGTTTGGATTTAGAAATTTTAGTTTATATGTAATTTTTGTTTAAAGTAAATCCATGATCTTAGTAAATAAAAATATAGTAAATTAAATAGTAAATAAAAAAATAATAAATTAAATAACTAAACTCGCTAAGTTATTAACTAACAAAATTATCAATTATTTGCAAAATTAATAAAAATAGACTAACTAAACAAAAAAAAACGAATAATAGATAAATGATAAAATGATGTTAAATAACAAGACGTTTTTATTTACTATTATGAAATAATAATTAATGAAAAAAAATGTTTTTGATTTTTATTCGTCTTGGAAAAATTAAATGAAATAAACATCAATTTCACATGTGTTCTCGTTCTCAACAACGAATAGTTTAACTACGCAACTGATACCTCAACACAATACTTATACACAAACAGAGAATATCATTTCTGTTGTGACGCATTTCATTGATCAGAATATCGAAAGAAAAAATGAAAGTCAATTTTACTCCACAAATCGGGAAAGAACGCGAGAGATAAAAGAAATTCCGATTCACTTCTAACAATTAATCAAGAAAACCAGATTTTCCTTTTAATTTTTCAAAGTAACGCAAATTTTACACTTTTCGCACAAAACTTTTTTAAACTAATTGTTTTAAACTAATTTTTTTAGAATTATTTTCTTAAAAATAATTTTAATTACTGAAATTTTTATCACTTTTAATCTTACGTTAAATTTTGACAATTTGCGAATTTAAATTATTTTAAAAATATTTTCCACTTTTCAAAATTTATGGATTTCAAATTTTTCTCTTTTAAATAAAAATAAATTTTTAAATTAGTTTCTTGCACTCTAGAATATATAGAGTAAGAGATATAAAATCAAGTGTCTGACTTTATACTACTTGGTGATTTGTTCATTTCAATATTTTATTTCCAAACAAATGATGAATAGTAATAAAAATATTGTTACAAGAATATTATTATTTTTCTTTTTGTCACGGTTTTTACGAATGCATTTTTATTATCATCGGCAGATACAACTGGCATTTATTTTCCACGCAGATTAATTAATTAGAAAAATTGATTCGAAGAAACGGTCTTAAGTCCATTGTATTGTATTATTGATAGGAAAAAAAAGTGTAATAACATTTGAAATTGGAATTAAAAAGAAATTTTTAACCCGAGCGATTACTTAATTTTAAATAACAAATTTATTTAATTATTCAATAAATATTACGAGCAGTTTATTTGAAATTTGTCAAAAGAGAAAAAATAAAAACCGTTCAAATATAAACATCTTTGGAATAATTCAATTATTTTTATTTATATGTAATTAAGGATTCAATTATTTCCTAAAATTTTGATAAAATTCTTCGCAAGAATTAAATTATTTTTATAAATGTAATAAAATTCTTCGCAGGAATTTTAATAAAATTTTCTCGAACAGGTTCAATTATTTTCAGAAATTGTAATACAATTTTTCTAAAGAATTCAATTATTTTAAAAATTTCCAATTAAAATTGTTTTTAAAAAAAAATTACATTATTTTCAAGAAATTTAAAGAAATTTTTCAATAAAATTATTTACGAAAACTCTAATAAAATTTTTTGACAGAATTTAATTTTCAATTCAATAATTTTAATAATATATTTAATAATAAAAATATTAACAGTTATTAATAAACACGATTATTTTAAAAAGTTAAAAGAAATTCTTTAAAAAATTCAATTACTTTCAAAATTTCCAAAAAAAATTTTTTAAACAATTCCATTATTTCCAAAAAATTTAATTATTTTCCAATAAATTTTCAATTATTCAATAATTTAATTTTTAATTACAATTATCAACATACACGATTATTTTAAAAATTAAAGAATTCAATTTATTTCAATAAAATTTCTCGATTGAATCCGATTATTTAAAAAAATTATAATAAAATTCTGGGAAGAATTTAATTATTTTCTAAAACTTTTAATAAAATTCAATAAACAAAAATGTTTAATTTCAATTATTAACCATCACGATTATATTTAAAGTTTGAAATAAATTCTTCAAAAAATTCAAAGAAATTTTTACAAATCAATGGAATTATTTCAATAATATAAATAATAATAATAATTTTGTGCTAAAAATTGAAAAATAAATGAAAGTTCTCTCAGCTGACAAAAAAATGTATTGTTTGCAAATTACTAAATATTATAGATCAGAAAATTATTGTTAATAGCAGTAAAAATAAAAATAAAATACTATATTTCCAATTATGACTAAATTTATAAAATAGTTAAAAATTAAATAACATAAAAAATGGCAATCAATAATAAATAAATTCATAAAAAATATAAAATAATAATTTTTAAGTTTTACTTAACTTCTAAAAGTTGAAAGTTGAATAAAATAAAAAATGTCGTTCAATAATAAATAAATCCATAAAAAATGCAATAAAAAAAAAAAATTTCTAATTTTGTCTATAATTCAAAAAGTTAGAATTTAAATAATAATAGAATTGAAATTAAATATTAAACTATTTTTTGACGTACATTAAAGAAGAATGTTGCCTGAATAATAGAGAAATAGACACTAAAAAAGAAGTGAATGAAAGAAACACGCGAAGAAATGATGACACGTGTGAGAAAGAGTGGACACTTTCCTCGTGTCTCGATACGTCTGTAGGTGGTTTACGCGGTTAGGTGGCGAGACCACCCTTAAATGATCGTTCCTACAGGTGGTAGGAGAATAAAAACGAGTGGTGGAAATTCTCGCGGGGTATAAGAGAAAACTATCAGCCCTCTCGGCTCATTCTTTGGTCAATCAGCATTCCCAAAAAGTCCCTTAACTTAAAAATTAATTTTCAAACTTTCAATTTGAAAATTAAACAATCGTTGATTAAGTGAGTGAATATTAATTACCAATTGTTGTGAACCACTGGATTTTGCAACAGGTAGGAGAATCTGAAAAAGAAGAATTTAACAATTAATTTTCTTCCTAAATATACTTATTTATTTTTCTTTCTTCTTTTATTTTCTTTTATTCTTTCTTTCTTTCTTTCTTTATATATTGTTCTTTCTTTTTATTTATTATTTCCTTTTATTTCATAAACATTTTTTTATTTTTTTTTAATTTAATTAATTTTAATTATTTTCTAAAAACATTTTTCTTTTCGAAAATAGTGATTTCTAAAGTGAAAGTGTCTTAAAAGTATAAATAAAAAGAAAATAGATTGTGAGTGAATAGGAATCAAAAGAAAATTATAAGAAACTTTATCAAAACGATATTCAAATAAAAATAAATTTACAGTGTTGGTTAAATAAATAAAAGTGTCTATATAAAAATTAATGAAGTGGTGCTTTTTTATTCTATTTGTGAGAATTTGAAACAATAAAAGAAAGGGTAAACAAAAGTTTCAAAATATCGACCTAAAGGATAATAATAAAATCGATGAATTTCTATAGAAATTTTCTATAAGCAAATTGCCAATAAAAATTAGGAAGTGTTACAAAAGAATAATATATGCGGTGTCTATTAGTTTCAAAGTTCAAACGAATACTAAGGAACATTTCACCTGTCAGGATAATAAAAAAAAACTATTCTTCCCTCTACGGAACATGAAAATAACTAATCATAAAGACAAAAACTTAAAAAAAATAATAATAATTCACAACTATTTAAAATTATTTCAATTTTCAAATAAATAAATAAATAAATTTAATATTTAAACTAAACTAATATTATTAACTACATTAAATTAATACTATTATTAAATTTAATTATTAAACTAAGTAAAATTAAATTACAATTAAAATCGTAAAATAATAATAACGTTCACTAAATAAATAATACAAAAAAGTCAAAATAAAATACCTACAAACAATTTTTTTTAATTAAATTATTTTTTATTATTAGATATTAGGTATTTTCTATTTTTATAAATTTAAAGAAATTATTATAACACTCGAAAATAGAAAACAAGGTAAATTTTATGCAGTTAATTGTAAAGAAAAAATCTAAGAAAAAAATTTTTCTAAAATTTTGAACGTTCAAATGAACGAATTTTTTTTCTTTTTAAATATTTTTTCAAAAGAAAAATAATAAAAATTAAATTTTTTCTTACTTCAGAATTAATTTTTTATTGAATAAAAGAATTTCATTTATAAAAAAAATTAAAATTAAAAGAATTAACAAAATATCGTCGTTCATTTTAACGTAGAACAAAATTATAAGTACGACACTCGACTTTGATTTCTAATAAGGAATCATTTAAGAATTTTCTAATTTATCAATTTAGTATTAAATTAGTATTAAAAATTAGTAAATTAAATTATAATTATATATATTATTGAAACAATAATATGAATTATTCGGCGGAAAGTATAATATTTCATAATAACAATATTAACAATTAAATCAAATTGCAAAGAACATAGATTTCCCCCATATCATCTATAATCGACAATTTTATTGGACACGTCAAAAATATTTTTCCAATTCCAATAAATCCAGATGTATTATTGATAGAACAAATTCGTGTGTAAAATAAAAGAAGACGAGCATCAAAGTTTTACCAATTCTTTTTAATAATTCTCTCACGTTTCCGAGATTAAGATTCGACTTCACCAAAGATCGCTGACTTCATCAATAATTTATACAGTTTCTTTTGTGAAAGAAAAAAAAATCATGTATCACAGATCAAAAGTCTGCGAAAGTAAGAAAAAAGTTTTTCGTATAATTTGCATAAAATATTTTAAACTGATTATTTCAATTAACAATTAATAATTGTACTAATTATCTCAATTGAAAATTAAATTTTTTAATTAAAAATATCACTTGGAATAATTCATATTATTGTTTCTAATAAATATGTATAACAGAGACTTTCACGAATAATTCTTTTCTTAATAATAATTATATAGAATGTAAAACCCTTTCAACCCTTTTAGTACTTTATTATTAAAAAATAATAAGAAAATATTAAATAAAAATAAGTAAGAAAATAAATATTAAAAATTGTATTTTACAATTATCTAACTTTATAATTCCATGGCTCTTTAATTAAAAAATATTATTCGCGAGAAAAAATTATAAAACACGTAACTCACGAAAATAAATTTAAAAAGACCTTCATCTGAAATATTTTTTAGGCTAATTGAAATTAACAATCGATTTTTTAAATTTTGTCACTTATTTTAAGCCAATTTAATTACAGTTACAAAATCGTGATTAAAAAATAAGAAATTAAGCAAATTTTTTAATTTTAAAAAAAAGTACCTAAAAATAAATAAATGAAATAAAATCAATAATTTTTTTAAATTATTAAACATTATTTTTGATTTAATAAAAAATGTAAAAAATAATATAATACAATGGAAGATACGCGCGTGCACATCATTAAAAATACTAAGTAATTAATTCTTATTAATTATTAATTAATACCTATTAAAGAACTATTATTGAGATTTTGTTAAAAAATTCTGAAGAAATAGAAATTCTGCAGAAAAATTCTAAAACTTTGTAAAAAAAATGTAATTGACAAATCGAAATTCTAAAAAAATTTTCCTTCATTTCTAAAAATACTAGAGATTTTGTTAAAAAATTTTGATTAAGAATATAAATGATCCAAATTTATTTTTTCTTTTAAAAAAAAACAACCGGATTTCGTATAAAAATTGTGATTATGAAATAGAAATTCCAATTCTTTCCATTAATTTCTAAAAAATTATAATTTCTTTAAAAATTGTGATTAAAAAATAGAATTTATAGAAATTGTTTTCCATAAGATACTAAAAATTTTGTAACAAAAAAATATGCTGACAAATCAAAATTAAATTCTCCCTAAAGTTTTGAACGTTCAAATGAACGAAATATTTTTTTGACTTTGTGTTCTAATATTTTAAAAAATTAATAGACTGAAATGGAAAAATATTGTAAATAATTATTTATTTGGCTAAAAAAATATTTTTTAATTATAAAAACCAATATTTTTAAAAACAAAATTCGGATTAAAAGAAGTAATAAAAATATCGTCGTTCAATTGAACGTTCGAAACTTTAGGGACATAAAATTAAGACAATTTTTTTTTATTTATTTTAATAAAAGAATCTTTTAATATTCTCCATTTTATTTTCAATTAAAAATTGTAATTGTCAAATCGAAATTCAAAAAAAAATTTCCTTTATTTCTAAAAAAATTGTAATTTCTATGTTATATTATTTATTTATTTAATAAGTAAATTTTGTTAAAAAATTGTAATTGGGAAATAGAAATGGTGCAAATTATTTCCTTTCAAAAATAAGAGAATTTTCTACAAAAATTGTGATTAAGGAATAGGAATTACGCAAATTGTTTTTTGTTCCAAAAGAAACTTATAAATTTCGTGAACGAAATCGTTATTGAGAAATAAAAAAAAAAAAAGAAAAATTGGTATATTTTTCATTTCTTAGATAATCATAATTTTTTATTAATTTTCTCATTTAAGTTTACGTATGAAAAATAAAGACTAAAAAGAAGTGTAACATTAATGTTATTTCCATTTTCTTTTATTTCTTCTTTCACTTTACCGAATTTTAATTTATTTATACTAAAATGACTTTTCCCTGTTTCATACGTGAGCGTAAATAATAAGCCCAAAAAAACCTGTATTTTATTCCAAAAAATTTTACTGATTCATATAGACTTCATTAATTATTAATAATAAACTCAATTTATGGTCTACTGTTGAGTATTTTCTGTAACTTTATTTATGAATATTTGTTTAATATTTCCCTCTCGATGATTTTATATTTGACTTTTCCCAACAGTAAATTAATTTTTCAATTAAAAAGAAAAAGAAAATATTAAAAATTCTTAAAATCACGTAAAATATGTAAGTGTATTAAAATTTTTGTTATTAACTTCACAAATGGCAAAGGCAAAAATCTAAAAATTTACCGAAGTAGTTAATTATTAAAATTCTCTTGATTATCTTTATTGATAATCATTTTTAATATTATTTAATACTTTCGTAATGTAATAAAATTTATTATTCTTTTCTTTAAATTCTTTTTAAATTAATTATTTAGAAAAACTTTGATTTCAAATTTTTATTTTATAATAATTCAATAAATTAATCATTTCATTAAATTTAATAATAGTAAATTAATTATTTTAATATTATAATAATTTCGTATTTTAAAATTTTTATTAGTTAATATTTTTAAATAAATATTTCATTATCTTTGAATGCTCTTTTTTTGATTTTTCAAGTTTTTTCATATTTACTTCGAAAGATTTCACTTCTGTTTTTGTTTTTACATTTTCCCATTGACCAATTTTGACCACGGTGGCCGCAAAATTTTGTTTTCAAAATTCCCTGACTTTTCCCTGACTAATTTTTTATTTTCCCTGACTAACAAATTTTTGAATTATTGAATATTCTACATTGAAATGTCCGTAAGAAGGTCCAAACTTATAAAAAATGTGACGGCACCATTATAATGAGCTATATTACAAAAACGTCTAAATAAAAAACTGAATTTACATTTAAGTATCAAAGTTTTTTAATTTGTGGTTTTTTTTACCAAAATTCCCTGACTTTTCCCTGATTTCCAGTTTTTCTCTGACTTGCGGCCACCCTGATTTGATTATTAAATTATTTCTTTCGAAAATGAAAATATTAGAAATAGAGAAGTAAATTTTTCTCCGTCATAGGAAAAATATTTTAATAAAAATTGAATTCGAAGAACTAACCGAATAAATTTGACTTCCTTTTATGATGTTTCAGTGCTCATACGTAACAGGGTAATGAAGGGAAGAATCTACGAAAGTAGGACAGGTTTGTGTCTTCTGGCACTATTCGTGTCCTTTTTGATTGACAATCACGCTGTCATCGCTAAACCAGAACCAGCCTCTTACGATATTGAAGATCCAGAAGAACTAGTAAATATTTCCTTTCTTCTCTGAAATAAAAACAATTCATTTTTATTATTATTATTATCATCATTCTATTTAAAAATTAATAATTTAAAATTAAAATAAATTTCAAAAATAAAACTAAAGTTAATTTTGATGTAAAAAAATTGAAAATGAAAATTTTAACCATTTTTCCTCTTCCTTTGAAGGTACTTCTCCAAAGATTACGAACTATTGTGAGGCATAAGCAGGAAGTAATTGATCAGGAAAAAGAACTTACCGAAGAACAAATTGCCATTCAGGCGATACTTGATGCTAAAGCTCGAAGTGAAAGAGGTCATGAAACAATGTTGGAAGAGGAATTCTCCATGGAAGATACAGAAACTCTTCCCGTTCCCAGTGCAATATTTAATCCTGGACCACAACACACGGGAGGGAAACGTACCTGTAAGAAAAAATGTTTAGTATTGCTTTTATCTTTTTTCACCAAAAAAAAAAAAAAATTGTCAAATTCTACTTAAATATTTATAATTTTTTAATTATTTCAATTCAATAAAAAAAATATTCTTTCCCTCAAATTATCGAAATAAAGCTAGAAATTCGAAATTTAAACAAAAAAATTATATTTTAATATGTGATTTTAATAAATTTAAATTAAAAAAATAAAAAAAAGTAAAAAATAAAAAAACAAATTTGATAAATTTGTTTAAAACTTAAATTTTAACAAAAATTAAAACAATTCAAATTTCAGAAAATTTATATTTATAAATATTTAAAGATATATCAATTACAAGAAAGAAAAAGGTTTTTTGATTTCGCAAACAAAAGATTGGATTTTATAATAATAAGGATTAAAAATTGGAATAATACAATTTTTTTTTCTCAAAGAAAATTTTTGTGTTTTGAGAATAGGAAAAGGAAAAAAAATCTATCGATTTTCAATTACGTAAATCGGTGATACGCTGAGCGAAATATTCTTACAAGCTTGATTAAGAATAGAAATATAAAACGATCTAGTCAATTGCATCAATTGACATTTCAAACACCTTTTGTCTATCGTGACGTCAGGATCTCAGATCAATTTGACTCTTTTGTATTACAAATAAAAAGGATGTCGCAAACTTTATTGAGCTTTCGATTGTCTCTATCAAATTATAAAGTCTCTTGCTATCGGCGCCAGTGAGCCGATATACAGTCTCCTTATTATTATGTGCATTAAACAATTTCATTCGAAAAAATAAAGTGCAATTTGTATTTACGAAGAAAAAAGAATTTCGAAATTTTTAATGTACTTCGATTCTTTTTACTTGTGTAAATTAAAAAATTTTGGAATTCTTGTAGTAATCTTAACATTATTGGAGGGGAAAAAATATTATATTTCGATTATTGATATTTAAAATTGAATTTAAATTTAGAGAAAAAATTATTAATAAAACAAATTATAATAATTATCAAAGAAAAAATTAAATAATAATTAAATTAGTACAAATTTATATAAAAAAAATTTTCCAAAAGATTCAATTATTTTTAAAAATTTTTATAAAGAATTCAATTATTCTTAAAAGTTTTAATAACATTTTTATAAGAATTCAATTATTTTCATAAATAATAAATTTTTTCGTATGAATTCAATTATTTTTAGTAGGATTTTTATAAAACTTCTCCAAAGAATTCAATTATTTTCAAAAATAATAATTATGGAAAAAATTCAATTATTTTCCAATAATAATAATTATGGAAAAAATTAAATTATTTTCCAAAAAATTTTCATAAAATTCAATAATCAAATTTTTAATTTTTAATTTTAATTTTCAAATTTAATTTTTAATTTTTAATCAAATTATAATCTTACACTAATATTTTAAACAGTTAATAGAAATTCTTTGTAAAATTCCATAATTTTTAATAAAAATTATTAAAAAAACTTGAAAAAATTATTCAAAAGAATTTAATTATTTACATAAACTTTAATAAAATGATCGAATAGAATTTAATTTTCTATCGATAATTTTAATGAAATTCTTCGAAACAATTCAATTATTTTTATGAATAGTAAAATTCTTCACAAGAATTAAATTATTTTTTATCAAAAATAAAATTCTTCTCAGGAATTCAATTATTTTTAAAACTTGTAATAACATTTTTCTAAAGAATTAAATTATTTTCATAAAAAATAAATTTCTTCGTATGAATTCAATTATTTTCAGAAGAATTTTTATAAAATTTCTCCAAAGAATTCAATTATTTTCAAAAATAATAATTGTGGAAAAAATTCAATTATTCTATTGATATTATAATAATAATTATGGAGAAAATTAAATTATTTTCCCAAAAAATTTCATAAAATTCAATAATCAAATTTTTAATTATAATAATTAAGTTGCACAATTATTTAAAAGAAATTACTTGTAAAATTCCATAATTTTTAATGAAAATTATTTTTAAAAAACTTGAAAAAATTCTTCAAAAGAATTTAATTATTTACATAAACTTTAATAAAATGGTCGAGTAGAATTTAATTTTCTATCGATAATTTTAATAAAATGTAAGAATAAAATTATTAACTATAATTATTAACAAAATCGATTACATTAAAAAAATTAATGAAATTCTTCGAAAGAATTCAATTAATTTCAATATTTTAATAAAATTTCTTGTATAAATTAAATTATTTAAAAAAATTCTAATTAAATTCTGATAAGAATTTAATTTTATTTTACAAAAATTTAAATAAAATTCAATTCAATTTAATTTCTTATAAATAAATTGTTATTTGAAAAAAAAATAAAGTCAGTTTAAAATTTTCCTAATACCAAAATTACTAAAAGAATTCAAAAAAAATCTAAAACCACAGTTTTGTAATTGATTGTCAGAATTTGTATCAATTTTTAGAATTAGAAAACAAAAATTATCGTTAATTTAACAATAGTTTTTTTACATCTGTTTCAGATATGACTCTCTGTCACTTCAAGATTTGCAATATGGGACGAAAACGACAGTTATGAAAACAAAATTCTCCACTAACGATGCATTGATTTTCAATTAACAAGAATTCCATCGAAACATCATCAATATTTTCCTTTTCCTCAAGAACTTTATAATTTCGAAATTGCATCGTTTTTTTTAAATTAATCCATTTTTTCTAACAAAGAGACCTTGCTAAAAAGAATTTTGGTAAAAAAAGACAAATTTTCATTCGACGAAGTGTAGTAAAATTTTTAGCAGATTTTCAGCCCTTTTTTTAATTTAATCATTTTTTTTTAAATTTCCCTCAAGATCTTCAATTTCTGTTAAAAAAAAAACAAAAGAAAAAATGAATTCAATACAAAACTTGTGTCATTCCTATTTTGTGATCAGAAGAACGTATCGACATCAGCACAAAGCTAGGCTCATCTGTAAAATTTCATCAAAAAAAAAAAAAAAAAAAAGAATTTAATGATAAATAATTAAATCAAAATATTTTAAAGAAAAACAAAAGTTTCTTATTTAATCCAGCTCTTTGTAGATTTTAATTTTTGAATAATGGTCCTAAACTTTGTGCGGATTGTCAGGACTTCTGTCAAAAAAAAAAAGAAAATTATTTAAAAAAACTAGGAAAAAAAATGTTACAACGAATTGTAGAACATTATTAAAATCTGCTTAACGAAAAAAGATATTGACCAATTCTTAAGAAATTCTAGAAAATATCGTGTAATTTTGAAAAAAAAACTAACGAAACAAAAGTTACCGATTAAATAACAATTTTTCTTAAGAATGTCTTTGAATGTTAAGACGCGAAACAAGAAAATAATTCTTGACGATAATGAATCTAGTATTTCACAGTATGTTCAAATGTAAAGAATTTGTTTTCAACCCATTTTTTTTCTCATAATTTCTTTTTGAAAGGTCGAAAACAATTTCTTTAAAATTTGTCCACAATCGATGTTATAGTCTAATCTCTCGAATTTTAATTTATTCTCTAGATATAGTTTTTTGGAGGGTGCAATTGGCAGGACTTGAGATTTAATTCGGTATTAGATAATTGTTACACATACCAAAGAAGTGTCAATATTTTTGAAGAGAATTAAAAAGAAAAAAAAAATAATAAACAGAACGAAAGGTTGAAAAATGCCTTGAGACTGACGACGAGGCACAAAGTGTGCGGATATAAGAATTTTTTTTTAAGCCGAGTTCAAAAAAACAATTTTTATTTTTTCAATTATTATATTCATGAAAATGTAAATTTTATGAATGAAATGAATGAGAAAAATGAAAGAGTTTAAATGCCAGCATCCTTCGTATTAAATTATTTTGCTTAAGAACAATGTCGTCATATCCGTCTTTTTTGAATATATAAAAAAACTATTTATTTAATTTCGCTTTCTCTATTTATAAAAATCCCCCCCCCCCAAGTACTTTCTTTCATTCCAGAAAACAAATCATAAGCGAAAATATTCAGGGCTCGAAGCAGTGAAAGTATTTAAAAATACGGACTTTACGGACCAAAAATTAAAAATTACGGACCATTTACGGACCAACTGACAAAAATAGAATAGAATAGAACTCGAAATCATTGATTTCTTCATGTTTTATAATAATTAATAATAATTAATAATAAAAATAATTTATAATAATTAAAATCATTATCAATTCAATTAATATTTTTAATAATTTTCGAAAAACTTCTTTGTCAATTTTCAAATTCATTTCTTTACGCAATATTCAGTTTTACGAAATTTCAATTATTCGTAAATTCTTTAATTAAATAAATATTAGAAAATAGAAACTAAAAATAATATTAAAAAAACTCAATTAAACTTTTTAAAAAAAACTAATTACAAAATTCAATTATTTTTTAAAATTCACGCTATATTGCTCTTTTAATATTCAATTATTATCTAAAATTTTAACTGAAATTCATTTTCATGAAATGAAAATCAATTTTTATTAGAATATTCTATACTAGAATTCAATTATTAAAATAAAAGGTAAATAATTTATTGAATAATTGAACGTTTCTTAAAATTCAATTCCCATAAAAAATCGTTATCAACAAATTTTCAAATAATTGAATTCTATCAACGAATCTTAATAAAATTTTTAGGAATAATTACATTTTTCGAGAAATTTGATTAAAATTTTATTAAAAATAATTAAAAATTCTGCATTGAATTTTATTATTTATGAAAATAATTGAATTTTTGCGAAGAATTTAAATTAAAATTTTCAAAAATAATTGAATTCTTGTAAAAAATTAACAGGAATTCAATTATTTTAAAAAATTTTAATAAAATTCTTGGCATAAATTAAAAATAACAAAACTCTTAGTAAATCTTCAATTACTTTCAGAAATTTTAATAAAATTTTTCGCAAGAATTTAAATATTTTCGTAAAATAATAAAAATCTTTGCAGAGATTCAATTATTTTCAAATAAGTCTTAATAAAATTCTTCGCAAGAATTCAATTATTTTCAAAAATATCAGAATTTTAGCAAAAATTCAAACATTTTAAAAAGAATTTAAAAAATTTTAAAGAATTTTTTCGAGGAATTCGATTAAAATTCCATTGAAAATAATTAAATTCCTAAAAAGAATTTTATTATTTACGAAAATAATTGAATCGCGGTAAAAATTTTATTAATTATAAAAATAGTTGAATGATTGCGAAGAAATTTATAAAAAAATATTTGTTATTAAGGGCATTTGAACCATTATGAAGTCATGGCTTTAGAACAAATGCTTTGCACAAACTATGACGTCATAATGGTTCAAATGCCCTTAATGAAATTCTTGTGAAATTTTTATTATTTTTTGAAAATAATTAAAAGTTTTTGGAGAATCTTATTGAATTTTCTTTTTTTTAATAATTAAATTCTTTTGGTAAATTTTATGAAAATAGTTGATATTGAACAATATTTAATTTTTGCGAAGAATATTATTACTTTTGAAAATAATTGAAATTTTGCAATGGATTTTATTAAAATTTTTGAAAATAATTGAATTTTATTACTTTAGAAAATAATTGTATTCGTGTGATAAGTATTGTTAATTATGCAAATAATTGAAATTTTTTAATGAATTTTATAAAATTTTTTGAAAATAATTGAATTTTGTCGAAGAATTTTGCTATTTATTTATAAAAATAATTGAAATGTTGACAATGTTTTTTTTAGATTTTTTGAAAATAATTGAATTTCGGAGAAGAATTTTAATAAATCTAAAGATAATTGAAATTTTGACGAGAATTTAAAAAAAATTTTTGAACATAATTGAATTTTTGCGAAGAATTTTATTACTTTTAAAAATAATTGAATTTCTGCAATCATTTGTAATTTCTCTAAAATTCTCCAAACTATATCGTACTAGTTTTCGAACTTTTCATCCTTTTTGAATGAAATTACAGACTTTACGGACCTTTCTTCAAAATAACGGACTTTTACGGACTTGAAGCAAAGTCCTGAATATTGATAAATAATTTATTTGAATTAAAAAATCACAGTTTAAATTCTATTTATTTTAAAAACCGTTTCCTATTGGCGATATTTTATCCATTTAATTTATATTATTTATATAAATAAATTGACACGTACTTACAAGAGAAAATATAAATAACTCATGTCTTGTACCTGCAACATTTTTTGACTAAGTGCATACATTAAATATTCATAAGAACATACACCGATTTCATTGTAAAAATAAATGAAAAAAAAATTCCCATTCCAATAGTTGTTCATCATCAAGTTACAAGAAAAATGAATAAAATATTTAATTTATTTATTGTACATGAATATTAAGAATATGTTTGTATGAAATGTTGACGTAACCTTTGTAAAAACTTTAATTAATAAAAAATGAACGTATTTAAAAATATTTGACAGTATATTATTAATATAAAAAAAAAATTTTGAATAATACTCACTTTCATTGAATTGTACTCAATTGGATAGTAAAGAACGTAAGATAAGGAAATAATGAATGAATACATAACGCAAAGAAAGGAAAATAATTAAATTAATGGTTAAAATCAGTTAAAATCGTTAAAATACTAGAAAGTAAACAAGTTTCTGCAAGTTCAGTGTGCCATAGAGACGTGAAGTTAATTACAAGCAGGACTACTACCAACTGTAGTGGTGATGAAAAATGTCACTAGCTGCCATCTATTTGGTAAAATTTGAAACTTTTAGACTTTTTAGATAAAAATTCAACACTATGAACCCTATGAACACTACACGCATGGAAAAATAATTTATAATAATTATAAATTATTAAATAAAAATTCTATACTCATTTAATGAAAAATATTATTTAACATTATGTTTACTGTAAGTATTTTACTTACAACGTTTAAAAACTGTGTAACAGATCTAACAGATCAACAACATGGAACTTAACCTCAAAATTTATGTATTTAATATTTACAAATTACGATAATCATAAAGTACTTACATTTTGTATAATATTCTTCAGTTAAAAGTTAAATTTTCTGTTTCGAATATAGTATTGGATTTAATTATTGCTTCCAAATGTCACGATCAGTAAAAAATTTTTTAAAAAAACTGCGAATAATATTTCTTATAAACATCACATCGAAATAACTGAACTGTCAAAAAGTAATGTCGATAAGGAAGATATCTTCCCCCCTAGATGGAAATTTGAATTGATTTCTAAATTTAAAAATTAAAAATACTCTAAATTTAATTTTTACAAAGAATTTTAATTAAAAATTTTGAAAATAATAATAATTAGATTTTAAATTTGAAATTTTTGAAAAATGGAATTTTTTTGAGAAATTTTATTGAAAATAATTGAATTTTTGCGAGAAATTTTATTAAAACCTTCAAAAAATAATTTAATATTTTCTTTATTTATATTGTATTCAAAATAATTGAATTCCTGCGAAGAATTTTATTATTTCAAATAATTATTTAATTCTCGGAATTAATTTCATTAAAAATTTTCAAAATATTAAATTGGAATTCATTCGTAATTATTTAATTTTTTTATTTTTAAAAATAATTGAATTTTTACAATGAATTTTATCAACATTTTTAAAAATAATAAGTAATAATTAGATTTTGAATTTGAAATTATTGAAAAATTTTATTAAAATTCTACTAAAAATAATTGAATTCAATGGAAGAACTTTGTTATTTATGAAAATAATTGGATTTTTCCGAGAAATTTTATTAAAATCTTCAAAAAATAATTAAATATTTTCTCTATTTATATTGAACTGAAAATAATTGAATTCCTGCGAAGAATTTTATTATTCAAAAAAATAATTTAATTCTCAGGATGAATTTCATTAAAATGTTTCAAAATAGTAGATACAAATTCATTGGTAATTATTTAATTACTTTTTTAACAATAATTGAATTTTTCTAAAGAATTTTTTAAAAATTTTTCGAAAATAATAATTATTAGATTTTGAATTTGAAATTATTAAAAAATTCAATTCTTTTGAGAAATTTCATTAAAATTCTACTGAAAATAATTGAATTCATACGAAGAAATTTTATTATTTATGAAAATAATTGAATTCTTTAAAAAAATGTTAATACAAATTTTAAAAATAATTAAATCCTTTCGAGAAATTTTTAAATTATTGTACTTAATATAATTGAATTCCTGAGAAGAATTCATTTAAAATTTGTGAAAATAATTAAATATTTGCGAGAAATTTTATTAAAATCTTCAAAAAATAATTAAATATTTTCTCTATTTATATTGAACTGAAAATAATTGAATTCCTGCGAAGAATTTTTTTATATTATAAAAATAATTTAATTCTCGTGAAGAGTTTCATTAAAATTTTTGAAAATCGAATTCATTAATATAATTTTATTCAATAAGTGTATTTTTTCAATTAATTGTTTATATAATTGCATTTTTAATTAACAATCAATTCAATTCTGAATTCAATTATTTTTGGAATTTTTAAGTATTAAATTTACAATTAAAAATAATAACTTTTTCTCTTCTCTCTTCTATTAAGATAAATAAAGATACAAAATTAAATTTGTAGATAATTATTGAGAGTCACGTATATATTATTTTGAATTATTAAAACTCTAAACTTTTGTATAAATATTTAAATAAATTATTTTTCCAAAACACAAAATTTTTTCTTTTTTTCGACAAAATCGTGTAAAAAAATTTTTTTAAATAGTCAAAAAATAATTCACTTACATATAGTTTGAGAAATTTCCATAATTCAGCATGTTGTAGAATTTTATTCAATTTCATCAGCCAAAAATAGGACCATTGCTCCAATAAGAAATTAATTTACGTCTTATTTTAATTGTCATTTGGGTGAAAATCATCATTATGTCAAAAACCACTGAAGACGATGGAAATGATTTGGAAACGTGCTGAAATCTCCAGGATTGTCCTGCTGTATTTAAACAAATTAAAAGGCAGAGTTTATTACGTAATAATTAAACAAAAGCACACAAAAATGAGGTAAATTAAAAATGGAGTTCAATTCTTAAAAAAACCGAAATAAATGATAGAAAATAGAAAAATAATTATAAACTCAGATTTATTTGAAAATACGATAATATTCATTTTTTCCATCAACCGCAGTCAGATTTTCACCTAATTAATTCAAATTGAAAAGAAAAATTTTAAAGTATGTGCGTAAAAGCATAAATTAATTCTAACAAAAGGGCCTAATATTTAATCTAAGTATTTTCTTTGGAATTTAATTCAAATTTAATGTCACTTATTACGTCAACATTTTTAAAATTCTATACCACTTGTACACGTGTAAATTAAAATCATATAATACGTTTACTTCTTGACTAAATATCATAATTACATTTTTTGTTTCTTGGTAAACGATTAAAAAAAGGAAACGATATTCAAATAATTAGTTTAATATGTAATTAAATCATTAAAATTTATCTAATAACGGTAATGTTGTCAATATTTTAATTTATTTAAATCTCTGTTAAGATTAAAAGACAATTTTATTAAATTTGATTGAATTAAAATTGAATTATTGGAAAAAATTAAAATAGAACTGTAATAAAGAAAATAGTTTAACAGAATATTATACTTAAAAATTAGTTTAATTGATTGTGAATTTAATATAGTATTTGTACTTCTTCTCATTCGAATTTAATTAATTTATTACTTCTTATTACTTATATAATTATTATAATGGATATTTTCATTTAGATTACCTGAAAATTTAGAAGATATTTAATACGGAGGAAAAATATTCATTTTTCACTTTTCGAACAAACACTATATTCGCAGACTTGGAAGTAATTTCTCTTGAGTAAGATTTAGAATTTTATCTAAAAATAAAAAGATTACATTAATAAATTAATTAGTTGATAAAAAATTAATAATTCTATTTTTTAATATATTTATTTATAATTATTAATTTCTTTTTCAATATAAACGTTCAAGAACAATATTTATAGAATGTTACAGAAAAACAGAAAAAAGTGAATTGCAAAAAATGGAGAAAAAATCGTTAAATATTTTTAATATCGTCTTTACTGTTTTATTGTCTACTATTTTATTATTTTATTATTTATTTTTTCTTAGTACCTTATTACTTTATTTACCTAAAAAGAAATTCAAACACATAAAACAAATAAATACAAGATTATTGAAATTCGTCTATTATTTTAAATGTTGGATAAATATTATTTATTTATTTAAAGAAAAACATTGACTCGATAAATAATGAAAACGAAATTTTTATCAATTTACCTGAAATCTGCAAACATTATCGACATTTAAATATATTTTATTTCTTCTATACCGTGTACTTTTAATAAGTTTCACAATTTTTACGAAGTGATGTATAAATTTAGAGTGTCATTAAAAATAAATAACAGAATTTCTTTCTTCACTTTTTTTTAAAAACGAAGTTTCTTGAAGTTATTAAAAAAAACAACAAAGCTTTTTAACAAAATTTTATCAGAAGATTATTTTTTACTGATAGCAATATACTTTGTGTATAATACATACATTTCTTTTTAGTTCTTAAACACTTTTCATTTCGGAAAATTAATTAAAAAGCTATTAAAAGTCTAATTCAGTACTTCATTTGTCGTGTTTTTATTTTTTTAATTTTTATTTAATTATTTCATTTAATTTTATTTATTTAATTAAATCTCATTTAATTAAATTGAATTTAATCTTCGCTTATCTAATATTATTATTAATTTAATTGAATTTCAATAAATTAATCATTTTTAAAAAGAAAACTCTTTTATGCGAATAATTATAAAGTTAACAAAAAAAAAACAGATTTTGTAACATATTTCCAAAATATATTTTTTTTCTGTGAAATTCTAATCAATTAGGTTGAAATTTACTATTAATGACTCATTAGTGAAGTGTTCCTTTTGTAAATTATTTCTCTCCACCTTTCTTCATTAAAATGCTATTAAATCAAAGATGTTTGTACCTTGGAGATTTCTGGCAGGGATGTGACTTTGAGTTTTCAAAACTATTACAACTTTCAGTTAGTTCATTCAAAAATCAGTTTACATTTAGAGTTCAGTGAAAGAATATTGTCAATATTATTTTGATCCTTAAAATTTTTCAACGGGTGAGAATCTAAAAAATATGAAACTTTGTTATTTTTATCATTTTTATGTTTTTATTATTCATTTTATTAATCTAACTTCAATTAATTCTTTATTCGAGGGAAAGTATAATAATTATTATTTAATTAAGATTAATTAATAGATACTAATTATTTCAATCAATTAATTAAATCTCCAAATTATGGTAACTTTATAATTATTATAACAAAAAAATGTATTAAATATCTGGGTAATTGTTTTATTAAAATTATTTCTTCACACAAGGTAAAAATTTAATTATTATTTAACTAGAAAATTAAAAAAAAATTATTATTTTCAAATATTAATTTCAATTTTCGAATAATTTCAGAATCAAAATTTTAAAAAATTTCAGTTATTAACTAATTTACTAATTATTTATTGTTTCCAAAAACTTATAATAAAGTTCAACGCAGGATTTCAATAATTTTCAATATAGTTTCAATAAAATTTCTCAAAAGAATTCAATTAGTTTAAGAAAATTGGAAAAAATTCTTCCAAAAAATTTAATTATTTTGAAATAAAATATTTTCAATGCAATTTTAAATTAAATTTCTTCAAAAAAATACAACTATTTGCAAAAATTTTAATTAAATTCTTATAGCAAAATTGAAGGCTGTAAGAGATGTAAAACAAAATTTGTAGCATCAAGAAATAAATTGAGTACCTGCATGCAACAACTCGCCGAGCGCTCGGACGCACTCTCTAATACCAGTCGGGTGGCAGTGAGTGGCGCAGAGGCGCTCACTGCTCCCCGACTGTTACTAGCGCTTGCGTCCGAGCGCTCGGCGAGTTGTTGCATGCAGGTACTCAATTCTATTTTTCTTATAGCAAAATTTCAATTATTTTCATAATTTATAATATTTTTCGCTGGAATTTAATTATTTTAGCGAATTTTAATAAAATTCTTCGCAGAAACTCAATTATTTTTTGAAAATTTTTGATAAAATTATTATTTATGAGAATTGAATTATTTTCATAATTAATCAAGTTCTTCGCAAAAATTTTTTTTATTTTGAAAAATTACAATAATATTTTTTATAAGAAACAAAAATGTAATTAAATACTTTGAAAAAATTTAATTTTTTTCCTAAATAATAAAATTCTTTTACAGAAATTCAATTATTTAAAAAATTGTTTGATAAATTCTTTAGAAGAAGTCATTTAATTTTAATAGAATTTTAATAAAATTCTTAACCAGATTTCAATTATTTTCATAATTAAGGGCATTTGAACCTTGATGACGTCACACATGCTTTGCACAATCTGTAACGTCATCAAGGTTCAAATGCCCTTAATCAAAATAATTATTTCTCGAAAGAATTGAATGATTCAAAAAATATTATAATTATAACATTCCTTACAGAAATTCAATTTTTTTTTTCAAAAAATTTGATAAAACTCTTTATAAGAATTTAAATATTTTTAAAATTATTTTAATTAAATTTCTCGTGAACTTATTTTTTCTCGTGAATTATTTTTAAAAATATTTTAATTAAATTTTTCGCAAAAAATTTAATTATTTTGAACATTATTTTCGATAACGTTATTTAAATAACATTGTTATCTAGATATTGTTATATCGAGAAAATTTTACAATTAATTAAGTTTTGTCCTTTCCTTGACACCGTAAAACTTTTAGTAAATAACAAATTTCATTGCGTATGAATTTACTTAATTGCTTATGTAAATAATATTTTCTACACAATTCATTGTATATATTTTATTTATTGTCTATACTAAACGCTAATCTTATTTAAATTTGTTTTTAACTTTTAAGAATACTAATAATACGTTATCCAGAAGTTAAATAGATCCCATACAATGTTACCAATTATTTAAACATTTAAACACATGTATAAACAAAGACACATCCTATTATTATCGATTGTGAACTAAGTCGAATATTCGAGTTGTTACCTTCTATATAAATGATGATTAGAAAAAAATTATTTCTATATAGTTTAATTGACCTTTTATAGGTAAATTACTCTTTTGATAAAGAATATTGAAATAAGAAAAGAAAAACTCATTATTAATAAAATTACAAATTTTTGAAAATAAAATTATATTATTTCGAATACATTTCAACTATTTCTGAAATAATGAATAAATAAATCAATAAATAAATATATAAATAAAAATAAATTAAAATAATTTAAATGAATAAATGAATAAAATAAAATAAATAATTATTTTAAAAAAATTATTTGTTTGTTTTTTTACAAATATTTATTAATTTTTCTACTAACCGATTAAATGTAGCTCATTTTTTTCATGACATTCCAGTATTCAAAAATAACGTGACGAACAATGATTTATTCAGTCGGCAAAAGTAAGACAGGTACGTGTCTTCCGATAGCATTTGCATTATTTTTAATTAATAATCACTGTGTTAATGCTATATCAGTACCAGTAGTCTCATTTGAAATTGAAGATCCAAAAGTGTTGGTAAATATTTTTCTTATTTCCTAGAAATGAATTTTAATTCAATTAGTATGTTCTATTCAATAAAAATAATTTGTTTTTATTTTTGCAATCAATTATATTATAATACCTAATTGTGATATGAAAGGAAAAATAGAAATTTTTAAAAGAAATCCTTTTTTTTTAATAGGAAAATATGGAAAGTGTTACTGATCAAAGAGAGATAATTATAGATGCCAAAGTTCAAAATCAAAAAAGCAACGAGAATACAAAGACACATTTATTGCTAAAAAGACGGTCGCGCCGTGGAATGTCTGATTGTAAGTAGATTAAAAAATTTTTTTTTGATATATCTCAATCACTTAATTATTTATTCAAACTAGTTATTAAATTAAATTATCTCTCGTGCATGAAAATTTAAAATTATTTTAAATTTAATTTTTAATTCAGCTAATAAACTTAAGTTAAAAAATTTTAATTTAAATTAAAAAGAGTTAACACAGCAATAAGATAAGAATTCAAATTTTATCAATACAAAAATTATCAAAAAAGAAATTGATATTTATAGAAAATTTATAGACAGTACAAATATTTGTTCCTATTATTTATTATTTTAAATGTGTAAATTTTCGAATTTTTCTATTCAGAAAACTGATTCGCATATTAATTAAATTAAATTATTTTTAACGAAAATTCTGATATTTAATACCTAAGGAAAAATGTAATAATTAAACATATTAAATTAAGAATAAATTTACAAAATTTACCTTTGCAAAATTGTAAAATACACCATTTAAACTAATAAATTATTATGTTTCTTTCAGATATGACTCCGTGTCACTTTAAAATTTGTAACCTTGCCTCAAATCTAATCGTAGACTCCAAGGAATCGGTAAATATTTTTCTTCTTTCCTAGAAATCAAATTAAATTATCAATTAGTATAAAATAATTTCTTTTGTTTAATTACAAACAATTTTTAATTAAAAAAAAATTATTTTCTATAAACTAATTATAAAGTATAAAAAGAAACGAAATTTTTCAAAAAATCTATTTTTTAAAAGGAAAATAGGGAAAGTTATCAAAATAATCAAAACCTTCCAAATCAAACAAGGGCCGAAACAATATTATCAAAATCAAGAGACGCCGTTAGTCAAGAGGGTCAAGAGTCGCATTTTTTACAAAAAAGAGTGATACGCCCTTTTACAAATAACCAACATAGGTCATTCGACTGTAAGTATTTATTAAAAAAAATTTTTCAAATTGTCTCATTTACTTAATTATTTATTTAAGCCAGTTAATAAAGAAAATAACCTTTCATTCATGAACATTTAAAATTATTTTAAATTTAATTTTCTAATTGATAATAAATTCTTAATAAAACGAAGTTACAAATTTTTAATTTAAATAAAAACACTAAATAGAGAAAAATAAGAATTTAAATTTTATCAAAATAGAATTTGATATTTATAGAAAATTTTACAGACAGTACAAATATTTATTCATATTATTTATTCTTTTAAATATACCAAATTTTTTATATATTATATTATATTAAAAAATTGTCGTCCTTTCAAAACATTGTAGAAATTATAAATTATTACGTTTGTTTCAGATATGCATCCCTGTCATTTTAAAATCTGTAATATGGGTCGGTAATGATCAATATTTATTTATATTTGAGCTAGTTTATTTCTATTTAAGAAAAAGGTCAATTTTTGACATGAAAAATTGACATAAAAAATTTTGACTTGAAAAATCATATGAATAACGACTTTAGTCATATAAAGTTCACAGTATTAAGATTTTCCATTAAAAAAATAATAATTTATAAATATATTTATTTTAATAAGAGTGCAAGTATGATTTTAGTACGAATGTTTTGAAAATGTATAATGAGTACAAAAAGTATAAATGTTTAATACAGTACCGTCCGAAATTGTCAGTCCACCCATTCTCAAAGGAATGACAAAATTTTTTTAACATAAAATTCATGAAAAGTAAAATTTTTTTTGGTTTATATTTTGAAAGACAATAAAATTTTGAAAAGAATAAGACCTTACAGAAGTCATTTGGCCAAAATTTGTAGAAGATATTCTTAAAAATCGTCATTTTCAATGTTTTACAAAAATTTGAATAACTTCTAAAATAATGAACGCTTTTTAATAATCTTAGGCTTATTTTAAAGACCATTTTCTACAGAATAAGAATTACTTATAGTCATTAACCTGTAATTTTTAACTTGGCATAAGCATGACGTCAAAGTTTGACAAAAAAATTCAAAAAATTTGAAATAATATTATTAAAAGAAAAATAATTTTTGAAATTCAAACATATATTTTTATTAAATTTTCTTGAAAAATCTACACCATATCATGTTTTATATATGTTCTAGAATAGTTTTTAGTACAAAAAATTGATTTCAAATTTTTCCAATTTTTTTGTCCAATTTTGACGTCATGCTTATTCCAGGTTAAAAATGACAGGTTAATGCCTATAAGTAATTCTTTTTCCGTAGAAAAAGACCTTTAAAATAAGCCTAAGATTATTAAAAAGCGTTCATTATTTTAGAAGTTATTTAAATTTTTGTAAAACATTGAAAATGACGATTTTTAGGAATATCTTCTACAAATTTTGGCCAAATGACTTCTGTAAGGTCTTATTCTTTTCAAAATTTTATCGTCTTTCAAAATATAAACCAAAAAAAATTTTAGTTTTCATGAATTTTATGTTAAAAAATTTTTGTCATTCCTTTAAAAATGGGTGGACTGACAATTGCGGACGGTACTGTACGTTACAACTTTCTGCGCTAAATTATATTTAATTTATTATTTAATAAATAATCAACATAAAAAAAGTCATTAAAAAGAGTATTGCAAATTACTAAAAAGAAATATTGTATTTTGTAAATCATATTTAAACCCAGACACTGTAAAAAATATAGGTTAGTTCAATAAAAACAAACATATGTTTAAAACGTGAAAAGAAAAATAAATACAGAAAAACTACAAAAATTTCTTAGAAAATTATACCTATGTAATGAAGAACACGTAATCAATATTACGTCGAAAATATAATTGATAACAAATGTGTACACATAATTATAACGTATAATGATAACTATTTTAACAATCATACCGCCTTTTTAAACGCTTTTTATTCAACTGTCATCTTTAATCTTGAAGTTGTCTACAGAACAAGCAGTGTTGCCAAATCTACTAATTTTTTCACTGACTTTAATTTTGTAAATTTTTTTTAAATAATATTAATTATTAAATTACTTTTTTTATATAGGTAATATTATTAGATCTATATTTTACAAAAAGTTAATTTTAAAGGAATAATTAATTATTTAATTGTTCTTTGAAATTAAGATTGAAAATTTAAAACTTGCCTTTAACGTTCGGCGACATCTGGTGAGCAATATTTGGAAATTTTTTGTGAAAAACAGTGTTGGTATGGTAAAAATCGTCTCTATAGTTCAACATAAACACGTTGAAACACGTGCAAATGCATAGCGTGTGCGGGGGAAGAAAGAGAATCCAGAAAGTCAAAAATAATCCATGTGATTTCACAGAATTGCTCCGACGCTGACACGGGCTTGTTCTTTTCATCGTTCGGCATTTCCAAGTCATTCTCTGGTAGACTCTCCTGGAGTACTGTTGATTTTAACCAAAGCCAAGGAAGTGTGAATAACGTATTCAAACGCTTTTATAGAAAAGTTTCATTTGTTATTTTGTTTAACAACAAAAACATCAAAATGGTGAGTCATATATTTCATTAATTTCTTTTTTTTTTTTTTTTTTTTGACTAAAATAGTGTTGTGAAAATTTATTTAATTCCCTTTGTAAATATTTGATAATCGTTTTAATGTTAATTTACTATTTTAACATCATGCATTGTTTATAATTGTTTTAAGTAATCCGGTCCGTTTATTATTTAACCCACTATTTTTGAATGTTTTTTAATTTTATTTTCATTAATTTAAATTAGATTTTTTATTTCGATTTTTTTGACTTTCTTATATTCGTTTTAAAGACGCTTACGTCGACGCTTTACTTCTGAAAGATTATATCTCATGAGATCATATGCGCTTGTTCTGTAACACCGGTTTCTAATGTAAACACTTTTTTTCAAAACATTTTCGAGATTTTGACCTTGATTTTATTTACGATCCATAAGTGATATACTTTAATTTGTCATTGCTTTTGGGAAAAAACACTGTCCTGTATTTCATAGCGTAATCCTTTATTTTAATTCGAAGAAATGTTTATAAAGTAAAAAAATAAACTGACAATGCATTGTTTACATTCAAATGGTAATTTTATTTTTTTTTGGAGCGAAAAAAAGTCAAAATAACGCAACGTAAATTTGCTAGGTAAAAAAAATTGTTAGCAGTATATAATAGAGGGGAAATTCTTGGGTTTCTTTTGTACTATAGAATTTATGGTAGCCCTGCTGGCAACCCAATAAATTTCTACCTAGTTTAACGCAGGTGTTTTCAGTCACAAAAATGAGTTTGTGAACAATATTGTTATTGAGAAATAAAAATTATGTATAAAAAATGGGTATTTATTTACTATTTCTTAATCATAATTTTTAACAAATTTTCTATTTTTTTTATAAATAATTCGATTTGTCAAACAATATTTTTTAAAGAAAAAAAAACAAACAAAAGCAAACATAAAAACTAACTTTAAACTTCGGACTGAATGAATGAAAGAATATGAAGATTAATATATAGTTAATGTTTTATTACTAAATAAACTGTTTTAACTTGACAAAATTTGTTTTTTTCTGTATTTTAGGAAAGTGTACCATACGCAGATGAGTGGGCATTATTGAGAGCTCAACGTCAACGGGAGTACGAGCAATATGTGACGTTAACACGCTGGGGAGATTTAATGGATATTACAAATGAAATTGCCCAAAGTTGTACTCCAGCAACATCAAACAACATGCAACAACATTATGTACATGAACAAAGCAATTTTGTCCAAAAAAGTACTCCATTTTCTCAAGGATATTCAGGGGAATTTACTTCCTTCGCTCCTAGGTATTCGTCGTCACATTCTTACAACGTTTTTGGCAAAGGCAGAATGTAATTTCTACCGTTTTGTTTATTTTTTTTTTTTTAATTATTATAGATTTTAAGTACTTTTCTTAATTTTAAAGAAATTGTAAAGTATAATTATGTAAAATGTGTAAGAATTTGAGCTTTAAATCTTAATCTTAAGTATGTATCAATACTATATATGTAAATTCCTGTTTAAGAACAAACAAAAATGTTTTCAATTTAATATTAATATAAACTATTATAGAATTATGTTCAACATTTAAAAAATCAAAAGTATTCGTGTCTTTTAAGTACACTTTCAAACTATATTTTAAGAAATTGTCTATATATTATAATTTATTTTCGAATAAAAATAAGTTTTTCCATAAAATGTTTCTATTTTCTTCTTTTTGTCTTTTTTCCCTTTTTCCTCTAGTACTATTTTTCTTTTATTTGTTTCTATTGTTTTAAAACTGTTTGACATATAATTATACCATAAACATAACCTAAAAAAAATTTTTAAAAATTTTTAAAATAGTCATTAAAAAATTATTTTTAAAACATTTTTTCAAATAATTACTTAAATATGCCTTCAATATTTCACTGATATAGAAAAAGAAACACTCACGTTTTTTTAATAATGAATACACTAATTTCAATTAAATTCCTTATCTTTTGTTTAAAATCTTCCTGAAAATATAAACAAACAAGTTTTTTAATTTTAATTCACATTTTTTACAAGTTGGCGCAGTCGTAGAATTTTTTTTATGCCGAGTTTACTATCTTTATCTCAGTTGCTTTGTGGATGTCGGTAAAATTGTGATTTGTTTTTTAATTAAAAAAAAAATTGGAAAAAAATGAATCAAAAGTGTTAATATTCAATTAAATTATAATAAAAGCGAAACAATGGCTGTTGCTTTTTGTGGTAAAAGATTATTTTTAGCAAGGGCAAATATTTTTAAGGCACAAACAAGAAACAGTTACATCGTTCTGTAAGTATTTTTTTTATAGGTTATGTTCCAGATAATATTGATATAATATTTAAATTGAGAAGTAAATTCTTTCTTTCTCGGCACTAATTTTTAATTCAAATGTTCGATTACTACTTGTTGTGAATAAATAGTATCAACTTATTTTTTTCTGTCTATATTAATATAATTTGCTGCACTAACACAATTGTTATTGAAAATTATATTCAAACAAAGTGTTTTTAATTATGACTAAAAAAAATTGTAAAAATAAATGACTAAAAAGTAGTAAACTACAACTTTTTTTTACATATTCTCATCACATGAGGAGATATTAAGAGAGAATAATTATTTTATTCAGATTACCTGAAATTGGTGAAGATTTACAGGAAAAGAATCCACTTTACTCGGAGGAAACAAAATTACCAGATTTTAAAAGAGTTACATTTGAAAGATGTTTAGCAGCCGTTAATAAACAATCTGTTGAATTTGAACAAAATTTATCATCTCTGGAAAAAGACATCGAAAGTAAATTTATATTTGCCACATTCTAAGAATATATAATTTTATTTACTATTTTCAATCGTCATTTTCATGCCAAACTTTTAATTGTTAATTATCTTAATTTTTATTTATTATTTTTTTTTAATTTTAGAAATTTATTATTTTATTTATTATTTATTAATTAATTTTTAAATATTATTAATTATTAATAGTCCGCATCATTCGGTTTTGGAGAAACTTGAGATTTTTACACGTTTTTACACTATAACTTAACTGTAAATGAAATTAGAATTAAATTAATTAATACCTATTGAAATCTAATATAGAAAATTAATGTCAATATGATTGTTTTATTTTTCAATTAACAGAAAATGAGAATTTCAATATCTTCACCGATTTAATAACTCCAATTGAGGAATCTCAAGTTCCATTAGAATCAACATGGGGTGTCACCAGAGCCTTGTATTTTGGCGATAAGCGCTATATGCTTGGACAATGTTATCCAAATATAAATAGACGTATTAGTGTTGCTCTCGGTTATAAATTTTGCAGTAAACAAATTCACAAGGCATGTAAAAATGCTTTAGAGGACAAAAATAATAAATTCACACCAGAACAGGAAAGGTTAATACAAAAATTTATTTTGGAAGGCAAACTCAATGGTTTAGAATTGAAATCGAAAAAATCACAAGACTTTGTTAAGTATTATTCTGGAAAAATTTCAACCGAACAAACATTATTTTCAAAAAAATTGGAGGTAATTATTTATTTGCACAAAAATATTTTTTATAAATTCTATTTTTATTTGTAAAAAAAAATAGAATTATAGTACTTAAATGAAAAGAGAACTATTTCAAAAATAGTATTTAAATAGAAAGAGAACTATATTTTAAAAATAGTATTTAAATAGAAAGAGAACTATATTAATGATAATAAAAGTATATAATAAGATATAAATTTTTTCCAATAGGCAAAAACGATATCATTTTCACGTACAGTTAGTAATCCACATGTAATGAAAGATTTTCCTGAATTATTTTCGAAATTAGTGGCACAAGATCCAAACAATCCTCATAAGGGTCCGTGGATTATTACTTTACGTCCTCATATCGTCTCAACATTTTTGGGTATAGTAAACTATTTTTTAATAAACAAAATATTATTTGCTTAAAAAATACAAAAAGAAAAATTGAGTTTATAGTTAATAATTATTTAATTTTGTTAGAATACTGTTCCGATAGAGAATTGAGGAAAGAAATTTGGCGAGAAGATGTTTTAAAGTGTTCTCTTTATAAAGAACGAGAAGTGCAAAACAGTACATCACTTGAAAACATAAGGGACTACCGAAAAGAAGTTGCAAATCATTTGGGTTACAAGACTTTCGCCGATATGAGTATGGAAACAAAAATGGCTGGAAGTTTAGAAAATCTTAACAACTTTTTCGATAGTTTACTCGAAGAAGGCAAGTTTCAAATAATATTATTAAAAAAAACATCAAATTATTAAAAATCTTAAATAGTTCATAAATTTTCTTTCTCAAATTAAAAAAAAATTCATGAATATAGAGTTACAGTTGCAATTTTTAGATAATAATTATTTTATCACTTATTTTTGTATTTAAATAATTAAATTCTCGTAGAACTTTTTGATAAGAAAAGAAATTTAGAAATTCTGAAAAACTGAGGTTCTTAAAAAATCGTAATTAAAATTTTTTATAACATTTTAATCACTGTAAAAGTATAATAACATTTAAATGTTATTATTTAAAAAAAATTAATAATATAAAAAATATATTATTTTCCTTTAAAAGTTATTAAGGTTTTGAATAATTTAATTTTACAATTAAAAGCGTTCTGTAAAATTTTACTGAAAAAAATTTTATATTTGAAAGAATTTAATTTTATTACTTTTAAAAATTGTTTTGAAATATAATCCTATTTTTGAAGAATTATGTTTCAAAAAATTAAATTTTTTATCAAATAATACGCTTTTTAACTAAAAAACAAAAATAAAATAAATTAGTTTTAAAATTGAAAAATTTAAATTTAATTTTAAAATTAAAAAACTAAATTTAATTTATTTTAAAAATTGTTTTTCAAATAATTCAGAAATATTTGTGAAATTTAACAATAATTTTTTCCATGAATAAGAATTTTTTTTCTTCTTTTAGCACGACCAGCGCAAGAACGCGAAATAGAGGAATTAAATAAATTTGCTCAAGAAAGAGGATTCGATGATACGTTAAGACAGTGGGACATTCCTTATTGGTCGCGAAAACAACGACGAGCAATATATCAGTAATTATTTTTTATTTCAATTAAATTTTCATTTTCCAATAGTATAGTAGAAAAAAAACTTTTGTTAATAGTTTAGTTTCTTTATTAAGAGATTTCTCAAGGATTTAGAAAATTTCTAAAAGCAGTTTCTTCTAAATTATTTTCACATGTGTTGCGCACATCCGGTTTGCCTCTTTCTTTATTACCTTCTTCCTTTTTATTCTTGTCTCAACTTATACTTGAGACTTTGTATATAGAAATACTTCACTCAGCATGAAATCACTAATATAATTTTAAAAGAACTAAATTTTAATAACAATTGAATCGCCGGTGACCAAAAAGACAAGAAACATCGTTTTAGCTAGTCTCTGGGGTTAAAAATTAAAATTTTTTTAAATTAAATTTAAATTAATATATTATTTAATTTTTAAGGAACTTAATAATTTATAACAAAAAATTTACGTTTTTATAATTAAGTTTTTCGCTTAATTACTTTTTGTCGCCGGTGGTTCAATCAATAACCAACTCGGTAAAATTACTGAGAATAAGAAACAAAAACTCATTAAAAGTCTATAATATTAATAATTTGCACAGTGTGAGATTTTTTTCCTAAAAGAATAATACTACTGATAACCATCAAAATTTAATCTGTACTTATCTCGCAGGTATGAAGAGAACGTTATTCAGGAATATTTTCCACTACCAACAGTTATGGTGTCAATGTTTAAATTGTTGGAAAATTTATTTAACATCAAAATAGAAGAGTATGAAAATCCAAATGTTTGGAATGAAGATGTTCGTTTGTACAATATTTATGATTTGGATTCTTCAATTATAGAGCCAGCGGCTCAATTTTATTTCGATCCCTATGTTCGAGATTATAAAATAAAAACCAATTCAAATGAGGGTGTAATGGTTCCCATCAGAAATAGAAGCAAAGTTTGCGATAGAAATCCACTGGCAGCACTGATATTTAATTTTATGCCTCCAACGTCGGATAAACCTTCGCTTCTCACATTTTTGGATGTTGTGGAATTATTTGACAAAGTAACTATGGAATTTCTTTTCTGTATTTATGAATTCTATTTCTATTCTTTATATTATTACTTTTCATTTATTTTATTTTCAAGGAGTAATTTTTATAATTTTATTAATAATTTACTATTAAATTTAATTAATAATTTACTACTAAATTTACTTAATTTACTTAATAATTAATAATTTACTATTAAAATAAATTCATAACTTATTCAATTTACATTTAAAAAACAAAAGAATTAAGGATTCCCATAGAAATTTAAAAATTAGAAAAGTAACTATTACATTGAATTTTATTTTTACAATAATTGAAAATTAAAGAATTATTGATATTTTTAATAATTTTTCACTACTTTTCATTTAAACAGAGTAATTTTTAGAATTAATTAATTCATTAATTTTACCGATAATTAAGAAGAATTAAATCACTTTTTTTCATCTGATGTTAAATAATTTTTTATTTGCAAATTTTAAAGTTAAATAGTCAAATAATATTTTACATTTGATAGAAATTTATTTTTTGAAAAACTATTTTATTTCCCCTTGCAGAGGATTTCAGGAAATATTAAAGCGGTTGTAAATTTAATTGACAAATGACGAGTTCCCTCATTTTATTATCTATTCAAAAATATCCTCGAGTTAATTTCTGATGGTCAGTAATAAAAGAAAATTTTTGACTTCTTAAAATGCAGGATTACTGACAAATGAGTTTTAATACTTCCTGAAGATTATAAATCTATCGAATAATATTATTATGGAATTTTCAAGGCTACAAAAAAGTAGCCTTTTTTTAGTAGGGATTTTTCCTTTAAACATTTTTTTAGGAACAGAAAATTTTACAATAGTTGTAAAAAAAATAAACTTTACTTCTGTTATTTATTATCTAAAAGTAGAAAATTTTTTTAGTTTATTATTGGTTTTGTCTACTTATTACTATTATTACATTCATAAATTTTTTATAAACTTTTTCTTTTATTAATTTTACAGCAATTTTTTCCATTAATTTTTTGTTAGTATTTTAATTTATATTTATATATTATTATAAATATAAATAATAATTATTATTTTAATTTCAATTTTTTGACAGTATTTTAATGTATTTCGAATTTAGTTTATTATTATAAACAATAGTAATTATTATTATTAATTCTGTTATTATAAATTAATTTTATATTACGGTTATATAATTTTAATTGTTTAAAATAAAATTTTTTTTATTCGTTTTAAGGCAAGTGGAAAATTAAATTTCTCTTTTAGCAAAAAAAAAAAATAGTGAAAAAAATGTTTGTACAATTTTACCTTTACAAATATTAAAGTGAATTGTTATCTTTGTTAGAACGTCTCAACTTAATTTAAAGGATGAGAAAATTCCAGGTAGTTATTGTTGCATACTACGTGCTAAATCTTAATCTTCTTTTAAACCCCTTTATGTTGCCAGGAATCCTCAATATTTACGGTTACCTTCATATATTGTTAGACAACGATAAAAAATTTACTGTGTATAAAATTTTATTTTTTCTATTTACTTTAAACAAATATTTAATTAATGAAAAATATTTTTATTTATCAGTTTGGCAAGGCCCTTCATCATCTTTTAACGAAAACAAATTATATCGAATTGGCCGGTTTGTCAAATGTCGAGTGGGATGCGTCAGATGTTAGCGGACAATTTATGAGTAATTGGTGAGTAAATTACTTTCCAACTGATTTTTTTTTTATTAAAATAATGAAGTAAACGATCACTTTTTAATTATTTTAAAATATTGGAATATTTATTTTTGTAAATTTTAGAGGGAAATTTAAAATAAAAATATCTAAAGATGAATTTAAAATTTAGAAAATTAAATATTCCAAGTTTAAATAAAATAATTGAAAAGATGAAATTTAATTTAAGAATAAAAAAGGTAAAAATATATTTATTTTCCTTTTTATAAAATTCAGGGTTTATGAATCGTCTGTTTTATCTGAAATGGCAAAACATTATAAAACTGGAGAACCTATGCCACAAGAAGCAATTGATAATCTCAGAAATATGAGAACTTTTATGGCTGGTTATAAACTTTGTGAAAAACTTTATTTGTCGCGATTCGATATCCAATTGCACTCAACGTAAGTTTTTTTTTTAATTATTATCTCAATTTTTTGTTTAAAGAAATAAATAATAAAATATTTTCTTTGTTTTTCATTGTAGAGACGAATTTTGGGTACAAATAATGAAACGACTGTGGAAACAGCATTTTGTCATTCCAGAATTCAAAGAAGATTCGCATGTTTGTTCATTTATTGACATATTCGGTGGAAATTTCGCAGCAGCCTATTACACGTATGTTTTTATTATTATTAATATAAAACATCTTTTTGGAACTTAAAAATTAAAATTAATATTTGAAAATTAGAATTAAAATTTGTAAATGATAATTAAATTTCGAAATTAAAATTAAAATTCTTAAAATACAGTTAAAATGTTTAAATTAAATCTAAAAATTTCAATTTTTCTAATTAGCCAAAGAAATATTAATTTACTAGTTTTGATGAATTTGAATTTTATTTTTTAGAATTTTGTGGTCAGAAATGATTGGTGCCGATATATTTAGTGCGTTTCAAGAAATCCCTTCAGGCGACCAAGAACAACAGAAATTAATTGGACGCAGGTATAAAGAAACTTTTCTCTATTCGGGAGGTAGTTCTTCGTCGAATGAATTATTTAGAAGATTTAGAGGACGTGATCCAAGTGTAAAAGCACTTTTAAAGAATTTGGGATTAAAAGTTCCAGTCGAGAAGCAAATCAATACTTAAATACAATGTAGATGAAAATTTATATTCTCAGTTATAACAAAAGAAAAATTTTATTCTTTATTATGTTGCATTGAAGCGCTCAATTATACATTTTTTTAAACTTAAAGATTTTTTCTAAATTTTAGAGAGAGAGAGAGAGAGAAAATTAAAAAAATTTAAACTAGAGAGATTTATTATTCATTTAAATTTAGGTCATTTTAAATTTCTCTTAAAGTAAAAATTATAGTCCTTATTATGACAAAATTTGTAACTTTTGTTATAACTTTTTTATATACTTTTTTCTCCATAGTTTAAGTATGTAAGAACCCAAGTCATTTATATTTTAATTAGAAACAATTCTTGTAAAATATTCTCAATCAATTGCGATGTTTCCTTGCTTTACGACGATAAGTGACAAAAAAAAATATTGGAAAGTAATAGATTTGATATATATTTAATACTGAGTTGTATGTTTGTATATAAATAGCTATTAATCTTAAAGACGTAGTGTAAATAATTGCGAAATTTTCCTTTTTTTAAAAAAATATTGTAATCTTTGTGATTTCTATGGACAAAATTATGACATAAAAATTATTATACGACACATTTGAAATGGAATATTCTGTTTAAAACATGTTTATGAAAATAAATAAACACATTTTAAGTAAATATTTAAATATGAGTCGGTACATTTCTTTATTTGCATATCTAATTTTAAAAATGTCTACAATTTTATTAAGCATATTGCTATATTTTTATGTATATGAATAGTGAAAATTACAAAAATTTACAACAGTAAAAATAAAAGTATTTTCCAAGAATTAAATATTATTTACATTTCTATCAAATATTAGGAGGATAGAAACGCACAACTTAAGAATAAATAATAATTTATAATTAAAAATAAACCTTTGGCATGGCATCGAGTAAAAATACTTTTACATTATAATGCAAATGCTCTTCAAAAAATATTTTTTATTATTTATATATTGTATTAATCAATATTGATCACATTTGACTTATTATGCTCTTTAAATTCTCTTTTAAAATAATAAAAATAGAAAAATAGATTCTTTGTGAAGAATTAAATAAAAAATGTCAACTTATTTTTTATCTTTACAATGTGAGATAAATTAAAAAAATAGTTTCGTAAATTTACTAAAATTTCATTAATTTCATTTTGAAATGTTTCAAAAAATCAACATGAAGTAAGTAAAACTAAATTCTTTATAAATAGAACATTAACAGAAAGAGGTGAGAATTATTGCTATAAAAAGTAAAATAATTACAATCCAATATCCACAGGTTCTGTCCTTTTGACTAATATTTTGCACGGTTCGTGTACCTTCAATTAAACGCTCATCCGTTCTGTCAACGTGATCCGCAAGGTCGTCGATTATTTCTGAAAAAAAATTCTTGTAAATAAATAAATAAAATTAAATCTCAGAATTGTATATTAATTTTTCTTTACCATTATGGTGATCCACTTCGCTGTGTATCGCTTGCGCAATATGTTTTTGCCTCGTAATAACTTTCGATAATTCCTCTAATCCTTTTTCTTGTTCTGAAATTAAGAAAAAAGTTATATTCATAAAAAAAAGATCAAAATAATTGTAATTAAAAATATTATTAGTACCCTCCATTAGTCGTTGTTTTTGAGTTTGAATATCTTCTATCGTCACTTGAACATCTAGAGGTCGATCGTCATCATCGTCAATAGCCCAACTGGTTGTTCCAATATCAGCAAAAGCCGCCGATGAACTTGGAGCCATTAAGGCAGTTCGTGTCATTGCAAGGTCAGCGCCACGAGAATTAAATAGTCGTTGAATTTGCACGTCTTTACTTTGCAATTGTTCAATTTGTCTAGTTCTACGTTCAGCTTCCTCGGCAGTTCTGTCATCCTTTGAATATCAAGGCGAATATACTCATAATTATAATAAATATAAAATATTTATTAATTTTTTTATTTTATTTTACTATTTACAGGATTTGTACTCGATACTTAATTTTAAAAAAAGTAGCTTAAAGAAAGAAAAAAGTGGTAAAAACGTAGCGTTATTGAATAATTAAATATATAATTATGAATTCTTATAAAGAACTTCATCAAAATTTCTTTAAATGATTGGATTTTTTCGAAGAATTTTATTAAAATTTTTAAAAATAATTGCATTTTTAGCGGAATTAATTTAAAATTATAATTAAAAAAAAATTGAAATCCTGTGATGAGTTTTACTATTTATGAAAATAATTGAATTATTTCCACGAATTTTAATAAAGTTTTTAAAATAATTACATACTTGAGAACAATTTTAAAAAAATCTTGTTGAAGAATTGATTTTTTCATTAAATTTTATGAAAATCGTGTTTTAAATAATAGAATTTTTTTGAAAATTGTGTTATTTATGAAAATAATTGAATTCTTTCAAAAAATCTTATTGAAATTATATATTGAAAACAATTGAATTATTATAAAGAATTTCATTACAACTTTTTTCAATAATTGAATTCTTTCAAAGAATTTTATTAAAATTTTTAAGAATAGTTGCATTTTTCGCGGAATTTATTTAAAATTTTATTGTATGTATTAAAAATAATTGAAATCCTGCGATAAGTTTTAAATATTTATATAAAAATAATTGAATTTCTGAGAAGAATTTTATTATTTATAAAAATAATTGGATTCTTGCGAAGAATTTTATAAATATTTTTCGTATAGTGTAAATTTTCAAACATAGAAAAAAGTAGCATTTTGTGTAATAATTAAAAAAAAGTATCCAAATAGTAGCAAATCGTAAAAAATAGTAATAATAATAATAAAAATAATAATTATGATAATGATTGATAATAATAATTTTGTCTTGGTTTTTAGTCAAATAAAAAAATGAATATGAATAAAATAGGTTGTTATTAATATATTTTACTAAAGGATACATATTTCTTTGCTTTGAAGATTCTTCAACTTTTATTTTAAGTTGTTGAACTTCGCCACTGTACTGCCTCATACGAAGACGAATATTAGCTGATAAATTGATAAATGTTTGTGATGTACGAGGTTCCCGATCACGGAGTGTTAATTGCTCCATTATCTCGCGAAATAGTTTCTCACACGCGTCATATTCTGTAAGCCTAACAAAAAAAGACAATATTAATTATATTAAAAAAAAAATTAAAAATTCATCTCAGGAATTTGATAATTATACGCCTAAAAGTGCGATAAGATAATATTGTCTTTATCAAAAAAACTGAGCGTATTGCAAAAAAATTTTATTCCACACTTACCACGGGTCACTGCCTTCTATATTTACAAGAGCCATTGTTAAATATCTTCTGTAATTAAAAATTAATATAAACAATTTTTAATCTGTGAAACAAATGTAAACGAAAATTTCTGTAAATCATTCAACTTTATAGGTTATGTTTACAAATTTCATTGTTTTTAATCTTTTAATATTTAAATCGAATTCGTGGGTTTAAATTTAGAAAACAAAATTAACATATAAAAGTAATTTTTGAAAAAACACAGAAAATAAGGAATTTTTAATATAATAAACACACTTGTCAATAAAAGTTCCTCTTGAAAATAGAAAAACAAGTTTTTTTGAAGCGTTCAAATCATTTTGTTAATAAAAAACATTGTTTTTTTTCATTATTTCGCAATTCTCTATTGTCATAAATAATCAATTATATCTTTGTCATAAAGATTGGCACTTTTTTTTACAAACAATTGTAAAAAATCGAAAACTATTTTTAATAATTTGACTTTTTTTGACAGTTCTGATTATCTTTACTGCGCACGCGCACTAGTCGTCTAAATGTCAAAAAACAAATATAATTTATTGCGCATTTTGCATTTAATAAGAATAAGAATTTATTTTATAGTAAGAAAAATAAAGTCAATTTTCATATATGAAAACTTAATTCATTTTCATTGTTTAATACAATTTCTTTTTAAAAAAGACATATATTTTTTTTTGTATATTAATTTATAATTCCCGCAATTTAAAATTTTGCATACAGTGCTACCAATTTAGTGCTTTTTTGAAATAACCTAGAAAATTTTCACTAGGAAGGACCTTCATCGACTTTTGACATTTTAGAGGAAGGGCCTGTCAAATATATCGTAAACAATTTCTACGTTTTTTGCAATTTTTGTAAGTAATTTAATGGTATTATTTTAATCTGACACTTCTTCTCATTGAATTAAATTTGAAATTTTAAATAACATTAATTTCCAGATGAAAAAAACAAGTGTGTCTGGAAAATTTTTAGAAAACAATGCCTGTTAGAAAAAGTATCCTCAAAAAAAAAATTATACTGTTTATTGTTGAAAATATTTATTGTTTAGTTTTTATATTACGTGTATATTGTTTGTTATTTTTTCTCTATTGTTATAGAAAATCAAAAAATATGTTTACTTAGTTTTTGTAAACGTACATGAAACGATTTTTTAGTTAAAAATAATATCTATAAGAAAAGTGCGTATTTTTCAAAAATATTTTGACTCTCAAACATTTTAGTGCTAATAATTAAATAAATAATTAAATAACAGAAAAATTAAATAAAACTAATTACTTTTTACAGTGTTTTAAGTAACAGGGTGGCCACATGTCAGTAAAGTCAAGAAAATGATAGGAAAAAAAGTTTTTATTAAGGAAATTAAGAAAATTGAGACTTTTTTTGACTTACTTTCAAAAATTGCGACATTTTCGACTTTTCTTTCAAATATTGCAACAAAATACCACATTTTTTTACAGTATAAAATGCAACTTATTTCGATTTTTATAGTGCGAAAAATAACTATAAACACATCTTTCAAAAATTGTTTTTGAATCCTTTTTAGATAAATTAACTTTTACAAATATATCTCTATAATAAAAATGTTTTTGAATAATTGAAACTTTTGTAAAATTTAATTAAAAATAATTAATTTTTTCCAAGTATTTTGCTACAATTTTTGAAAAATTTTAACTGCAAATTTTTAAAATAATTTAATTAACAAAAATTTTAATGAAAAATCTTTAAAAAATGCAAATTAATAAAAATTAGCTTCTAATTTTTTAAAATTCAATATTTCAATTATTTTCAATTAAATATTTTCGAAAATTCAAATATATACAAAAAATAATAACATTTTAGAATTATTTTTAACATTTTTGGAGATAAAAATCATGTTCAAAATTTTTAATTAAAATTTTATTTATAATTTTCAAAAATTCAATGATTTTGAAAAAATTTTACCAAGTTTCAATTATTTTTAAAAGATTTTATAAAAATTTCAATTGTTTAGAAATTTTCCCATAGGATATAATTGATAAACATTTATCCCTCAAAAAATATATAAATGGAATTTTTATATTTAAATAATTGAATTCTCGAAGAACTTTAGGAAAATTATTCAAACTAATTGACTAAGAGGTGAAGTTTAGTTAAAAATTGTTGAAAATAATTGAATTTTGAAAGGGTTTTGGCTGTAATTATTAAATTTCAAAAGGTTTTAAATTTTAATTTTTAAAATTTTGTTTTCCTTGAAGAAATGGACTTTTTCTTCCCTGAAATATTAACAAAATTCTTAGAAATAATTCAAAAAATTTTCAAAATTCCATTTTGTTCAATATCTATTTTCATAAGAAAAATGCCAAAAAAATTCAATTATTTTAAAAAATTTTAATAAAATTCGTCGCAAGAATTCAATTATTTTCAATAAGTTACAAAATTCTTCGGAAAAATTCAATTATTTTAAAAAACATGGACAGTAATTGAATTCTAGAAAAACTTTCCGAAAATTATTTAAAACAATTGATTTAGATATGAAGTTTAGTTGAAAATTGTAGAAAATAATTGAATTCAGGAAGGGTTATACCTAATTGTAATCTTTATAAATTATTAAATTTCATAAATTATAGATACTCATTTTCCATAAACTTTCATATTTTCCTGTAAAAAGAATTTTTGTCAAGGAAAATAATTTTAATTTTTAATTAAGAAAAGTTTATATAATATGCGTATTAAAAACTTGAAAATGAAAAAATAACTTTCTTGTAAATGTTTATTAATTTTTATAATAATTTTCCTTTTTTGTTCTCTCGACAGGCTTCGTCAATATGCGGTTGTTTGGTCGGCGATCCAGTACCGACCAAACAAGAAGACCTATTACTAAACTTCAATATGAAGTACACAACTGGACGAAAATGTCTGACGAAGAAGTGATTGCTGTATTAAAAGAAGATTATCAATGTCTTCCAACAAAAAAATGGAAGAAATCAATTCCAAAGGAAGTGAAGAATCTCACTCCTCTAACATCGGGAAATCAGAATGTTCTCATTCCCGTTGTCGCTGGATTATCCGGTCTTGCTTTTGGTTACGATATGGGAATCGGAAAACCCTTAACAACATTCATGAAACATGATTTCACTCTAAATTGCCATCAGGAGAATACAATTCTCATTGTGTGGTTTGTCGGCGCACTTTTTGGTGGTTTATTCGGAGGTACGAGTCAATTTTTACTATTTTTTATAAAATTATCCAAAAGATTCAATTTTGATTCACATTTGAATTTTTATAAACAAATAATTGAAAATTTTTGAAATAATTGAATCGAAAAATGTAATTATTCTTAAAAATTTTATTAAAATTCGTCGAAAGAATTCAATTATTTCTAGAAACTGTAAAAAAAATTCTTCTCAAGAATTCAATTATTTCCATAAATAGCAAAATTCTTCAGATTTACTAAAGTCTTTTAAATAATATTTAAAAAAAAAATTCTTCAAAAGAATTTAATTATTCATAAAAACTCTAATAAAAATTTTGGCAGCTATTTGTAGATTTATTTATGTTCGAAATAAAATTTAAATTTGATGAGAAAAAAATCCGGAAAAAATTAGGACAAAGCCAGAAATTTTGTTGAACAAAAATAGACACCCTGAATCAATTAAATTTCAATTAACAAAAATTAAATATTTATTTCATATTAAATCTATTCTAACTGGTTGTATTTTATTTGAATAAAAATTTAATTTTCCAGGCTTTTCGATCGACACGTTCGGCAGAAGATTCACAATGATATTGTCGCTGATATTATTAGCGTTTGGTTCAATATTATCGTCGTTGGCGAATCATTATATATTATTTTTAGTCGCGAGAATTGTTTGCGGTTTCTCGGGGACAATTTCCGCCATGTCACATTGCATTTACATGGCCGAAGTTTCTGATAAACGAAAACGAGGTTCGAATATAACTTTACATCAAATTGGCACTGCTACGGGACTTTTGGTCGCTATTATTATTGCCGCCAGCAAAGGCACTGAATGTCAATGGCGATTTATAATTGGTCTCACCTCCGTTCCAGCATTAATTGCCTGCATTATTATTATCATTTTTCTACACAGATCGCCATCGTTTCTTTTATTGAAGAAATTATCGAATATGCCGAAGCACGTGAATCAATTGTCAGCGTCAATTACAGCTTGGTGTTATATTCTGAAAATGTTTATCATCATGACAGTGATGTTGATATTGAGGCAGGGTACGGGACGACATCAAGTACTCGCCTATGCTCCCAGACTCTTCTCACTTCTTGGAATGTGTCCCGGTAAAGAAAAATTTAATTCTAAAACTTTATTTTTTCCCTTTTGTTTTCTTTTTTTTCTCTTTTTTGGGAGAAATTTATTTATGGATTTATTTTTTTTTTATTTTTTCAAAGTTTATAAATAGAAATGAATTGAATTGTTCAAGACGATGCGGATGTGGCGGCTTCGATAGCTCTGGGAATTATAAAAGTCTTCAGTACTTCATTGGCTTTGGCTGTTGTTGAACGCTGTGGACGTCGTACGGCTTTAATAACATCGGCAACAATTTGCATGACTACAATTTCCCTATTGTCATTATTGGCCACAATGGATAGGAGTGACGATTCTTTGAATCTTGTTCGTGAGCCGTGCAAGAATATTCCAAATGTCACTGAAACCATTAATCAAAATGCGAATATACCGATTGGATTTCCGCCTCCCTATCCTCTATTGCCAACGCCTCTTGCGATTATTGCTCCGAATCCGAAACCTTGGACACAAATAAAAACCACTTGCGAGGTAATTATTTAGAATATAAGAAATAGATAATTAAATGTCAATTACATTTTATTTGCATTTAAATTTTTTTCATTTTTTTTTCATTTTATTTATTTTATTCGTTAAAACTTGTTCTTTTTTTCATTTTATTCATCATGTTTGCGTCGTAAACCATGAAATTACCAAGAATTCTTATACAAAACTTTAATTTCTTTTTAATTGTGACACTAATTTCTTTTTAAGGGAATTTGAACAGCTTTAGAAGTCACAGCTTTAGAAAACATGCTTTTCGCAAACTGTAACGTCAGAATGGTTCAAAATACCTTAAATAACTTAATTCTTGAAGAATTATCATAAAATTATTATTATAAATATTACTTAATGAATAATTTTACTCAAATGTTTAAAAATTAATTGAATTTTAAGAGAGTTGCGTTTACAATTTTCATAAAATGATGAACTACAAAAGGTTTCAATTTGAAATTGTATAAAATTTCAATTTTGAATGAATTCAGGCATCGCCAAGAAAATGTAATTATTTTAAAAAATTTAAATTTTTCATAGAAATTCAATTATTTTCAAATATTTTAATAAAATTGTTCGAACAAATCAATTTTTTTAAATACAGGAATTCAATTATTTCAATTAGAATTCATTCAATTATTTACGTAAATAAATCTTCAAAAGAATTCAATTATGTCGATAAATAACAAAATTATTCTTGAAAATTCAATTATTTTGAGGCATTTTAATAAAATTCTTTGTAAAATTCAATTATTTTCATAAATAACAATATTCATCACAAGAATTCAATTATTTTTAAAAGTAATAAATTTCTTCTGGGAAATTAAATTATTTTTAAAAATTCTAATAAAATCGTTCGGAATAATTCCATTATTTTCATAAATAATAAAATGCTTTTTAGGAATTCAATTATTTTCAAAAAAAATTTAATAAAATACCACACATACATTCAATTATTGTCAAAAAATTTTTAATAGAATTCTTTGCAATAGAATTTTATTAAAAACTTTTCGCAATTCAATGATTTTCAATATCTACTATATTTTCATAAAATTTTCAAACAGAATTCAATTATTTAAATTAGAATTTGCATAAAATTAATCGAAAGAAATCAATTATTTAAAAATTTGTATAAAGTTCCTTCTTCGCAAGAATTAAATTATTTTTATAAATATTTAAGGTATTTGTCGCGCAACTGGTCACTCTCAAAAGTTTGTATCTGTTAACTGTACTTATGAAACGATTATGAATGCGAGTTTCCGAAAAACTTTTGCGGACGTACAGTTTGACACACAGATGTTCTCAATGTATATTCATAACCTCTCGCATGAAAAACGATCGTGGCAACGTCGCAAGTTTGGCGTATGGCCGTCTTTAAAATTTCGCGCCAAAAGTAGCAGACGAGCTGTAGTATTTAACAAGCGCTATTGCCACGTTTACGAATTCACCTGTCATTTACAATAAATGTTAAAATAAATTTTCAAGTTTGATGTTAAATATCTTTTAAACAAGACGGTGAAAAATTTTCATTTTTTTTATAAAAGTTCATTTTGGTTCAATAAATAAAACTTTAGTTTTTCTAAAAAATCTGTCGATTAGTATAAGTGCAAAAATTAAAAATCTGTGGTTTTCATATGGTTTTCCTATACCGTACATGTTAAAAATCGAAACTTTGATTTCATTTTTTGAGACTTACAGACGGTCAATTTTATTTTAATAGGCCTTATTTTGTAGATAAATATCCAAAGAATAATTATGTGAAATTTAAAAAAAAACTGTCGAAAACGAATTTACGCGACAAATACCTTAAAACTCATAGCAGGATTTCAATTATTTTTAATACAATTTTAAATGAATTTCGCGAAATATGCAACTATTCTTAAAAAATGTTAATAAAATTCTTTGAAAAAATTCAATTATATAAAAAAATTTCAATGAAATGCTTTATAGTAATTCAATTGTTTTCAATATAATTTTAATAAAATTTTTTGAATGAATTCAATTATTTTCATAAATAATACAATTTGCAAAGAAATTCAATAATTATTATTCAAAAGAAATAAAATTCTTCACAGAAAGTCAATTATGTTAAAATTTCTTTTAAAAAACCCCTTAAAAATTTCAATTATCTTTGTAAATAATAAAATTTTTAGGAAAATTTCAAAAGTTTTCGTTATATCAATGATTTTCAGTATCTAAGATTTTAATAAAATTCTCCAAAAGATTTAATTTATTTAAAAAAAAATTTGATAAAATTCTACGCAGAACATTTAATTATTTTCATAAATAATAAAAATTTTACAGAAATTCTATTATTTACCATTTTTTTAATAAATTTCTTCGCAACATTTAAATTATTATTTACAAAAATAATAAAACTCATAGCAGAATTTTAATTATTTTTAATAAAATTTTAATCGAATTTCTCGAAAAATGTAATTATTCTTAAAAATTTTATTAAAATTCGTCGAAAAAATTCAATTATTTAAAAATTTGTTGATAAAATTCTTTATTTGAATTAAATTGTAAGTAGTATCTAATCTATTATTCGCAATAAATTATTTATTTTTGTATTTAAATAATTAAATTCTATTAGAATTTTCTAATAAAAATTGATTGAAAAATTAATTTTAGTTAAAATTTTAGATAAAAATTATTGAATATTAAAAGCATTATAGAGTGAATTTTTAGAAATAATTGAATTTTGAAAAGGTTTAAAATTAAAATCTTTGAAAATTTGAATTTCTCATACTTTTAACTATTAATTCTGTAGAATTAATTTTTTTGAAAAAGTTTAATTGAATTTTTTATTTTTTAATATATATTTAATTAAAGAATTTTCGAATAATCGAGATTTCGTTAAATTGAATAGTAATCAATTAGATTTGAAAATTCTCAAAGAACTTCTTGTAAAATTATTAAAAATAATTTATTTAAAGATGAATTTTAGTTAAAAATTTTAGAAAATAATAATTGAATTGAAATGATGAAAATAATTTTGAAGAAGTCCCAGTGATAATATTCTTATAAAATAAAATAATGATTTTATCATTTGGTCATTTTTAATTATTAAAAAATATGAAGAAATCGATTACTCCGAGTTGAAGACTCGGAGTGATCGATTTCTTCATGTTTTATAATATAATTATATATAATTTTTATAAATCATTGAATTTAAAATTCTTGAAAACCTTAATTCCTATGAAAAATTAATAATGATTAAATATTTACAATTTGTGTTAAATTGATATTTAAATAATTTATTTCAGCCTCAATCAACATCGGAAGGCTTAACAGGCGGTCTTCAAATTCTCGCCGTGATCACATTATTTGTTTATGAATCGGCGTACGCTTTGGGAATTGGGCCAGTTCCGCTTTTAATTCTTTGTGAAGTGTTTCCTGCAACGATTAGAGGAAGATCGATCGGCTTTTTTGTGATTGTCCTCTGGATTTCGCACGTGTTTGTCTCCGAATCGATTTTCAAAGTGACCAGTAAGATTTTCTTATTTATTATTTCACTTACTCTAAAAACTCTTTCTTCTTTAATGACAAATAATTAATATAATATTAAATTGCAAATTAATATTTTAAAACTAAATTACAAATTTAATATTTTAATAGCGAAATTAATTTTTTTCCTCAGTCTTTGGAAAAATTTGATAATTTATTTGTTAACTGTTTGTTTTTGTTTATTTTAAAAAATCTATTTAAATATTTTTTTGTTTTTAAATTTATCATAAATTTGAAAATGAATTAATCGATTTTTACTTCTCCCTGCAGAAATGCTGACTCTGGCTGGTGCATTTTTACTTTACAGTTTTGTCTGTCTAATAACGATATTTTACGTATTTCTATTTATTCCGGAGACAAAGAGAAAATCACTGAATCAAATTGCTCACGAATTATATAGAGTTTCATTGAAATCGAGAATCTGCGAGAATTTAAGAAGTCTACCGCTTGTCTGTCATATCGAGTGGATTATGAAATACGGCGATAATTCGAATAATGAACAAAGTACGCCCATCTAAACCAAAAGAAAAATAATGCAAAAATAAAAAAAGATATTTGCAAGAAGACAGAAGAAGAAGAAGAAGAAGAAGAAGAAGCAGAAAACGCGGAAAAATAACGTTAAAAACGTAAAATAAAAGGAAAAAAAGTATTATCGCCATTACATTAAAACAAAAAAAATCATCTCTCATCAAAAATTTACGTGCGATTACAAGTTTTACACATTAATTAGAATTATAAACACGTAGAGATTTTTTACTTTACTCCTAAAACAAGAAAAAGAAGAAGTAACTCTACATGATGGACTGAATAATTCTTTTCTTCAGTTTTTCACTGAAAAAATTTTTATTTCGATGAAAAAATTCGAATTTTTGTCCTTCTTTTATTGGAATTCATGAAAATTTCCAAAGACTTTTTGAAATTGAAATATTTTTCTATAGTGCTTTTAAAGAGAATATTCTTTCTTTTACTCTTTTCTTTAATATTACTTTAATATTTTTTATAACTATTCGTGAAAAAAGTATTGACTCTAGTTGTTAATAAGTTTATTTTTTTAAATTTATTTTTTATCCCGTTATAATATTTATATTTATAACCATATAAAACCTGTGATATTATCCTTCTTCTTTTATTTTTTTCTTTTTAAAAAAAAAGAGATTGGAAAATGAAAAATGAATTCTTGTGAAATTTTTCAAAAAGAAAATGAAATTTCCATGATAATTTTTATTTAAAGGATTTTTTTACAAACAATTAAATTTAATTAATTACTATTATTAATTAAATTTTAAATTAATAAATTAATTGATATTAATTAAATTAATATTAATTAACTTTAATCGAATGATGTTTAAAATATTAAAATGAATTGAATTCAGATATTTTCTATTTTTATATCATATTTAAAATTATTTATCTTATTGCAATTGTTATATTTTTAATTAATTTATTATGCAAAAAGGAAATTCACTTTCTTACTTTTAGAATAAAAAAAAAGTAAATTATATAAAATGAATAATATATTAAAATTTACACGAAAAATACACTCTTATTTGTCAATTTTATCTCACATGTTACAGAAAAAAAACAACTTTTGTATTCTTATACACAATTTTTTCTTCATTTATTCTTAACGAATTTTACTGTAGATCTTAAATCTATCTAAAAACTATCACAGTTACATTATTTAAGTATATTTAAATAATAAGCAATTTAGAAATAGAAAAAGATCGTGTCGAAACTTCAGTTTTATGTAGTTTTTGTGTATATAAAAAAATAAATTAAACATTTAGAGAATATTTATATCTGAATTAGTAAAATAAAGTACAAAATACAAAAAATTAGTGTTTCTTTTTAAAAATCTTTAAATTGATGTTTTAAATTGTTAAAATGATTATTAAATCATTTATATTAAAAATTGAAGTTAAATTTTATTTTATTTAAACTTATTGAGTGCTTTTTAGTTTGGGAAAATTTTATTTGAACAATTAAAATAACAATATTTCTTGTATTCATTTATACATAAATTTATTTCAATTGTAAATTTTTACAAAAATGTAAAAAACAAAAATTGATACAAAACTTTTTTTCTTATTATATTTTATATATAAAAGCAGTTGTGTTTGAGAAATATATAATCTTTCTCTGGAAGACTATAAAAAATCACATGTGTTTATAGCAAGTGTGTAACGAATATTTAATAATTTTGCAGTACTGCAAAAAAAGGAATGGTAATAAAAAGACAAAAGTATGTTAAAAAAAGAAGAGAGAAAAATCATTTCTTTCTCTATTTCCTTCTGTTCTTTTTTTTATATATTCTCACTTTTTTGTCTTTTCTCTTCCACAACACTTGCTTCGAGAAAAATAAAATGCTTACAGAATAAAATAAAAATTCTCCATATATAAAAAAATATATATAGAAATAAAAGTATTGTATAAAAAAAACGTGTAAAGAACGTATAAAAAAGTATTAAAAAATTTGTATAAAAGTTAAAAAACTATTTACAAGCGCAGACAACTGCAAATCTATTTTATAAAACAATAGATTTTGTCACATCCTTAAAATAATACTGTAGAATTTATTTTTTTCTTATCTTCAAAATTGATACAGATTTTATTTTTTTTCAATATTAACTTTCAGAAAAAAGTTTATTCAGTTCATTTGAAAATATGAAAATTGTTATTAAGCGTCGATCATAATTTTAGAAGAGGAAATTTCTTCTTTACTTAAAATAAATTTTGCGAAGGGGAAAAAGTTAAAGTTAAAGAAAATTTTTAAGTTTTTGGAAAATTCAATTATTTCAAAACATTTTTTTAATTTTTTTGCGTATTTCTTCAAAAAAATGATTATTTTCAGGAAAATTTTGATGAAATTTACATTTGACAATTTTTCAATTAATTACTTTTGGAAATTTAATCTTCAAAAAAATTTTAATTACAATTTTTCAAAATTTCTGAAATCAATAATAATTTAAAGCTTCAATGAACTTGTGAAATAAATATTTAAATAGTTTTATACATATTTTTCCCGGGGGGTTAAAATTTTTTAAAATTTAAATTTCAAACCTTCTGAAATTTCATTACTTTTACAAATTACAAATGTAATTCTTTCAAAATTCAATTATTTGCTAGAATTTTTTGACTAAAATTACTTAAAAGTTTAAATCTTTTGAAATTTAATTATTTCTAAAAATTTCTCTATAACTCTTTCAATATTCAATTATATTTTGTAGAATTTGTAATCTAAATTTTTTTCCTAAATCAATAAAATTAGTAATTTTAAGAAAGTTTTATGAGAATTGTTTTCAATTTAATTTCAAGGAATTTTGACTATTCGAAATTTTTTCAATTGAATATCAAAAATTAAAATCAAAATTTTTCAAAGAATTAAATTGTTTACAATTTTTAATTAAAATTATTTAAAATTCAAATCTTCAAAAATTTTAATTTGAAATCATTTGAAATTTAATTATTTATAAAAATTTCTCTATAACTCTTTCAATATCCAATTATTTTCTAGAATTTTTAACCCAAATTCTTTTCTAAATCAATAATATTTAGTAATTTCAGGAAAGTTTTTTTTGAGAATTGTTTTCAATTTAATTTTAAGAAATTTTGACTATTCGAAATATTTTCAAATGAATGTACATATCTTCAAAAATTTAAATCAAAATTTCCCAAAAAATTAAATTCTTTATAATTTTTAATTAAATTTATTTAAAATTCAAATCTTCAAAAATTTTAATTTGAAATCATTTGAAACTTAATTATTTATAAAAATTTCTATAACTCTTTCAATATCTCCAATTATTTTCTAAAATTTTTAATCCAAATTCTTTTCTAAATCAATTACTTTTAATAATTTTTTAGAAAAATTTTAATTTTTTAATTTTAAAAAATTTCGATTATTTGAAAATTTTTCAATTAATTTTATATTCAAAAATTCAACTAATTTCAAAAAGATTTCATTTGAAATTCTTTGAAAAAATGAATTATTCAGAATTTTGAAATTTAATTAAAAGTTTTTTATGAAGAAAAATTTAAATTAGGTTTTTATGAAATTTATCGAAATTTGTTCCTAAAGAATTGAACGATCAAGTGAATAAATTTTTTTAATCTAAATTTCATTATGTTAAGTATTAAAAAAAATTTTTTTAAAGTACCAAAAATGTTTAATTTACGTTATTAATTTTTAATATATTAATTCTGTTAATTAATATTTTAAATATCTGCATCGAAAAATATTCTCTTCATTTTGAACATTGAGAATTTTCGAAAAAATTTGAAATCATTGTATCAACTTTGAACTTTTTTTCAAATCAAATTGTGAATTCAATCAATATCGTTTAATAGATATTTGATTTTTCTGTTTGTCTCCCTATATTTAAGGCACTTAAATAACTAGACGCGAGAATTAAAAAAATACTCTATGATAGACTTAGATGTATATAACGTAATATCATGAGATCATTACATTTTATATTTCACAAATAATAAAATGTAAATAATACCAGAATTTTTTTTTTTCGTCACATTTTTCAAAGTGCTTTAGGAATGATTTCATCGCTTGGACTAAAGACTTTTTTTCTACTCCAATTGGGAAATTTCGGCGGTGACAATACTTGCTTTAAAAATATACTCCTCCTCTCCTTTAAATTACAACCAATATCTTCAATTCTCAATTCCTCACAATCTTTCTCATCAAAAATTTTATCAGGCAAATTTTCTTTTTCATAAACAACTACTGAATTATCATAAATATCAAAATCTCTCAATATTCCCTTATTTGCATTCAAAATTGTTTGATTTAAACAAGGTTTTGATTTGATTTCAAATTTTTCACGTAACAATGAGAATTTTCTTCTTGGTCGACATATTGATCTTCGTCGTTTTTCATTTTCTTTCGGTGATAAATTATCGGAATTTTTCTCATCTGTTGTCATCTTCAATAATGAAATTGGTCTTTCATCTTTAATTTCGTTCTCCTTGAGAACTTCGCAGAGGGAATTATTTAATTCCTTGTAGAAATTATTAAAATTCTCCGCTTTGAGCGCCTTCATTTCGACGTAGACATTATTGTCTTCGTTCAATTCGTCTATTGTAAAATCGTTGGATAAGTTAATATCGTCTTTTGTGTATTTTTCGTTTTTTGTTCGTGATTCAAGAACCGGCGAATCTGATAAAATGGCACTTATTAATGGTATTTTTCCCATTGACACACGGGATGAAATTGTCGATATGTCCAGAGAATTATTATCCTTTATGAATAGTAGATTCCATGGGGTTTCGTTATTTTTGTTTTGATTCTTCTTCATGAAGATACAGTGACTTAGATCCTCGTATTGCTTCTCGGTACGATGATATATGTGACGGGGTGAATTTTCAGCGGCGTATTTTCTTATTTCGTCGATTGTCGCCACTAGAGAGCTGACTGATCGTTTTGGATCGAAATTACTTTCCGAACTGCTTGTCAATTCCTCGTGCTCTTCGATTATTGTATCTAGAGCTAGCATTCCGCCTCGATCGTCAATGACGATTGGTTTCGCTGCGAATAAATTCGATTCCTCGTTGTTTTGAAATTTTCCCACTGAATCCTCCTCGTTGAAGACGTTCGTATCCCAGTCGACTAGATCGTAGACGAGTGTGTCCAAATAGTCGTCTTGACGGGAATTTTTCATAAATCTCTTGAAGGGAGAATTCGAGTAGGTGCCATCGGAGAAATCGGAACTAAGCGTTGTTGCTGTTGCTGTACTCGTCAAAGTGTCTCTTCTTCTGTCGCGAACAATACTATCGTCGTGAATATAAGTCTCAATGTCCGTGTAGCCTCTCCAACTGCGAATACACCAGGGAGGACGTGCCACTCCCAATGGACAGAGATTTTCATAATCGTGTATCGATGTTATTTGACTCATTGTCTCGTCCTTTTGGGAATTTGTCTTCTCACTGTCGTTTGTTTCCGAAATAACCGGCGTATTCATTCTTTGACGTACTTTTATATTCTCCGGAACTACGTAAATATCATTCGAATCGTCCTGAGCCAGGGGAACAACCTTAAAACCCTTCAATTTATGCTTCTCCTCATAGGACGAAAGAGAAAATGTTTTCTCCACATAATTATCAACATCGGTCACCAATTGCGTTAGTGAACAAATTCCTCTTCTTTTATCACTATTTTCCCTTGTAATCCCAATTTCCTGCTGCACCTTCGCATCTTTCATTGTTTCGAAAATTTCGTCAATCTTCGCCTCGTATTTTTTCAACGAACCTGGTGAATCAATTTTACTTTCGACTATAACTTCCGGCACTTCTTCCTGATCGTCAGTCTTTATGAAACTTGAATTAAGAATTCCCCTCTCTATTGTTTCCGTATTTTGTTCAATATTCGTTAATAATGATTTTTTGTCTGCTGTTACTTCTTCGGAGAGGGCAATAATTGTCGGTGAATTATCGACACGTGATTCTTCATTTAAACCTCCTATTGTGTCGGATTGTAAATTTTTCTTATCGAGATGTTTGGAGATTTGTAAACTTTCTTTAAAAATTTTATCGTAATTAAATTTACGATAGTAGAGAAACATACTCGCCAGGCCAAAAAATGAACCGCCGAGTATTAAAATGTAGAGAATGACAAAAATATTTGTACTCAATGCCTCTTGGATGTAAAATGTATAGACAATTAAGAGCGTTACGTTTTGAATCATAGTTAAAACGTAGTAGGAGCAAATTCGATACCAAATATAATCGCTATTCACGAGGAAAATATCGAAAAAGTAGATCAAACCCAATATGTAGTTGAATATGTAGTTTGACCATAATTTTCTCGTGGGGATATTTTGTAATGTTATCCATGCGGTCATAATTAAACTGTGAATACCTGCAAAAGAAACATTCTTAATATTTCTAAATTTAATTTAAAAAAAATTTTTTTTAATTTCGATAATAAATTAACTCTTGTAAATAAAGAGAGAAATATTTTCAATTCGCTTGGATTAAATCAGTTGAAATGAGTAATAATTTAAGGAAAATGAAAATAATTTAATTACCTAGAAAGACAAAAAGCCAGCATTCTAAGCAAAATGCGGCCAGAACTAAAGCCGTGATTCTTGAAGCGAGTAAACCGCCTCGCCAACAAAGTTGAACAATGAGAGCTGACCATTTTGATTTTTGATGACTCCAATGCGTGCCAAGTTTAAATTTTATATATCCTGATATGGCCCACGTTAGGGAACAAAGCGACGTTGCTGCTGATGCACCTAAAAATTACCAAATAACAATAAATAACAAATAAAAGCGAAGAAAATCTGAAAATCTGAAAATTATGTACTGAAAATTATTTGATTTAAAAATTAATGTATTGAAAATCATCGAATCGTTGCAAAGAATTTTATCAAATAAATTTGATAATAACAGAATAATTCCTTGGAAGAATTTTATTATTCAGGAAAATAACTGAATTTTCGCGAAGAATTTTATTACAATTTTTAAAAATCCTAATTAAATTCTTTTGAAGATTTTCTTTGAATTTTTTTTAAACTAATGGAGTTTGAAAGCAATTGAATTTTATAAAGAAAAATTTTCTTAAAATTGGATTGAAAATAATTGAATTCTTACGAAGAATTTTACTATTTATGAAAATAATTGAAATATTTCGAAGCATTTATTAAAATTTTATGAAATACATAATTGAATTTTATGGAAATACTTTTAAATATTTGAATTCATCCGAGGAATTCAATTAAAATTGTTTTGAAAATAATTAAATTCCTGCAAAGAATTTTACTATTTATAAAAATAATTGAATTCTTGCGAAGAATTTTACTATTTATAAAAATAATTGAATTGTTTCGAAGGATTTATTAAAATTTTAGAAAGTAATTGAATTTATTCGAATTGTATTAAAAATATTTTTTAAAATTGATTGCTTCAAAGGAATTTAATTAAAATTGTTTTGAAAATAATTGAAGTGCTACAAAGAGTTTTACTATTTATAAAAATCATTGAATTGTTTCGAAGGATTTATTAAAATTTAAGAAAATAGTTAAATTCTTTTGAAAAATTTTATAACGAATTAAGAAAAAAATTAAATTCTTTCGAGTAATTTTATTGAAAATAATTGAATTTTTGCAAAGATTTTACTATTTAAAAAAATAATTGAATTATTTCGAAGGATTTATTAAAATTTTAGAAAATAATTGAATTCTTTCGTGAAATTTTTTAACATTTTGTTAATAATAATTGAATTCTTCCGAAGAATGTTATTATTTATATAAAAATAAATAAATTATATTAAAATTTTTGAAAATATGAATAATAATAATTAATTTTTACTTAATAAGTGAATTTTTAAATTTTTAGTTATGAAATTATTTAAAAATTTATAAAAAAAATTTGTAATTTGCATAATAGTAATAAATTGAATACCACATTCCGCGCGTAAAATTTGCTAGTTTAAACTAAAATCCGAAATATTTAAATTAGTTGGAATAAAATTCAAATTATTCAAAATAAATTAGTTAAATTAAACATATGTAGAAAAATTTAAATCATTTAAATTAAAATCAGTAAAATACATTAGCGATAAAAGAAAATAAAAATAAGGAAAGAAAAATAATACGACACGAAAAAATTAGTCTCAATAAAATTTACCACAGCAGAAAAAAAAATAATGTGGGCGGACTTCCTCTTTTCGCTTTGAAAGATGAGTTGCTGATGATACTATTTCCTATATGTCTCATGGTGATACTAATATCTTTCTATTATCATTCCAGCATATGTTGAGGATAAAGATTACAAAGAAGCAATTTCAACTAATACAATTCTCAAATTATCTCCAGATAGGAGCAGATTTTTTATTCCTCTCAATTTGTCACGTAAAAAAGAAGATAATTTATTTTAAACGCAAAATTTTTTTTCTTTTTTTCCCTATTTTTTAATTAATATTATTTTTCTTTCTTTCTTTTGTAATTATTTTTCAGTCTTTTTTGTGTAAATTTTTTGTTTCTCTTTAATTGCAGAAAATTTAAAATTAAATAAAAGTTAAAATAATTACAGAAAAAAGACTAAAAAATAATTACAAAAATTAGAATAAATAATATTGAGAAAGGAGAGGGAAAATATTATAAAAGAAAAATTTGCATTTAAAATAAATTATCTTCTTTTTTACAAGCACTAAGATGTTCCATTTTATGTAAATAAAAATAGAAGACTTATATATATATAAATAAATTACAAAATGACAAAAATTGTAAAGACGAAAATTCTTTTAAGTTTTTTAAAAATTGATATATAATCGAAAAGAAATGTGGAGTTATTTTTAAATACTCTCTCAAATCCAGATGTATGGACACATTTACAGTATTTTTATATGACCTGCAAATAGAATTTTTTTTTCCCGAAACTAAATCTATTACAGAGATTAAAAAGTAAATTCATGATTAAGAGATTTTGGGGATAAATCAATCTTCTATTTGGAAACTTTTATTCTTCTGAATTCAATTTTAAAGGCAAGCAAATTTGTTTCTTTAGCAAAATTCAGGAAATATTTTTAGAAAATTATCAACTCAAAGAGGGAGTTTATAATTTACTTCAAAATTTATTCAGTTGTGAAAATAAATTAAAGTAAAGAGACAAAAAAAAAATCGAAAAACTAAAATGTTTTCACATGAAACGTTCGAGTGAGGGTTCCAATATCAGTAGTCGAGAGAAATTCATTCATTCCTCTTTGACTTTTAGAGTGAGTAACACTTCCGAGAGTTCGTTACAAGAAGCAAAAATGTGAAACTAAATTTTAAGAAATTAAATAAAAAAAAATGAATTAAATAAATAGAAAAAATAAATTAATTAAATAGAAAAAATAAATCAAACATGTAAGAAAAAAGTGTTGACAAAAAACTAAATAATTATAAACAATTTTCTCAGTGAATAAAAAAAGTGGATTCAAATTTTAACAGTTAATTTAAATTTAATTGCTTGACTTCAAATTTCTTTTTAAAAAAAATGTCTACAATCGTCTTGATAAATTGTTTTCTGAAGTAAAATTAAAATAGACATAAAATAACAGAAATATAACTAAATAAAAAAAAATTATGCAGGTTTGTACATAATTAAAAAAATATAAACATATTTATTGTATAAATATTTTTCAATGAATTTTTTTTAACCACTTTTAAGGCAACTAAAGGACTTCAATTAGTCTTACTATTAGGAGCAACACTAACGTGCTTAGCATTTTTGAATAAATATCCAAACATTTCTTATAAGGTGGATAAAAGTGATTTTCTTCCATTGGCAAATAATGTATTACATTTTAAGAGTACGAAATTGAATAAAATTTCTCTACAAAGACTGGAGAGTAAAATTCAACAAAGATTGAAGAATATTGAAAAATTTTGTGAAAATCATAACCGAACTCGTCAATTTGAAACTGTGATATCAAAATTAATTATCGATGTGTAAGTTCACGTGACTTTTTTCTATATTATTGAATTAAAAATTGAAAATTAATATTTAAATAAAATAATAAAATAAATAAAATCTGAACTGTAATTTTTGAAAATAAAGTTTTTTTAAAATTCATTTCAAATCATATAAAATTCATTCAATTCAAAATTTTTAATTTATTTTTCAGAAAAAATGGAATATCTTGGTGTCCAATTTACAAAGTTGCCAGTTCACTCTGGATGAGACGATTTGCCAAACTGGGAGGAATTTTAACAAACGAAACGAAAGAACGTTTAGAAGAAAATGCACTTCAAATAAGTACAATTGTCAACAATTTTTACAATAATGATGAGATGAATATCAACGAAAGACTTCAAGTAAGTAAACAGAAAACATTTCCAGTAAATGTCATTTAGTAGAGAAATTTCTTCAATTCCTTTAATTCCTTTATTGGAAAACTGAATTCAATAATTGAAATTGAAACTAAAACAGAAATCAAAATAGAAACAGAAATTAAAATAGAAACAGAAACTAAAATTGAAGCAAAATTCAAAATTGAAACAAAAATTGAAGTTGAAACTAAAATCGAAAATTGAAATTTAGAAAAATTAATCATTTTCAGAAATTAAAGAAGACGAAAATATTCCTAGTGGTGAGACATCCTTTCGAACGATTACTTTCTGCCTATCGAGATAAATTAGAGCACAAGGAAGGACGTGATTACTACTATCGACGTTTTGGACGACACATAACGTACAAATATCGTAAGAATAAAACCGAAAACACACAGTCCGAACCATTATTTATCGAATTTTTGGAATTTATTGTCAAGGAAAAATATTTTGACGAACACTGGATTCCATACACCGAAGCCTGTTTACCATGTGATATTAATTATAATTACATCCTAAAATTTGAAACATTCGAAGAGGAAAGTCGATTTTTACTTCAACAATTGAAATTAGACGATAAATTACATTCTCTAGAGAAGAGAAATTCAACAACAAAATCAATACTAAAAAATTACTACCAGCAAATACCTGTAAAACTTCTAAAAAAATTATACAACATTTATGAAAAAGATTTTCAACTATTTTCATACACACCCGAAGAGTATTATTCATTAGGAAAGCAAGACTAATTTATTTAATTTAAGAATGTAAATTTTCTAGAATTAAAAATAATTTTCTGTAAATAAGAAAAAAAATAGTTTTCTTAAAAAACAAATTGTTCTTAAAAACAAAATTGGTTTTTTCAAAAATCAAACAAAATAGATGATTCACAAGTTTTGAACTTTCAAATGAACGAAATTTATTTATTTCTTCTTCAAATTAAATTTTCATTACAATAATTTTGAGTCACTATCAAAAATATTAAAATTATAAAATTTTTAATTTTTATTGCAGTTTGTAATTTATGAAAATATTTCGTTCATTTGAAACGGTAAAAATTTTGGATCATCAAAACGGAATAATTAATTTATAATAAAGAACATACCAGTCCAGAAAGGCACACTTTGCTCTATCGCCATAAGATAGAGTTGAAAAATTAATTGTGGCACGGAGACAATAAACGATACAAGTAAATGTAACGTATAGACATTATTTTCATTTTTTAAAATCCAGTCTTTACTCTTCGCCGAGTATTTTGTGTTAAAACTTTTAAACACTTCTTTCAGTAATACTACATATCTGGAGAGGAAAAAAAACCACAAATTATTAAATTATGAATTTTCTTAATAGATTTGAATATTCTATAAATTTAGTTGTTTAGCTTTAAACATTACAGGCTTCGTACTCGATAATTAATTAAAAAAAAAAAGTAGCAAAAAGTAGCTTGAAGACAGAAAAAAAGTAGTAAAAAAGTAGCTAACGAAAAATTAAACTTGACTCAATTTTTTTATATAAATATTAAAATGCTTATTTATTTTGTCCACCAGGAATTAAAATATTTCAAATTATTTCAATGTAAAGCATTTTTGAAATTTGACTATTTCTAAAAATTACAAAATTAATTCTTTCAAAATTCAATCAATCATTTTTTTGTTGAAATTTATAAATAAAATTATTCAAAACTTTAATCATTTTATTTTATTCAATTCTAAATCAATTCTCATTAGAAAGTTCTACGAGAATGCAGTTAATTAAATACAAAAATAAATAATTTATTGAATAATTAAATATTTAACTTTGAATTCTTATAAAGAACTTAATCAAAATTTTTTTAAATAATTGAATTTTTACGATAAATTATATTAAAATTTTTGATAATAATTAAATTTATTCTAGAATCTTTTTTAAAGAATTTACTTTTTTCAAAAAATTATATGAAAATTGTGTATTAAATAATTGAATTTCTTTGAAAATTACATATATTATTTATAAAAATAATTGAATTCTTTCAAAAAAATGTTATTAAAATTATATTGAAAACAATTGAATTATTATAAAGAATTTCATTAAAATTTATTTAAATAATAGAATTATTTCAAAGAATTTTATTAAAATTTTTGTGAATAATTGCATTTTTAGTGGAATAAATTTAAAATTATAATGAAAAATAATTGAAATCCTGCGATGAATTTATTCTTGAGAATTTAAAGAAAATCTTTTTAAAGAATTTTATGAAAGAAAGAATTCTTTAAAAGAATTTTATGAAAATTGTGTTTTAAATAATTGAATTTCTTTGAAAATTATATTATTTATAAAAATAATTAAATTCATCCAAGAAATGTAGTTAAAAATGAATTGAAAATAATTATTACATTCTAAGAAACAAATTATATCAAATTTTTTTAAATAATTGAATTTTTTCGAAGAATTTTAGTACAATTTTTAAGAATAATTGCATTTTTAGCGGAATTAATTTAAAGTTGTATTAAAAATATTTGAAATCCTGCGATGAGTTTTAAATATTTATGAAAATAATTGAATTCCTGAGATGAATTTTATTATTTACTAGCTGTCGTACCCGTCTTCGACGGGTTTTAGCAATTGAATTTTTGCGAAGAATTTTATAAAAGTTTATTAAAATAATTCATTTTTTTTGAAAAATATTAGAAAAATTCAGTTTTAAAAATTGAAATTCCTGTGAAATTTTTTTATGTATGAAAATAATTGAATGTTTGTAAAGAAATTTTAAAGCTTTTTATTTTAAATAATTGGAATTTTATTAAAATTTTCTAATTTGTTTCCAACTTTATTAAAATATTTAAAAATAATTTTTTGATTTCAACTGTTAACAAATTTAAAGTATAATGTAAATGCTCAAACATAGAAAAAAGTAGCATTTAGTGTAACAAGTAAAAAAAAGTACCAAAATAGTAGCAAATCGTAAAAAAGTAGTAAATATATTAAGTTTTAGTAGAAGAGTACGAGACTTGACATTAATTGTGAAAAAAGTCAATAAAAATTAATAAAACTCACCTATATAAAATTCCGATTAAAAATACATGCGATATCCAATGAATCTTTTTAAGATTTCCATCCTCGTGATACCATTTTAAACTGAGAATTTGTACAAGGCTTGTTGGTATAAACAAAATACCAATTTCCAAATAAAACCACACGTGACATCCTCGTAAAAAATATTCAGTAGTTACAACAATATCTAAAAGAAATAAAAAACAATTGGATAAATTTAATAATCACACAAGATTTTCGAATTAACCAAAAAAAAAAAAATCCTTCTTTTTTCTTTTTATCATTAAAAAACCGTTTCGGAAAATGTTTATAAACATTACGTTCAAAAAACTATTACAAATAACAAATTATTAATTTAAAATTTAAATTTTTAACGTATTACACATGCTTGATTACTAATTTTATGAAAGAAGTGTGTAATATCAAATATTTACGATGCACTTAAAGAAATAATCAATTTCACCGCACTTTAATCACTTTTAATCACAATCCTAATAATAAATTTATTAATGAAAATAACATTTCTAAATTTTTCCGAAATTTAAAAAAATCAATAACAAAATCAATAGAAGTGAAGTTTGTTTATAACCTGTCACAATATTTGTCAGGATAATTCCAATGGAAAATATGTACAATATCATATTGAGTATTCTAAATCTACAGTCGTCGATTTTTTTTTGACAATCAAGAGATGAAGCATTTTGTTTAATAATAATTTCTTCTTGTAAAACTTGATTCCTTTTTAACTCTGCCGCCGCCATCTTCTCCGACGGACGCCAAACAGTTACGAAAATCCGGTTTTCAAATTACGTCATTTGGGTTTGTTTACAAAAAAAACCTGAGAGAGAAAATTCTCTGGACAATTTGAAAATCATTTCTGATTGGTTATGAATAAATTACTACATTCAAAGGCGCTAATCATCAATACCGGGTATTTTTAAAATTCCCTTATTTTAACACAATTTTATAATAAATCACCAAAAAATTTCCAAAATCCAATCAAATGAATAATTCCAAAAAAACAGAAATATCCGAAAATTGGAAATTATCCCAAAGTTTGGATAAATAGTGAAAAAAAGTTTAATCACGATTAGAAATGTTGGACATAACCTAAAAGAAACCATATCTCACCACCTTATTTTAGATTGTGACTTGTCATTTTCATGTTTTCTTTAACAATTTCTGAAAAAGTGTAAAGTTTGAAATTTTCCTTAAAATACAACTTCATAATTCTTGTTCAACAAGGTAAGATGAAACGAATTAATGGATCTAGTTGGACTCTATTAAAAAAATAGTTCGCGGCGGGTTCGCCGGCTGCCATCTTGGACATCTTCTCATAGAGAAGCCGGCCGCCCGCAAAAATTGAGTTTAACGGGTTCCCGCGGCTTCTGGTGTCTTCTAAAATAATTTTCCGTGTTTGTGGAGAAGTTTATTAAATCAGCAAGATTAAACTGTTAACGATACGGGCCCGGAATGCTTTAGGTGAGGGCAAAATTGAAACCATATCAATCCAGTTTCCAAACTTTGCTGGCGTGTGATTTTTCCCTTGTCTCGTGTGTGTGCGCGAATTCTCATGCGTGTGCGTGCATATGTGTTATTCTATAGTTGAAAATTTAATTTTTATCATTATTATAAATGCACGATTTTTGCAATTAAAAATTAATAATCATAGTTGTTCCCAATGATCCCTATATTAGACACAAGGTGTTCGTAGCGCGCAGTTCATCATTGGCCACTGCCCGTGTTTCCGATGCTCATGAATCTGACTTTAATTGCAAGAAACCTTACGACTAATGAAAAAAAATCCAAAAATTTTAATATTAGAATAATTTTTGCATTCGATAGAATTGATTTGATATGTTTCTTCTATTGCATTTGAAAAAAATTAACCTATGTACGCTTTGATTCTTTGCACTCCGAGTTTCCTAACCTTAATTCTGTTCATCGTCCGCCCACAGCGCTGACCCTGTTCAAATTCGCAGTATATACCTTGTGCACTCTGCGCGTCCCTCCACGAGGTAGTCTTTGTTTACTTGGTATTTTTTTTCATATCCAAGGTGATTTCATCTTTTTTTTACTTTTGATTTTATTGTTTGCACACTAGTTCACGCAATGAAATATATTATTCCTGCACCTTGTGGCATGAGATAGACCAGTCCAATTCCCTTGGAAGTGATATTTAGCCAAACAATAGTATTCTAGACTCATGAATATTATTTTTCCATCTTCTTTTTTTTTGCTTTTTTCATCGAATTTTTTTTTTTCATTTTTTGAAAATATTTGATGAACTCATGTACGAAGACACTATGTAGTCACGTTTCTAGGAATTCATGTAGAGAAATTCACTTCTATTTTTAGCTTTATTAGAAATGTGTTTTGAAATTTGATTTATTTTCATATTTCTCATTGCTTTTAGATATTTAATTTTGTTGTTTGATATTTACCTTTAGGGGAAATTAATCGAAAATTCAGGAAAAGAAAAAAAATCATTGAATAGAATGCAAATAGAATTTGTGAAAAACAAAAATTTTGCCGAAAATTGATGAAAAGCTTATTGAGATAGTAAAATTTTTTAGCCAATAGCTTGTCATTAATAATGGTGAAGTATTTATTAAGCTTTATTCACGCTATTGTTTTTTTTTCCTCTCGCCTAAGTATCGAAAATTTGTTTACATTAAAATTATACTGTGTACGGAATTATTTTCTTTGTTTTGCAAAATTTGTTTTACTTTTCATAAAATTTTGTCTCTTGTAAATACACTTTGTAGCAGGATTGTTGAATTACGTTCGAAAATTTTCGTGAAATATATAGAGAAAGTATTTGTGAAAATTATAAAATGAAATGATTTTTCTATTCGAAATGGAAATAAATTGAAATTTTCCTTTATTTTTTCTAGGTTTATTGCTACACACTTATGTTGGCAGTTGGGTGAATCGAGGAGAAAAATTTGTTACTGGCCGTTCATTTTCATTAGTTGATCGAGACATTGTGGCCAGTGGTGGAAGCAAGACAAGTAAAATTAATAAATATTGTCTCGAAAGAATGGCGCTTCCAAGTAGAGCAAGGGTTTATACTGACGTTAATTCACACAAATCCAGAGATTATTGGGATTATGAGTCATATGTCGTGGACTGGGGGTAAAAGAATTTTTTTGTTTACGAATTTTTTGAATTTTCTTTCCTTTTCAGTTACTTTTCATTTTCTTTTCTTTTCCTTTACATTTATTTTTAATTTTCTTTTCTTTTACACTTACTTTTACTTTCTTTTTCTTTACACTTTTAATTTTCTTTTCATTTAATTTCCTTTTCACTTGCCTTTAATTTACCTTTAATTTCATTTAATATTTATTTACATAATTTACATTTTTCGCTTTTTGTGAAAAATGTCCAATTACTGATGATAAATTTTCTTCGCTGTAGACAACAAGATGATTACCAGCTGGTGAGAAAGCTAGGACGAGGAAAATATAGTGAAGTTTTCGAAGCTATCAATATCACAAATAACGAAAAATGTGTTGTCAAAATATTAAAGGTCTGTATTTGAAATTTTTCTCCATTCACAATGTTTACAATATTTACAAAATTTACAAATACAAATACAAATTCAATCTTCAATTTTACTGTTACAATTTTACAGGTCTTTTTTGTCTTTTTTGTTATGTTTCTTTATTACTTTATTTAACGTTCTCTTTTTTTTGTTGTAGCCGGTTAAAAAGAAGAAGATCAAGAGGGAAATCAAAATCCTAGAAAATCTTAGAGGCGGGACCAACATTATTACGCTTCAAGCTGTTGTTAAAGATCCAGTTTCAAGGACACCAGCCTTGATATTCGAACATGTCAACAACACAGATTTTAAGCAGCTGTACCAGACATTGACAGATTACGATATAAGATACTACCTCTATGAATTATTAAAAGTAAGTTTCATTGAAAAATAAGTTTTAATGAAAATTTTGTACTCTTAAGTTTATGCTTTAAAGAGTAAAGAGTAAAAAGAGTAAAGAATAAAGAGTAAAAAATAAAGAGTACAAAGTAAAGAGTAAAAAATAAAGAGTACAAAGTAAAGAGTAAACTCTTTAAACACGAAGTTGATTAGAAATGAAAGCAAATTGAATTAAAAATGAATTGATTTCTTTAGGCATTGGACTACTGCCACAGTATGGGCATAATGCATAGGGACGTGAAGCCTCATAATGTAATGATCGATCACGAGAATCGAAAGCTACGACTAATCGACTGGGGTCTTGCAGAATTTTATCATCCGGGACAAGAGTATAATGTTCGAGTTGCATCACGATACTTCAAAGGGCCAGAACTATTAGTAGATTATCAGGTTCGTTTTTCTTATGCTTATAAGATGAAGAAAAACACCATCGATTATTCAGTTTTACTTCTGAAATATTCTAGAATTTAATTTATATTTGCCAATTGCAGGGATCACAGGCTGTTGCGTTTTTATCTTTTTTTTTTTAATTTTCTCACCTATTTCTAGGCTTTACGCTCATCTGCCAAAACCTACTATTTACTGCTTTTTTTACGATCTCAGGGTGGCTGCAAGTCAGGGAAGAGTCAGGGAATTTTGAAAATAAAATTTTGCGGCCACCCTGGATCTGCTACTATTTGGATACTTTTTCTAGATTTGTGACACTAAAAGCCACTTTTTTTTTTGAATATTTGCACAACTTTAAATTAAAATTTAGAACATTATTGAATTATTTTGACAAAATATTTAGTAACGGACGTAAAATTACTTAAACAATTATTGAATTCTGTTAAAATTTAGAATTAAAGTTATTAGCACAGTATAAAAAAACACATATTTTTGATGAAAATTAGAAAAAAATCGGGGAAATAATTTAGTTCTGAAATTTAATTTTTCAATAGCAACTTTTTTTACTCTTCTTTCCGTCTTAAAGCTACTTTTTGCTGCTTTAAATTAATTAACGAATGCGAAGTCTGTATTTCGTTAATTTTTACACCCACTTTGTAAATTTTTCAAATATTCTAAATCAAAAGTTGTTTTAAAATTAAGTTTAACTTTAAGCTTTTTATTCAAATCAATTATTTTAACTAATCTTAGTTTTAATTTTTAGAAAACTCTCATCAATTAAAATTTTAGATTCTGAATTATTTAATTCGTCGAATTTTCATTAAGCAGTTGATTTAAAGTTGAATTAATTTCAGATGTTTTAATTTTTAATTTATCCAATTTTTAAACAATACAAATTCCAATACTAAATTCTAATTTTTATGTGAAATTTAATCATTTCAATCTTTAATTTGTATGCTTTTTTTATTGTTCTATATTTTTGGGACAATTTAGAAAAACTACTTTTTCAATTTTCTAAAACATGATTTTTTCTTGAATTATACAAATTGTGCCCTAAATATTTAGAAAAATGTTTCAAAAGTAGATTTTTCGGTTTTTATAAACTTGTTAAGTTCCAAAAATTCTGAACGTTTAAATAAACAAAATATATTTTCGAGACTTTTTTTTGGAAAATTGTAAACTTTAAGAAAAGCAAAAACCTTAATTAATCAAGTTCATAAATTGTTGCTTTTCAAACGCGAGGCAATTTTTTTGGCATCTATTTTTAGAAAATAACTATTTTCTAAAAATACACGACAAAAAAAAATTATTTCGAAGAAAAAACGTACCGTGATCCTTACAATTATTGTAAATTTATTCATTAAATTATAAAACATGGAGATAATGATCAGTTCGAGTCTTTGACTCGAAGTGATCGTTATCTTCATGTTTTATAATAATTAAAGATGACCGAGTGACAAAATGATTACTTGGTATTTGTTTATTAAATATTTATATTTATAGATATTATGAATTTATCTTAATTATTATTTCTTACAAATTTACTTTAAATTATTTTACAGATTAAAAATTTAATTAAAAATTAAAAATTTTAATTAAATTAAATTAATTAATTATAGATTGTAATTTTACATTATTGATTGTAATATTCTTTTTTTTCTTTGGTAAATTTTTAGATGTACGACTATTCACTGGACATGTGGTCATTAGGTTGTATGCTAGCGAGTATGATATTTAGGAAAGAACCCTTTTTTCATGGTCACGATAATTATGATCAATTAGTCAGGATCGCCAAAGTCCTTGGCACGGAGGAGCTTTTTGAGTATCTTGACAAATATCATATCGAGCTCGATCCACGTTTTAATGATATACTTGGACGACATTCGCGCAAACGTTGGGAACGTTTTGTACACTCGGAAAATCAACATTTGGTGTATCCCGAGAGCCTCGATTTTTTAGACAAGCTTCTACGTTACGATCATTATGAGAGACTCACTGCGCGTGAAGCAATGGAGCATCCATATTTTTGTAAGTCACGCATTTTTCTTTTATTCAAGAATTAAGTTTTTATTCAAGAAAAAGAAAAGTTTTAATAAGAAAAAAAGTAATTAAAGGAATAATTTAAAATTGAAGATGTCCTTTTCGTTCAAAATTCATAAGTAAATAAATAACTCTTTCTCTTAAAATAAACTAAAAAATAGTATTTTTAGTTCTTTTCTTTCAAAATTCTTGAGCGAATAAATTTTATTAATAATTTAGAAGCTTTTTTATTTTGGTAGAATATTGTTTGAAAATTAATCATTAGAAATATTAAATATTTTGTTTATTAATTCATATTCATTTTTATTTTTCGGTAATTTTTAATTTATTTGTTATTCAACAATTTTGATTTCTTATAGAGAAATTATTTTATTTATTTACTGAAAATATTGGTTAGAAAATATTAGTTAGAAAATATTAGTTATAAAAGTTTAGTTACAAAAAGTGAATTATATTTTTCTTCACAAACGATAAAAGTGCAATTTAATTCCAATTAATTTTGTAAATGGAATGTTTAAAATATTTTTTTTTATTTTATTAGTTATTTTATTTTTTATTTTATTATTAGTGAAAAAATTAGCAAATAACGATTTTTTCTCCTTCAGATCCAATAGTTAAAGAGCAAGGTCGACTACCAATGGTTTCTTCGTCACCTACTCCCATGACAGGCTCTTTGCCTGTAGGTGAGTAGCGGACCAGGTAATGTCAACAACATTAATTTTTACCTTTATCATTATAATTAAGGATCACTGCTCCAAAATGTTCAGCGTGTTATGGTTCTCCTTTTTTTATAAGTTATAAAGGGATTCTCTTTTTTTTAGCTTTAGAAGATAATAGTTGTTTTCAACTAGATTAAGTCGTTACTTTTTATATTCTCGTGTAAATAAAAAGTATTATTTTGAAAAATTATGATGGAAATAAAGTTATTTAGTAACACACTGATTTAATTCGTTGCATTTTTCAAAAAAAAGACAAAATTCTTCGATTGTGGAAAAGAAAATGCTGACTTTTTTTTTCCTTTTTTCTATTCAAAAAGAGTATTTTTCTATTAAAAGAAATCTAAATTTTATTCAGTCAAAAGAAGAAAAACAAAATTTAATTGTAGTTTCTTATGTTTTTTAACTGTTTTTAAAAAAAGTTAAAAAAAAATTGAAAAAATTGTTTTTTAATGCTTTTTCTAAAAAATGTCTAAAGAAAAATATGAAATAAAATTCAAAGTATCATTAGAAGTAATATTTCTATTGAAATGAGAAAATTATTTTTATCGATAGTAATAATTGCTCAGATAAGAAATGGTTGAGTTGATAAAAGCTATCCAAGTTGAGAATATTTATTTAAAAATATTATGTATCTAACGTATAAGAAATGACAAAAAAATTGAATGTTTGAGACATTTTTACATATTTCGCGCTTTAATTTTTCTTTTTCAAAAATTTGAACAAAGAAAATTTTTTTATTTGAACTATTTGGAAGCGTCTTCTTTAATTATTCGCATAGAATAATTTATTATATTTTATTATTTATCAGGAAAGAAATTTTTAAAGTGATGATAACTTTTTTTCACTTTAAAAAACGTGATTTTTCTTTTTAAAAAAAGTACGTTTAAATTTATTTATAATTTTCTTTAAATCAATGTCGCATGTAATTGTTAAATTTAGCTGTACGGAAAATTATAAACACTTTTATAATTATAAACACTTTTTATTGATAAATTTGTTTAATATTATTATTATTAAAGTTATTATTTTATAATCTATTTCTGTCAATTAAAATATTCTAGAGTAAAAATAAAAATGACAGTAAATAAAAATAATTAACATAATTTCTTCAAGTAACTTTCAATTTTTAATAAATATTAGAGAAATTTTAATAAATTTCAGTTTTAATTTTTCTTCTGTAAGAAATTATATATTTAAACAAAGAAATTATTTTTTAACTATTTGGAAGCATTGTTCTTAACTAAAACGAATAGAATAATTTATTAAATTTTGTTATTTATCATAAGTTAAATTTTTTAAAGAATGATATTTTGAACACTCCGAAAATCGAGATTATTTCTAAAAATCATTTTTCAAATTTGAAAGAAGAAAAACAAATGATAAAGAAGAATATTACTTTTCAATCAATATTAATAATCATTGTATAAAATTTTTTTTAAATGCATGGAATTTTAAAATTATTGCATTGAAAATAAATTTTTATAAATCATGTTAAGAAAAAAAAATTTATTTATTTTTTTTTATTTTACTTTTTTTGTGTTTTTTTTTATACTTTCTCAGAATTTGATGAAAATTTTTAAAAATAATTCAACTTTTTCCGAAAAATTTTATTAAAATTTTTGAAAATATGTTGTAATTAAATTCTTGAGAGAAAGTTTATTAAAATTGTAGTGAAAATAATTAAAATTCTGCGAAGAATTTTATTATTTATGAAATTAATTGGATTCTGTTGAAGAATTTTATTAGTTTTCGAAAATAATTAAATTCTTTTGAAGAGTTTTTATAAATTTTTTTCAAATAATGTAGTTTTTTTTAATAATGTTAATTAAAAATTTTGAAAGTAAGTGATTTTTACGAAGAAATTCTATCAAGATTTAAAACCAATCCTATTTGTTAATAATTGTAATTAGAAGTTTGATAATTAAAGTTTATTTAATTTTTTGGAAATTATTGAATACCTCACAGAATTTTATTACAATTTTTGGAAATATTTAAATTCTCTAGAGAAATTTTATAAAAATTGTACTAAAAATAATTGAATAATTAAATAAGAAGAAATTTAATATATGATTTTTATAAAAATAACTGAATTCTTACCAAAAAAAAATTATCAAAATTTTTGAAAATAAATGAATTTCTTCAAAGATTTTTATTAAAATTTTAAAAAATAGATAATTTAAACTTTTCGATAAATTTTATTAAAATTATGTTGAAAATAATTAAAATTCTGCAAAGAATTTTATTATTTATGAATAGAATTGACTTCTTATAAAAAATTTTATCAAAATTAATTGGAAAAAAAATAATTCTTTATAGAAATTTTACTAAAATTGTATTGAAAATAATTTAATTCCTGAGAAGAAATTTATTATTTATGAAAATCATTGAATTTTTGTAAAAAAATTATATCAAAATTTTTAAAAATATAATTGAATTGTTCCGACAAATTTGATTAAAATTATATTATAAATAATTGAATTCTTAGGAAGAATTTTATTATTTATAAAGAAAATAATTGAATCGCATAATAATAATTCTTCAATTCTTCAATTTAGCTACAAATTGATAGAAAAATTGAAAAATAATTATTAGTAATTTAGATTTTTTAGTATTAAATTCTTATTTATAATCTAATTTTGTTCATTAAAATACGAGTAAAAAAATTGTACACTAAAAATAATTTAAACAATTTTTTCAAATAAATTTAAATTTTAAATTTAGTTCTGAATTTTTGGTTTGAAACACGTTGCTTATTATATTTTTTTTTTATTTTGCTAAAATAATTTATTATAGAAATTATTTTTTATCATTTTAACGAGCAAGATTAACTTACAGGCATAATGAGTGAATAAATTTTTGAAATTTTGTTGTAAATTTTAATAAATTCGTTGTAACTTTTATTTTATTCGGTGTAAATTTTGAGTAATTTCGGGTGTAAATTACTTCTTTTTCAAAATGAATAAAATTTGTTTCTAAATAAATATAATTTTGCAGATGATCGTGGTGTAGCGTCGGGCAAAATGCCGATTCCTGGTACAGCTGGATTAGGAAAAACAAAAGATTTTGGGGCTGGCGTAATGAATGTCTTAGAAGAAATTTCGACACCTCAAATTGTACCTCATCAACAACATTAACAATAACAGCGTACGGGAATAAGAGATTATGTCTCAAGCTACTACTAATTCATAAGATGACAACACATCGCCGGTTGATGCATGATATCGTCAAGGTCGTAACAACCAATCTCGCCGCAAAAATTCTGGTTTGTAATATCGGTTTTATCGATCTTTCAATTAAGACTGAGTTATCTTGCTTCGCCTATCGTTTCATGGGAACTTTATTATGTCACATAATGATCGTAACGTACTTAGAATATCCGACAAATGAAATAATGGTAATTTTAAATGTGAATTTTGTCCAATTTGATGATAATAATAAGAATAATAACAATAATATCGCGTCAATGAAATTTAATAATTCACATTCAATTTTCATTATTGATTGTAAATTATTATTATTTTTATTAATGGAAACATTTTTTTTGGGACTTGTACTAAAATCATTATCATCAACATCATCATCATTATTGTGGTGTCAATTTTTATTATTGTCAACGTATAAAATAATGATGATGAAATGTCTGGATCCCGTTTCATCTTGCAGATGATTGTGGTTTTTTCTTTTAATTTAATTTTTTTTTAAAAAAAAGAGAGACGCTGACCGAAAAGAGAAAAAAACACATTTTTACACACGTACACGCGTGTATAACGCATACACTTTGGTCATTCAGTTTAGTATATTTAACGATGAGAAAAGAATGAAAAAAATGTTCATTTATAACTGATACCACACAATGATAGCTGAATAAAAAATAATTTTGTTATAGCCAAGTACTCTTTGTGCTTTGTGAATTTCTACTAATGCTTTCAAAATCGGTCGGCCCTCGTTTTCGTTTTCTTTTTTTTTTTAGAAAAACTTATACTTATTATTTACGATTATTTCAAACTAGAAAGACAATTTTGTAAAGGTAGTCTTTTTTGAACAATTTAAGATTATTTTGAGAGCAAATAAAAATTGATTATAAAAAAAAATTGAATTGTTTAATTATACAATTTTTAAATTTCATTGAAATTTCATTCACTCGATTTGATTATACTCGAATTTTTTAATTTTAAATTTGCTTAAATTTCCACTTTTGCAATTTAGTCTTCTACATAAGAGATTTTACACTTTTTTTACAATTCACTTTCGTTTGCATTTTTTTGAGGTATTATAAAAAATAAAGAATTTTTTTTTATTGAATAATTAAAAAAATATTTCTACTACAATGTAATTTAATTTTTTATAATTCAATAGCAATAGAATATACAGCAATTCATCATTATTTGATAATAACGATAAATCAAAAAAAAAAAAAAGAAACTTTATCATTTTACAATTATAAAAATTAATAATGTTATCATTTTAATAATTAGAAATTAACGATGTTATCATTCGATAATTATGAATTTTGATAAATATAATTGAGAAAAAAAATTGTCTTTGTCTTATTGATAATAGTTTCGAGTAGAATAAAAAAAATAAAAACTGAGAGAAAAAAAATGTGTTGTCTAGTGTACGAGGCGATCGAATAAAATCCAAGGCCCCCAAATACTTGGCAATAGCGAAGCCTAAATAATTCTATAAGCATTACCGATATACATACTAGATTAGGTCATTTTATTATATCAGGATGAAAAAAAATGTACATTTTGACTCGGCGCACTGGCTAAACATGAATATATGCTCCCATTATTCCAATTCTTTTTTTATTTTCTCTTGTATTCTTTGAAAAAATAAAATACATGTTTAGCCAGCTCACCGCTCATTCTCAATGCATTTATTATTGAGAAGACGAGTGCTTGTACAAAAATAATAATCACACCGTACTCTATTCGAATTATTGTCCAGAGAAAAAAAAACCAAAATACAATTTTCAAAGGATTTTCATTTCTCTACTGATTTTTACAATTTACCTATATTATTAAAATTCTGAACAAAAACCGATTTAGTATGAAGGAAAAAAGTGACAAAATCGAGTAGAGTTCGGACATTAAAAAAAAAAAGAAAAGAAAAAACATAAATTGACAAAGTGGCAGAATTCTCTGATGCTGGCTTACATAGCAAAAAATATTCGCTTCCCTTTTGATCCCTGGCGCCGTTCTTGCCTCAATTTTTTTGTTTTCTTTTTATATACTTCAGAATTTTATAAACGTAAATATATATTATATAGAAATATATATATGCGACATAAATAGATATATTTTATTTTCAAAATAGTATATGTAATAAGCTAATTAATAAATAAATGAATAAAAAAAAACAAAGAAAGAAAGGAAAAAATAAACGGTCTCGCTCTCCTCCTGTTTTATTGCGAGTATAAACCGATTTATTTGAAGAAGAAAAAAAAATTATTATTTATAATATATTATTACGTGTAATTAAAATTATATATTTATTCTCTCATTTGACTTTTGTGAATATTCTCATTACACTCAAATACACATTCTCACACCTACCAAAAAAAAAAAGATACATAATTATAATATTTAGAACACAATTATTGACACACACTTCTCAAATAATACGACTGGAATTTTTTTCATTAAGGCAAGAACGGCACAAGCGTTTCTTATTCTGTCAAACAATAATATTACAAAAAAAAAAGAATAATAATAATATTAATAATAATAATAATATAGTTATTATCACGAGCCCCCCTCCCCCTTTCTCCTCAATTTGTACGTTAAGTTTATAATAATCTAGTTTAGTTTTATAATAAAGAAAAGAAAAAAAAATTATTGAAAATAAAATAAAAGCGAACACGAACAACAGGAACAAAAAAAAGAAACATAAGAAAGATCAAAAAGAAGCCAATAGTAATAATAGTTTTTTAGTTCTTGAAATAAAAAAAGGGAATTTTTTTTCTGTAATTTCAATTTGCTGTACATTTCTCGAATTTTGAGTGAAATTTTCGTTGGTGCTTCGAGAGAAAGAGAGAGAGAAATTTTTTTGTCTTGCGTGTTTGTTTCTATTTATAACATATAGTTAAAAAAAATTTTTTTCAAACGTGTTTTTATGAAAAAATATACTATTGATAAATAAAGAGAAAACAAATTGGAACTCGGGGAAAAATTTTTGAGCAAAAGAAAAACACGTGCCATGAGTTTCTTTATATTTTTCTCTACATCAATATAATTGTATCCATGGATGAATGTAAAAGAGAGTTCTTTTTTTTTAATTTTAAAAATCTATCGAAATCTCATTATTCAGAGACATTTTTTCTTTGCGTTTTTCAAAAATTGCGAAAAGAAAAATTGAGAGAATTCAAATTATAAATTAGATCTATAGTATTTTTTTTTTTTTGGTGAATGATAAGACAATAAAAATTAATTACAATTGCGCGCATTTCTGCTTTTCAAATTTTTATTACATAATTATTATGCAATAAAACAAATCACGTTTAGTTGAGTTTATATAATACGAATAATACACACGATCGAAGGGAAGACGCTATTAGAGTTCTGCAAAAAATGAGGAACAAAATATGAGAAAGAAAGAAAAATAACACACATTTTTAAACGAAAAAAACAAAAAAATTTAAAAGGAAAAAAAAACTATGGAATTTTCTGCATTATGCGATTACACTTATGCATGTGCGAGAAAATTTTAATCATTTTCATTATGTCAAAAATAGTTGTATCGAATAATAATTTAACAATGCTGTATAGGATGATAAAAAAAACAAACAAATACAATTTCGTTTATATTAAAGAAAAAGAAATGTTCGTTTTTTTCAATTCCATTTTGATGTTGTGATTATAATGATTATAATATTTTGATTTATTAATTTCCATTGAAAGCGAATTTTAATTTATTAACATTTTAATTCATTCGCAATTTAAATTTAGTTTTCTTTTGCTTTTTGTTTCCTCTTTTTGATAATTTTTCTTTTTCGTGATTTGAATTTTAAAATTAATTAAATTCTAATTTCATGCTTTGAAGACTAAATGATACTAAAAATTAATTAAAACAAATTATTTTCAATTAAAAATATTTCTTTTATATTATTTCTTATTTGTGTCTTATAATTTTGAATCTGTATATAATTGAATTCTTATAATGAAATTTATCCAAATTTTTCAAAATAATTAAATTGCTTGCGAAAAATTTAATTAATGTCTTTAAAAATAAGTTAATTCTTATACGAGAAATTTAATCAAAATGATATTAAAAACAGAGAGAAACTTTAAAAATATTTAAATTCTTTTATCAAAAGTTTTATCAAAATTTTTGCAAATAATATAATTTCTGCAAAGAATGTTATAATTAACATTCTTTCAAATATTTGTATTCTTTCGAGAAATTTTATTAATTATGAAAACAATTGAAATATCGGTAAGAATTTCATTAAAATTGTATTGAAAATAATAAGTTAATTCTTAATAAAGAATTTTTCTAAAATAATTTAATTTCTGCAAAGAATTTTATTTACATAAAAAAAAAATTTAATTTTTCTAAACTATTTTTAAACTTTTTCTTATAAAATATTTTATTGAAATTTTTTAAAATAATAAAATTTTTGCAAATAATTTTGTTAAAATTCTATAAAATAATTAAATTCCTGCGAAGAATTTTATTAAATTATGAAAATAATTCAATTCTTATAAAGAATTTTACCAAAATTTTCAAACTAATTGAATTTCTACGAAGAATTTTATTAATTATGAAAATAATTAAATTCCTGCAAACAATTTTATAAATTATGAAAATAATTGAAATCTTGTTAAGAATTTTATTTAAATTTTCGACAATAATTATAGAATTTTTTCCAGCGATTTAATTTAAATTGTATTGAAGATATTTCAATTCTCACAACGAATTCAATCAAAATTATTCAAAATAATTTAATTCTTATGAAAAATTTTATTGAAATTGAATTGAAAATAATTCAATTCCTGAAAAGAATTTTATTTAAGTTTTTGAAAACAAAAAAATATTTTTAATTTAATTTAATTGTAATTAAAAAAAATTCTTTTTGTTTAAAAAAAAAATTTTTTTTCGATTAATTGTTAAATAATAAAATAAGAAATAATAAAGCAATCAATAATAAACTTTTACTTAACCTTTAAATTGTTGACATACATATTTGTTTTGTTTTTCTATAAAGTATAACAAAGTTAATTTTTGTTTCTCTCTAACTAAATAAATGACAAATAAACAGTAAAATATATAAAGAAACTTGAACTAGTAACGAATTCAATAAAACTCGTAATAATTGAAAAAATAACAAAATCGTTTTTTAAAAAATGTCAAATACTTTTTTAAATATTTAAATAAATACCTTTGTTTATATTTTTACCTTTTATTACTTACTTTATATTTGCCCTGTATTAATTTTTAAATACGTTAAAAAGTTTGGAAAACACGAAAAACTTTGTAAATTACAATAAATATTATAATAGGTATAGAAATGATTAATTAATTTATAACAAATTTAATTGTTGTTTGTTTATGCTGAAAGCCCCGTTTCTAAAGAAAGAGCAATGCACGAAAAAATACTGTGAATGACTCTTTATGTTTTGATGTGCGCGCGCGCATGAAAAATAATTTTGAGGTTAATGTCATGTCAACAACGTCAGTCAACAATGTCATCAACAATATAAAAATTACCATTTTCATTATAAAACGTCAATTATAAGGTGTTTTATTATGAAAAACTGATCAATTATTATTCACATTTTGTAAATACTAACAGAGAATAATATTCTTTACAAAAATGACGTCCACTTTTATAATAGACAATGGAGCTTTTTATGCAAAAGCCGGCTTGTCAACAGAGAAACCGAAGTAAGAGACAAAATAATTATTAATTTATTGTTATTGTTTTGTTATAAAAATACCTTTGTTTATATTCTACCTTCTAATTATTCAATTCTATATTTGACTATTCTCTAAAAATCGGTGAAATATTTCATTGAAGTTCTAAACGCTTAAATGTATGACATTTTTTGTCGCATTTCAATTTTTGAATGAATTTAATTAGAAATATAAAAAACTTAGATTTAAAAAAAATTTTAATAACTAAAATTTTTCTGAAATTAGTTAAATTGTTTAATACATATTCAATTGATTAATAAAAATAATGGATTTATAGAAGAATTTTAGTTAAAGACAACTAAAACAAATTGAATTTTGAAGCAATTGAAAATGATTGCATAAATTCAATTATTTTCCAAATTAGTCAAATTCTTCTTAGAAATTCAATTGTATCCAACAATTTGAATAAAATTCATGGCGAAATTCCAATTATTTTCAAAAACTTTCCTCAATTCAATGATTTTTAATAAATCTACTACTTTAATAAATATTTTCAAAAAAATTCAATTATTTAAAAAAATTTTTAAATTCTACGGAAACATTTCATTATTTTCATAAATAATAAAACTCGTCTTACACTTTCAATTATTTTTAATACAATTTTAATAAAATTCCTCGAAAAATGAAATTATTCTTAAAATTTTTATTAAAATTCATCGCAAAGAAATTCAATTATTTAAAAAGACATTTTAATAAAATTCGTCTCAAGAATTCAATGATTTTCAAAAGTAATATAATTCTTCGCAGAAATTTAATTGTGTTCAACAATTTACAAAAATTCTCGTCAAAATTTCAATAATCTTTATAAATTTTTCTCCGAAATTCAAATATTTTCAAAAACTTTAATAAAATTCTTGGTAAAATTTCAATTATTTTCAAAATCTCTTATAAAAAAAAAGATTCAAAAACTCTTTTTTCTTTGGAGAAATTCAATTATTTTTAATAAAATTTTAATCAAATTTCCGAAAAATAAACTTATTCTTAAAAATTTTATTAAAATTTGTCAAGAGAATTCAATCATATAAAAATTTGTTGATAAAAGTCTTTATAAAAATTCAATTTTAAGAAACATTCAATTATTTAATAAAATATTTATTTTTATATTTAAATAATTAAATTCTCATGGATTTTTCTAGTAAATATTGATTTAAAAATGAATTTCAGTTAAAATTTTAGATTATTATTGAATATTGAAAGGAATATAGCGTAAATTTTTAGAAACAATTGAATTTTAAAAATGTTTCAAATTAAAATCTTTTAGAAAATTTGAACTTTTCATACTATTTCTAATTATAATTCTATTTCGTAGAATTTATTTTTTAAAAAAGTTTAATTGAATTTTTCTTTAATTCTTGAAGTTTTTATTTTCTAATATATATTTAATTGAAGAATGTCAGAATAATCAAAATTACGTAAAAATTAACATTGAAAATAATTTAATACTTACGAAGAATTTTATCATTTTTGGAAATAATTGAATTCTTGCGGAGAATTTTATCAATTTTGAAAATAATTGAATTCTTGCGAAGAATTTTGTCAATTTTAAAAATAATTGAATTATTTCGAAGAATTTTATTCAAATTTTTTGAGAATAATTGAATTCGTGTGAATAATTTTATTATCTATAAAAATAATTAAATTTTTGACAAGATTTTAAAGGAAATTTAAAATTAATTTTTCTCAAAAAGTTTAATGGATTTTTTTTTAATTTATAATTTATTTAATTAAAGAATGTCAGAATAATCGAAAGTTTAGGTAAAATTGAATTGTAAACAAATGGATTTAAAAATTCTCAAAGAAGAACTTTTTCAAAAATTATTTTTAAAAAATATTTTAAAAAAGAATTTTAGTTTAAAATTCTAGAAATGAAATATTGAATTGAAATGAAAATAATTTTAAAGAGAGTGATCGATATCTTCCTGTTTTATAATAATATTCTTATATGTAATTGAATTTAAAATTATTGAAAATTTTAATTTCTGTAAAAAAATAATTTCATTTAAAAACGAAGTTATTGATGTTTTTGACTAATTTTACAATTAAAGAAATTCGTAAATAAATGTAATCGAACAGGAAAAAAGTCGTTTTGTCTGGAAATCATGGAGTTTGGCAAAATTAAGAATAAAATTAAAAATTAAATTTTGTAAAATATAAATGTAGTTTTAAAAACCTGGAAAAATTACGTTTTTTAACCTGGAAAACCTGGAAAATACAGGGAATTTAAAATAAGGAAAAGCGTGGCAACTCTGATTAAGAATTCTGTAGAATTAATTTTTCTCTAAAAGTTTAATGGAATTTTTTTTAATTATTTGAAGTTTTTAATTTATATTTAATTGGAAAATGTCAGAATAATCGGAATTTCGTAAAATTAAATTGTAAATAAAAGAATTTGAAAATTCACAAAGAACTTTTTCAAAAATTGACTTAAAGAAGAATTTTAGTTGAAAATTCTAGAAATGAATAATCGTAATGATGAAAATAATTTTTGAAGAAGTTACAGTAACAAAGTAGCAAGTTTTAATTATTACAAAACATGAAGATAGCGATCACTCCGAGTCGAAGACTCGGAGCTATTGATATCTTCATGTTTTATAATAATATTCTTATGTTATTGAATTTCAAATTTTTTAAAATCTGAATTTCTATAAAAAAATAATGATTTTATATTTATTTAAAAATGAAGTTATTGATGTTTTCGAATTATTTTCGTTTTAAAAACTTGGAAAACCTGGAAATGTCAGGGAATTTGAAAAGAGAAAAATCATGGCAATTCTGAAAAGTGACCACCTACCAAATATTTCGTCAGACTTTAATGAAAATATACGGAAAAATTTTAAAAAATATTTTGTATATTCATTGAAAGTTTCTTTTTCAGATTAATACCGAACTGTATAATGAAGGCAAAAAGTGAAAGACGCAGACCATTTGTAGGAAATCAAATAGACGAATGTCGCGATGCTTCGGGATTATTTTACATTCTTCCATTCCAAAAGGGCTATCTCATAAATTGGGATGTGCAAAAGACCGTCTGGGACTATATTATCTCAAAAGAATGCTGTCCAGTTAATTTAAATCAAACATCTGTAATATTCACCGAACCACCATTCAATTTTCCCTCAAATCAAGAAGCACTCGAGGAAATATTCTTCGAGGAATTCGACTGTCACAGCCTCCTCAGAATTAATGCCGTCAGTTTATCGTGTTACAATTACAAGCAAAAATATCCCAATTCAAAATGTTGCATTGTCGTCGATTGTGGTTATAGTTTCACTCACATTGTTCCCTATGTGAACGATACAAAAATGAAGGAGGGCATTCGCCGAATTGACGTTGGTGGTAAATTATTGACAAATCATTTAAAGGAAATTTTGTCCTATCGTCAATTGCACGTGATGGACGAGACGTATGTTATTAATCAGGTGAAGGAGGATTCGTGTTTTGTGTCACAGGATTTTTATGATGATATGGAGACGGCGAAAATGAAGGGAAACACGATAGTGAAGGATTATGTTTTGCCGGATTTCACATCATTGAGGAGGGGATTTCTTCAGGATCCTAACGTTGATAGTGAACAGCAAACATTACGTTTGGGTAATGAACGATTCTCGATACCTGAAATTCTCTTTCATCCATCGGATGTTGGCATTCGACAAATGGGAATACCAGAAGCGATTATTGATTGTTTAAAGGCATGTGAAGAGGAGGCTTGGCCGCATTTATTGTCAAATATTATTCTCACTGGTGGCAGTGCGAAATTCCCTGGTTTTCAAGATAGAATTTTCAAGGAAGTGAGAAGTCTCGCGCCTATTGAATATCCGGTTAATGTCATGTTAGCCGAAGAGTAAGTGAAGATGATTTTGTTTTTAAAAACCTTTTTTTCTTGCTTTCAGGGTTGTAACAAAAATTTAATTTTCTTTTTCTCTGATTTCCAGACGAAATTTTGACTTTTTGCCTGAAACTAAAGAATATTCTGATTCACTCTAAAAATGGTTAGACACTTAAAAAAATGTTCTATTACATTTATTTACGAATTTCTTTTTAATTGTATGTAATATTATTCGAATAATACATTTATTTATCAATTTATTTTTAATTGTAAAATTATTCGAATAATACATTTATTTATGAATTTCTTTTTAATTGTAAAATTATTCGAATAATTTTACAATTAAAAAGAAATTCGTAAATAAATGTAATAAGTAGAACATTTTTTTGAGTAACTAATAAGTTTAAATAAATAACTAATCATTATTATTTTTCCATAGGAATTAAAATTATAAAAAATTTCAAATTCAAACCTTTTGAAATTCAATAACTTAAAAGAATATTATATTAGAAAAAAACATGAAGAAATCAATCACTCCGAGTCTTCGACTCGGAGTGATTGATTTCTTCATGTTTTATAATAATTTAAGATAATAGAGTGATGAAATCATTATTTTATATTATTATACAAATTTTCTTACTGTAACTTCTTCAAAATTATTTTCTATAATTTTTAACTAAAATTTTTCATTAAATCAATTATTTTTAATAATTTTTGAAAAAGTTCTTTGAGAATTTTCAAATCCATTTGTTTACTACTCAATTTTACGAAATTTCGGTTATTCGGAAAGTTTTCAATTAAATATATTTTAAAAAATAAAAACTTCATAATGTCAATAAAAAAATTCAATTAAACTTTTTTAAAAAATTAATTCTATACAAAATTGTTAGTTAAAAGTGTGAAAGATTCAAATTTTCAAAGATATTAATTTGCAACCTTTTCAAAATTCAATTATTTCTAAAAATTCGCGCTGTAATGCTTTTAATATTCAATTTTATTGAATAATTGAATTCTCATAAACAATTTTATGAACAAATTTTTAAATAATTGAATTCTTTTGGAAAACTTTATTAAAATATTAGGTATTGAAAATCATTGAATTGAGGAAAATTTTTGAAAATAATTGATATTTTGCTAAGAATTTTATTAAAATTTTTGAGAATAATTAAATTTCGGAAAAGAATTTGAAAATAATTGAATTTCTGCAATCAATAAATTCAAATTCTTCAATTCAAGTATTATTTTGTAGAATTTTTAACTAAAATTCTTCTTTAAATCAATTATGTTTAATAATTTTTTAAAAAGTTCTTAAAGAATTTTTAAATATATTTGTTTACAATTCAATTGAAAACCTTCAGATGATTTGAAAAAAAAATTCAATTAAACTTTTTTAAAAAAATTAATTAAAATTAATTAATTAATTAATTAAAATTGTATTAAAAATAATTTAAATTCTGCGATGAGTTTAATTATTTATGAAAATAATTAAATTACTGAGAACAGTTTTATTATTTATAAAAATAATTGAATTATTGCGAAGAAATTTATAAAAAATTTGTAAATAATTGAATTCCTGGGAAATTTTTGTAATTTATGAAAATAATTAAGTCTTTATTTTGAATTTTATTAAATTTTTATTAAATAATTGCATTCTTTTGGAAAACTTTATTAAAAATAGTAAATACTGAAAATCATCGAATTGATGAAAGTTTTTAAAAATAATTAAAATTTTGACGAGAAAAATTAAAAATTATTGAACATAATTGAATTTTTGTGAAAAATTTTCTCACTTTTGAAAATAATTGATTTTTTGCAATTATTTGTAACTTATCCAAAATTCAAATTTTTTTTAGTGTTTTTAACTAACATTCTTCTATAAATCTATTATTTTTAATAATTAATTAAATATTTATGGAAAGATTCAACTAATTTCAGAAGAATTTAAATTATTAAAATTTTTAAAAAATCTAAATAATTTTTAAACATTTATAATTAAATTCATTCAAAATTGAAATTTTATAAAAATATAAATTAAAACTTTTTAAAGTTCATCTATTTATGAAAATTTTAAACGCATCTCCTATTTTTAATTAATTTTGAAATATTTAAGTAAAATTATTCATTTAATAATTTATAAGTAATAATTTTATGATAGTTTTTGAAGAATTGAGTTATTAAAAAGAAATTATTGTCAGAAATAGAAAAAATTATTGTGTTTTGTATTAAAATTTGTGGTAATTTCATTGTTTATGAGGCAAACAAAAAGGACACCAAAAGTCAGAATTTTGTTATGGATTTCAAACATTTAATTTTTTCCATTACTTTAAATAAAAATTCCTGACTTTTTCCTAATTTTCCTGACTTCCTTGGACCTGTGTAAACCCTGAGAATTTTTCTCTTTTTTTTGTTTCTTTTTTCTTTTCTTATTTCTTTTTCCTTTTTCTTGTTTTTTTTCTGCTTCTTTTTCCTTTTTCTCGTTCCTTTTTTCTTTTTCTCGTTTCTTTTTCCTTTTTCTAGTTTCTTTTTCCTTTTTCATCAGATAAAAATGTAATTATTTAAGACTTAATTTATGATAAAAATTAACAATTTTGTGAAATTTTTCAGTCCAATCACGTACGCCTGGGAAGGAGGGAAATTGCTGAGTAAGGATCCGACGTTCTCCAGTTTTTTGGTAACTCGAGAGGAATACGAGGAGGAGGGTCACAATATTTGCTTCGAACGTTTTGATACATAGTATTTGTATTTTTACCTTTTATACCAAAAGAAATACATCGACAATATAAAATGGAAGAAACAAAGTAAGTTTTTTGTTTTTTAAAATTCTCATATAGACTTCATTTGTGCCATGAGTTCCTCTAAACTTGGACCGTCCGAAAGTTGTTCTTGTGCTGTTTCGATGACAGCCGTTGGAAGAGTGTAAGCCGCTCTTAAGCCGGCAGTTAAAATATTCGTTGCTTTCTCCTCTGACTCTGTGTCCGTTTCGTCGACTAGGCAAATACCTTGAAAGAATTTCAAAAAGCAAGTAAGATAAGGGGAAAAAATTGAAAAATGAATTAAAGTAAAGAAAGAAGATTAAAATAGAAAGTAAGGAAAGTTAATATAAATAATAAAAGTAAATCTTGTTAATTTAAATTCAAAAAAGAAAGATATTTTTACTTTTATTATTTACAAAAATGTAATTTTTATAATTGGAGATAATTTTATTGATATATTTTTTACCCCATTCGTTGTCTTCGTGTAAAGGTGTATCTTCCAGGCATTCCTCACATTGCTCCACTTTTGGCTTCATTAAATATTCCCTCTGTCGTTGTTGACAATATTTATCTTCGCAATTTTCATTTGGTCTCAATGTCATACTGGGGAAAAAGTCCTGCATTGCATTGTAGCCCAAATAATTCGAGACGGTGCCAAAATTGAGTAGAAATTTCAATGAATTTTGCACTAAAAAGCCGGCAACAATTCCCATTGTTGTTGGCAGTGATGCTGCACAAACTCCATCTCGTTTCAGTGTTTTCTCGTCGATACTTGACGCAACTATCAATGGCGGAGCACACTAGAAAAAAAGTTTTTCACAATAATTGTTAATTTTACTTTTTTCTACCTTCTTTTTCTACTTTTCTACCTTTTGTTTCTGAAACTGATTTTTTAAGCTTAATTTAAATACTTACACCAAAGCAGGCAGTTTCTCCGGGAATGATAAATTGAATATGACCGGAAACGGCATTTTCGGAGACACCGCTTTCGAACCATTTTTGATTGAGTTCGTTGCACGCGGTATTTATGGCCATTCGAGCCTCAAAATTGTCGACACAACTCAAAACAAGATCTACGGGTCCTTTTGATAGACTCGAAGTGCTGTGAATAATAAATCGATTGGAAAGATTAGTAGTAAAGTTTGAAAAATTAATTTGTAATTTACTGTCGAAAATTGAGTAAAAATTCTACCTAATTGTATCCATAAATTGTTGGAAATGATCAACGAGTGTTATATTATAATTGTGAGTATCTATTTGAACGTCGGGATTAATAAATCTCAGAGTTTTCGCCGCAGCGTCGACTTTAGTCTGACCCACTTGATGCGGTTGGAAGAAGAGTCGATTCATATTTGCTAATTCCACTTTATCGTAGTCGAAAAGCACCAACTGAAATAATTAATTCAATAAATTTTTGTTACCAATTCTTTCATTTTTTTAATTTATTATTTTTTTACAACTACTATTATAATTATTTTTATAATTAATTACTTTAATTCTTCGTTATTGTATTAATTGTATTAATCAAAGATTAGAGAAAATTAATAAATTATTTGATGTTTATTAAAACTTCTATAATAATCGCTGTATTCGGGTAATCTGTTCGCAGTTTAAAGCTACATATTTGCTTTTTTGTTTTCTAATTTTTAACATTAATGTATTAAAAATCATTGAATTCTTGCGAAGAGATTTGTCAAAATTTTTGAAAATAATAATTGAATTCTTTCAAAAAATTTAATTAAAATTGAATTGAAAATAATTCAATTTCTGCGAAGAATTTTATTATGAAACAATAGATCTGTGCGGTATTGAAAATCCATAACCGGTTTTCGGTTTTAAAATTGAAACCGGTATTTAAAAAAAAAAACGGTTTTTGAATACCGGCATTTAAAAAATGTTTTTTCAAGTACCATTTTATTTAAAAAAAACTGGTTCAAAAAAATTTGGTTTATTATTAATTCGAAGAATTTTGGAAAAATTTTGAAAATAATTGAATTTGCTTAGAAAAATTTCATTAAAATTGATTTGAAAATACATAATTGAATTCCTGCGAAGAATTTTATTATGAAACAATCATTGAATTCTTGAGTAGAATTTTTTTTAAATTAAATATTGAAAATAATTGAATTGTTTAGAAGAATTTCTTTTAATTTTTTGAAGAATTTATTTCAAATTCTATAAATAATCGTGTTTATTAATTATTGTATGTAATTAAAAATATTTGATTATTGAATTTTAATAAAATTTTTAGAAAATAATTAAATTCTTCTCAGATTTTTATTTCAATCTTTTAAAATAATTGAATTCATTCAAGGAATTTTATTAAAATATTCAAATTAATGGAATTCTTTAAAAGAATTTAACTTCATTTTTTTTAGTATAATCGATTTTGTTAATAATTGTAATTAATAATTTTTTATTCTTAAATTTTATAATAAAATTATCGATAGAAAATTAAATTATATTGAATAACCATTTTATTATCAAGTTTTCGTACCTAAATAATTAAATTTTTTTGAAGAATTTCTTTAAGTTTTTTGCAAATAATAGTTTTTTTAAAAGTAATTTTCATTTGAAAATTATGAAAATAATTTAATTTTACGAAGAATTTCCTTTAACCTATTAAAATGCATGTTAATAATTGTAATTAAAAATTTGATTATTGAATTTTATTTATATATTCTGGAAAATAATTGAATATTTTTCCATATAATTATTATTTTTGAAAGTATTTGAATTCTTTGGAGAAATGTTATAAAAATTCAACTGAAAATAAATTGAATTAAATTGATTAAAATTGTATTAAAAATAATTGAATTCTCGCAAAGAATTTCATTACTTATGAAAATAATCGAATTCCTCCAAAGAATGATATTAAAATTTTTCAAAATACATAATTAAATATTTTGAATTGAATTTTTTGAATATTTTATTTGTATTTCAATTTTTTTGAAAATAATTGAATTTAGATCAGAAAAAATTTTATTATAATTTTTAAAAATAATTGAACAAGTTCAAGACATTTTATTAAAATTGTATTAAAAATAATTGAATTCCTGAGAAGAATTTTATTATTTTTAAAAATTATAATTCAATTCTTGCGGAGAATCTTACAATTTATAAAAATAATTTCATTCTTTTGAAAAGTTTTATAACAATTCTTGAAAAATAATTGAATCCTTTCGAGAAATTTTTTAAAAATTGTGTTGAAAATTATTGAATTCCTGAAAAGAATTTTATTATTTATATAAAAAAAGTAATTTAATTCTTGCGAAGAATTCTACTATTTTTAGTAGAATTTTATTAAAAAATATTTAAAATACTTGAATTCAATAAGTGAATTTTTTAAATTTTGAATCTGAAATTTCTTAAAAATTGAAGTTTATATTTGTGAATAAAAAATTTTCTAATTTGCATAATAATAATAATAAATTGAATATTGCGTTTCGCACGCAACATTTGCTAATTATTTAATGTTTGAAATTGACAAATTAAATTGTCAAAATTTAACAGTTAATTGCCTAGGACTAATTGAAATCAAATTTTATTTTTACCTTTCCGATACCGCACCTAGTGAGCATTTCTGCTGTTACACTTCCAACTCCACCGACGCCTACAACTGCAATTGTCATATTTCGAATTCTCTCATAATCTTTAACAATACCCATTCGTTGTAATGCCATTAATCGACTGAAATTGAATTTCCAAAAGATAATTATGCATAAAAATGAACGTAAAGTTCCATATTGAAAGAAAATATAAAATAGAATAGAAAAATAAATTATAATTCAACAATTCAAGTGATTAATCGTAAAACGATTTATACAATCATTTTAGTAAATATAGAAAAACATTTAAATAATTAAAAAAAAACAATTACCTGTATGGATTAGTGTCGACCACTTCACTTGACATTTGTTCAACTTTATCTCTAGCAGAAAATTCACCATCTTTTGATTTTAATTCAACCAATTGCTTCTCTAATTCCTTAATGCGCTCTTGTAATTTTTCAACAGAATCCATTGTTGATTTTTCAATTATTCGTAAAAATTTTAACGCAATGCGGGTGGAAACTTCCCATATGTCAAAAATGACAGTCCTGACAGTTAGAAAATTTTGAGGTTATGTCACATGACCTACAATTGCACAACGTTGGCGTCTTCAGGCAGCTGTATAATTGTATATATATACAAATTACGAACTGCATACAACGCCTTACTAAAATCTGTGTCTACTTTTCACTCTATTCATTACATTTTGAATTTTTTGAATCAATTTTAGTGCGTGTAAATAAATAAATTTACGGTTAAGGAAAATATCCCTTACATTAAATCGACAGTTTGTGAAATTCTATTTTTAGTTTGGATTAAAAATAGCACCCTTTTAAAGGTTATTTACAAGGGTTAATAAACCCCAATACTTCAAGGACCAATGAATTATTTTTGTTAAGTGCAATTGCAACTAACAATAACAACAGTATAAAAGAGAGTGCAAATTGTGCGTTTTTTTTTGTACGCGCAAGGAGAATGTCGTTTTGTTGTCGTAAGCGAAATGTGTGACGACATTAAAGAACACTGCACTTTTCAGTACATTTTTATCGGAAATGCATTGAAAACAATAAAACTGAGTGCATTATAAGTACAAATGGCTGATAAGTTTATCAATTATACACATCAACCTGTTGGAGAGATTAACATTAACGATTATTATAAATAATCATGAAAGAAAGCCAACTATCAAAATATGTAATTAATATCAACATAAATGATCAATTATTCAATTCTCGTAAATATAAATTATAACTCCGCTTAATTTTCACGAACAAAAGACTTGTAAGTAATTCTTTTTTTTCGATTTTTACTCATTTTTCCTGTTTTACATTTTTTTTTAAATTTTTTGCAATATAATTGGTTTTTATCGCAGACGTAATACAATGGGCTCATTATCGTACGATATTAATTTCCATGAATTCAATACAGTCTCATGTGTCACGGTATTTATAACTCGATAAGGCAAAGGTAAGGAAGTAGTTTTCGTTTATTAATTATTTATAAATCATTGCTTTATACTTTGTTGTTCGTAACTTTCAAGGGTAATTATCATAGTTATGGATCTTGCTTTTCTTTTTTTTAGGCAGTGAAAAAAAAATTTAATTGTCGCGTCTATGTTTAAAATTTGACAACAATCATGGCTAGTAAATGGAGAGTTTTTGCACTTCTCATGTGGAAGAATTTAATTGTTCGCAAGAGACATTGGAAAGCGGGTTTCTTTGTTCAAATATGCTTGCCTTTTGCATTATTTGCACTCACTCAACTTACGAGAGATTTGTCAGCGACAGCACCGAAACGTGTGGAAAATATCACCCATTATAATGTTATAACAGAAGAAGAGGCACAGGAAACAATTGATATGACTGCAAATCTTGTTTATTATTTACCGAAAAATGAATTTGTCGATGATTTAATGTATGAAACTGGAGTGTGTCTTGGTCTTCCATCAGACAGTAAGTTGTTGTTTTCATTTTATTCCATTCTTTTTTACGATTTTCGGCAAAAAAGAATAAAAAAAAGTATTTTATTTTCATGTTCTTGAAGTTTCGAACAATATTTTTTTTACTTTTAATTTTTATTCTTTTACAGAAAAAAAATTATTTTTTACATTAAAACAAATTAATTTTAAACTAAATAACAAGTCTCGTATTCAACTACTAAAACCTACTATTTACTACTTTTTTTACGATTTGCTACTATTTGGATCCTTTTTTCTATTTGTTACACTAAATGTTGCAACTTTTTTCTATGTTTGAGAATTTATAATACTTTAAATTTATTAACAACTGAAATAAAAAAATTATTTTAACAAATTTTAATAAATTTATTTACAATTTTAATAAAATTTTCCAAAAAAATACAATTATCTAAAAAAAATGTCAATAAAGTTTTTCACAAACATTCAATTATTTTAAAAAAAAAAAAATTTTCACCCAGGAATTCAATTATTTAAAACAGAATTTTCCTAATATTTTTCGAAAAAAATCAATTATTTAAATAAATTTTTATAAAATTCTTTGAAAGAATTTAATTATTTTTATAAATATTTAAAGCTCATCGCATGCAGGATTTCAATTACTTTTAATACAATTTTAAATTAATTCCGGGAAAAATGCAACTATTCTTAAAAATTTTAATAAAATTCTTTCAAAGAATTCAATTATTTTAAAAAATTTAACGAAATTCTTTATAATAATTCAATTGTTTTGAATATAATTTTAATAAGATTTTTTGAAAGAATTTAATTATTTTTATGAATAATGCAATTATCAAAGAAATTCAATTCTTTAAAAAGATTTTTTTTTAATTCTTCTCAAGAATGCAATTATTTTAAAAGCTTTATTAAAATTCGTGGCAAAAATTAAATTATTTCATAAATAGTAAAACTCATCACAGGATTTCAATTATTTTCAATTATAATTTAAAATTAATTCCGATAAAAATGCAATTGTTCTTAAAAATTTTAATAAAATTCTTTGAAAAAATTCAGTTATTTAAAAAAATTTGATATAATTTGTTTCTTAGAGTATAATAATTATTTTCAATTCATTTTTAATTACATTTCTTGAATGAATTTAATTATTATAAAAAATTTTAATGTAATTTATCTTAAAAATTCAATTATTTAAAAAAATGTTGATGAAATTCTTTATAAGAATTCAAAGTTAAGAAATATTTAATTATTCAGTTAATTATTTATTTTTGTATTTAAATAATTATTGCATTCTCGTTGAACGTTTTAATAAGAATTGATTTAGAATGGAATATAATAAAATGATTATATGTAGTTTTGAATAATTTAATTTATAAATTTCAAAAAAAGAAATGATTGAATTTTGAAAGAATTACTTTTGTAATTTTTAGAAATAGTTAAATTCAAAAATGCTTTACATTGAAATTAAATTATGAAGAATATAATTTTAACTAGGTATTAATGATTAAAAATGGGAATTTTTTTTAAATTTTAATTATTTTATGAATTTATTTTAATTAATTTTAATTTTAATAGATATCGTGGGCTTCGCAACGGAGGGCGAATTATTAAAAGAAGTTGCAATAAAGACGATAGAAGATATTTCGAGAAAAATTCTAGCTGTTGTTTTTAAGGATCACAATGAATTTAATTCGACATCGAAGAATCTCCAGTACACCATTAAATCGCCATTGATTCCAAGATTTATGTACGCGACACCAATTGATATGATTAGCGGATATAATGCTTACGTGGAAACATTTCCGTTTGTTCAAGTGCAAATGTGTCTTGATGGGATTTTTTTAAAAATGAAAGTACCAAACTCTTCATACAATGCTGAAGTGAGTCATGATTACGAGAAAATTCTATTTAATTCTAATTTTTAAAATGTATTTTAATTACTTTTTCTGATAAACTTTTTTTATAATGACTTGATAATAATTATTTTTATCTGATTGTATAACTATTTTAATTTAGTAATAATTATTTTTATTTTATTGTAAGTTTTATAATTTGGTAATAATTATTTTTATTTGATTGTAATTTTTTGAATTTAGTAAAAATTAGTTTTATTTGATTATAATTTTTCTAATTTTTTAATAATAATTTTTATTTGATAATTATTTTATTAGATTGCAATTATTTGGATTTAATAATTATTTTATTTGATTGAAATGTTTTAAATTTGGTAAAAATTATTTTTATTGGGTGTAATTTTTTTGCATTTTGTAACAATTGTTTTTCTTTGATTGTAATTTTTCTAATTTGATAATAATTATTTTTATATGAAAATTATTTTATTTGATTACAATTATTTTTATTTAATAATTATTTTCTTTGATTGTATTACGTGGAATCATTTCCATTTGTAATTTTTGTAATTTGTTAATAATTATTTTATTTGATTGCAATTTTATTTTATTACCTTTTCTTGTAATTTGGTAATAATTATTTTTATTTTATATATATATATTTTTTTTTTGATTATCTATAATTATTTGGTAATTTGGTAACAATTCTTTTCAGTTGATTGTAATTTTTTTAATTTGTTAGTTTCTAAATAATTTAACGATTATAAACAACGTCTTTGCAGATATCTTTGCAACAAATGCCCGATCCCCCTCACATTGAATTGGATTCTAATGACGAGATGATAAGAACAATGTACGCAATGACTGCGGTTATGGCATTTTTAATTCCTCTGTGCATTGAAGCCACTTATGCTGCTAATGAGAAATTCATCGGCGTCAATGTTAGTACTTTTAAACTAACTCGATTAATCGATATGAAAATTTGCAGTTTTTTTTAATTTAAAGTCAGTAGGAATTTTCATGAATTTATTTGCTGTAGAATATTATTAAATTTATTAAAAAAAAACTAAAAGACTAGAAAATAGAAGTATAAATAAATTTAAATTTATTTATTTTATTTTATGAAATTGCGATAAGGTTGAAAACATTTTTTCAAAAAAATGTTTTAAGAAACAAGTTTTATTGTTTGTGTTTATATTTATCATTTGTATTTATACTGTATAATAACAAATATTACGTATAAACAAATAGACGTTGAAACTGGTATTTTTTTAAATATCAAATAATTTCCTTTTCGAATAGTTCTTTTGCATTTAAATTAATTTATATTTATTTAAGTCTGTTTATATTTATTTAAATTAATTAATATTTATTTAATTCAGTTTCTATTTATTCAAATCAATTAATATTTATTTAATTTTATATTTCAATTTAAATGTATTTATTTAAATTGATATTTTTTCGACTAAATTGATATTTTTGAATAATTGTAAAATTAAATGATTTTTATTCTTTCAGATTTTGATGTCAATGAATGGCGTTAAGAATTATCAGAATTTAATAAGTTGGCTCGTAAGCGGAGTAATATTTAGCATTCTTTACATCACTCCCCTTTTATTATTATTTACAAACGCTTTTGTATCGGACGTCGAGCCATATTTAAATTATGGAAATGTTTTTATTGTTGCTGTATTGCTCATCGTTCAAGTGACTCATCTCTTGGCCTATGGAATGCATATTGCTTCATATTTTTCAAAATGTAAGATTTGAAATATTTTTCTTCATTTTACTGACAAAGTATTCAAATTTTGTCTTTGTATGAATAACAAAATTGAATTTGTCGAATATAGAAATTCGTATAAGTCCAATTTTTACACTGCATTTTTGAATTAGTAGAATAGAATAATTCTTACGAATTATTCTATTCGACTAATTCAAAAATGCAGTGTAAAAATTGTAGCATATATACATTAAATTTTACTTTTAGAGATCTGTATATTTCAATTTTTTTAAAACTAGTTTTTTTTAATTAAATTTAACAGAAATTCTATTATCTCAAAATTAAATTCTACATTCTGTAAAAACTAAAGTATTAAAATTGGATTTTAGGGATTTCTTTTAAAAACATTTTTCGCTTTTCAGCTCTGTTTATGATCTCGGGAATTCTGGCAATTTATGTTGGATCCGCAATGCTACAAAGATTTATCGTTAAAAGTAGCGTTTTTACTTTGATACCGTATTTGGGAATTCTTTTTCCTAATTATTCATTATTCCGTGTATTCCAGGAAATAAGCGTTTATGAAAAAAGATGTAGGTGCTAATTTTGAATACATTTTCACAATTTATTTATTTACTAAAATTTTTTTTTTATTAGCGTACAATTTTAATTGCCTTACTATTATTTTACTAATTAATAACTAATAAAATAATAGTAAACAATAGCACTGCAATTAAAATTCTATTCTAATAGTAAAAATAATGTATAGTAAATAAACAATTTTTTGTTCTATTGAAAATGTTTAAATTAATATTTATTAATAATTTTACGAAAATTTATAAATATCAGTGACGGGAGTTCGATGGAGTAATTTATTCGTCGTTGGAGACGATGATTATCCCGCAATTGGAAGTTTGGGAGGAATGTTTTTATTGTCAATTTTAGGAATACTTTTCCACTTTTTTCTCACATTGTATGTTTATGCCGTTCTACCCGGCAAATACGGTGTTCCAAAGCATCCATTTTTCTTTCTAATGGTATAATTATTTTACTGTATACATAGCAAAAAAAAAAAAAAAATTAGCTAAAATTATTATCATTAAAATGAAATATTCAATTAAATATTCAAAATTAAAATTGCAGCGATCGAAAATCAATAAAGTTTCTTCAGAAGAAGAGGTGTATGACTGTGATTATAGTAATTTGGAAGGAAAGCCCTTTGAACCAGTTCCAAGAGATGCATTCAGGCCTGGAATTCAAATTCGAAATTTAAAGAAATCGTATTATACGAATTGTTTCAATCGTGCAGTGAGTATAAAATTACATTTTTACTGAAAATAATTGATAATTGTTTTCTAATTGGTATTTTTTAAAATTTAATTGTAATTGGTTTCTAATTGATATTTTTTTAATTTAATTTATAATTGTTTTCTAATAGATAATTTTTTTCCTAGTTTAATTGATAATTATTTTCTAATATTTTCTTTATTTTCAGACACATCAGGCACTTCGGGGAATTTCAATTGATTTCTATAAAGGACAAATAACAGCTTTATTGGGTCATAACGGAGCTGGAAAAACGACAATGATGTCTATTTTAACAGGTAAAGAAAAAAGAAAATATTTTCAAAATTCTATAAATAAATACTTATTATTAACTAATAAATAATTTCTTCCTCGGGGGGAAGCAATTATTAATATTAATTAATTAGCTGATTAATATGAATATTAACCAGTTATTAAATATTAATTTTTCTCAATTGATTTCCATCAGGTTTGTTAAGTCCTACGGAGGGAATGGTTTTGATAAACGGCAAAAAAGCCAGCGACGAAATGGACGATATTATAAGCGATTTGGGTCTTTGTCCTCAAGAAGATATGCTTTTCCCAGATTTAAATGTTTTCGAACAAATCGAATTTTTCGGCTTGGTAAGAATTTTTCCACACATATACTAATTTTCAATTTTCTTTAAAAGTAATTTATTTATAGTATTTATTGCTACTCAATTTTTTCTAAATTTAGTTAATATTATCAACATTAATTTATAATTATGAATTAAAGCAATTTTTAGAGAAATTAAAATTCTATTAGAAAATGGATATATTTTCGTAATTACAATACTTAAAAATCGTTTTTTTCCCTTTTTAGCTGAAAAATAAAAATAAAACGAAAGGTGAAGTACAAACGGAAGTGAATCTTCTATTGAAGAAATTAAAATTACTTCAAAAGAAAAATGTAGTGCCGTCCAAACTTTCCGGTGGTCAGAAAAGAAGAGTTTGCCTCGGAATGGCAATAATTGGCGATGCTTCGGTAAATATTTCATTATTTTTAAATTCTTTGAATATTTCAAAAATTAAAAATTCTGATTTGGATTTCTTTTCATAATTATGAATGAATAAAAAGTAATTGTTATATATTTTTAGACACTGATATTAGACGAGCCAACATCGGGAATGGATCCTGAAAGTAGAAGAGATACTTGGGACATTTTATTGGTAAAAAAATTGAAATAGTTTTATTGAAACTAAAAAAAAAATCTAAATTTTAAATTAAGATTTCAAATTTGAAAAAAAGAATATTAAGAAAATTGTTTCTTCTTTTTATTGTAGAAAATGAGAGGACAGAAAACAATTCTCATTAGTACTCATAATATGGAAGAAGCTGATATTCTTGGCGATAGAACAGCGATAATTCATTTGGGACGTTTGAAAAGTTATGGAACTCCAATGTTTCTCAAAAAACTTTACGGTATTTATCAGTTAAATATTTCGCTCACATTTAACTTGCTTTAAATTAATTTAATTTTAAAAGTTTTAATTGAAATTATCACCTGGTGATATTTTAATAGAAAAAATAAATCAAATTGATTTTAATATTAAATAGATTAAATCAAATTGATTTAATCAGTTGTACTATTAAAATACCACAGGGTGATAAATTTTATTTTGTGGATATTTTTATTATGTAATTTTCTTTTTGAAGTTTATTTATATTTTTTTTAATTTTATTAATATTTCTTTGAATTTTAGGGCAAGGAAATATTGAAGTGACACTGTCAACGGAAAAAGAATATAATTTTGAAAAAATAAAGAGCCAATTCAGTAGGGATTGTAAATTAATAAATTTGGATGGTGGAAAAATGGTCTTCAATGTTCCCTACACACCTGAATTGCCACAAGACTTGGACAAAATTGAAGAGAAGAAAGAAGAACTCGGTGTGAATGGAATAAGTGTCTCGCTCATTACACTGGAACAAGTTTTTCTCAAGTGAGTTTCTTTTTGAATAATTTTTAATTATCACTAGTATTTTTTTAGTTTTAAATAAATTAACTTTAATAGAAATAAAATTTTTTTTCTTATTTATAAAGAATTTTATAAGAAAATTAATTAAATAAGGATATACCAATTAATTATTAATTGCAACTAATTAATACATTTTTATTTAATTACTAATCTACAATTAATAATAATAGTTGTATTCCAGCAATCTATTCGCAGTTTAAAGTTAGTTTTTGTTTGCTTCTTTATTTCCTAACATTTTTAATAATTTTTCTTTTTACATTTTTGAATTTTAAAATTAATCTATTGAAAATCATTCAATTCTTGTGAAGAATTTTATTAAAAAAATTGGAAGATAATTGAATTCTTTCGAAGAATTTTATCAAAATTTTTGAAAATAATTTAATTCTTTCGAGAAATTTTGTTAAAATTCTACTGGAAATAATTCAATTCTCGCAAAGAATTTTATTATTTATGAAAATAATCGAATTCTTCCAAGGAATGTTATTAAAATTTTTGATAATAATTGAATTGTTTTGAAGAATTTCTTTAAATTTTTTAAAAGTAATGTATTTTTTTTCAATAATCTTTATTGAAAGTTTTGAAAGTACTTGAAATTTAAAAAGAATTTTATCAAAACTTTTGAAAATAATTGAATATCAAGAAAAATTTTATTACAATTTTTAAAAATAATTGAACTCATTCGAGAAATTTTATTAAAATTGTATTGAAAATAATTGAATTTCTGAGAAGAATTTTATTACCTACTTATAAAAATAATAATTTAATCCTCGTCAAGAATCTTACAATTTATGAAAATAATTTAATTCTTTTGAAAAATTTTATTAAAATATATTTGTTAAATAATATAATCAGTTCGTGAAATTTTTCAAAAATTGAATTGAAAATAATTCAATTCCTGTGAAGAATTTCACCATATTTTTAAAAATAATTGAATTCTTCTAAAAAATGTTATTATCTATGAGAATAATTGAATTTTTGCTTAAAATTTTATTTAAATTTTTGAAAATAATAATTTCTATTAATTGTTGTATTTTTACTTAATTATTAATTGCAATTAATGTATTTTTACTTCATTATTAATTTCAATAGATGTATTTTTATTTCATTACTAATTTCAATGAATTTATTTTTATTTAATTAGTTCAATTAAATAAATTAATTTAAATTAATTGATGTATTTTAATTCAATTTAAGAGCAACGAAAGAAGACGAGGACGAAGTCGATTCTTGCCGACCTCAAATGGACGAAATTTCGAAAGTAACTGGACGCAATCTTCTTTTGCAATCGGCAATGGCTTTATTTATGAAAAAACTCACCTATACCTACAAGAATATTCTCACATTTTGGTTAATAGTACGTAGAAAAAATTCTATACTAACGAGTAATTAGTGGTTAATAACCAATAAGAAGTTAATTTCTAAATTCATTTATTTTGATTTGAATATATTTAAATTTGACAAAATGTAATTAAATAATCACTTCTCTAATTAATTTCATTTAAAAAGTCAATGATCCCAAAGTTCTAACGCTCAAATGAACGCTAAAGTTATTTTATAGTTTATATAAATAAATTGATAATTCGATTTTTCTTTTTCCAGATTGCGATTCCGTTGGTCAGTATTTTTCTGATAGGACTCGATTTCAATGCTCTTCGCGACACCTCACCGTTAATTCCAATGAGACTCGGTAAATATCGATATCCTGAAAGTTTTGTTTCAAGCGATGAACCATTTGAAAGTGCCTACAAAAAGGTTGTCGAGGAATTTGATGGAGTTGCTGTCGATGTTGGTGGAGCTAATATTTCGCAAAGTAAATAAAAATAATAACTTTTTATTAATTTATTTATTTAAATTTAAATAAATAAATGACAAAAGAAGAAATCCATAAAATCCAAATTAAATTTTTAATTTCGTTTCTCTCTTTTTTCCTCAGGGATGCTCGATTTAGCAACAAAGGATTTGGCGACGTATCGAAATAATCTAATCGCCGCGGCTTCGATTCAAATTAATGCTGAGAAGAAAGTTAAAATGAATGCATTTTATTCAACATCGGCATCGTACAGTATTCCAATATCAGTGAATCTCCTGTCGAATACACTTTTAAAAGCACTCGCTGGCGAGGATTATGAAATTAATGTTTGGAGTCAAAAATTTCCAAATTTATACAAAAGCAGTGAAATTATTGAAACACAAGACGACACATTTGGCCGTGTTTTACTTTTAATTGCCTTTCTGTATCCAACAATTGCATTGTTCGTTATTCATCCGCTTAGAGAAACATCACTTGGCGTTAAACAACTTCAAAGAATGACCGGAGTTCCAAGTTGGCTCTATTGGGGCACAATGTTTCTATTTGATTTCATCGTCTTTTTCGTGTCAATTATATTCATTTTACTTGGTTTCTTCGCCATTGATTGCATTTTTGATATTCGAATGTTCCGCGGAACGGAAATGGGTAAGAGGGACTATTTATTTTTTTAATTAAATCAATTTATTTACCATTACTAATTGACTAATTAATAATTAATAAGTACTAAAAGAAAATTTGTGCGAAATTTTTCAATTTTTATTAGTGGAAAATTATTTATTTTCAATTGAAATTTTCGATTTTTTTTCAGCAATTATGGTTTTGCTACTTGTGCTGTTTGCTTTGAACACTTTGCCAGTTGTTTATACGTTCAGTTTTCTGAAAAAGTCAACGAGTACTGTTATAACAATGCTGAGTCTTCTGCCACTTGGAGCAAGTAAGTTTAGAAAATTTTGTGAAATTAATTATAATTAATTAAAATTAATAAATTAGTTTCTCCTTTTTGTAAATTGAGTTGAAAAATAATTTTGGTATTTTTTGATATTTTCAGTTGCGATGGAATTGATTCTTCACATATTGATGTTAAACATAGCTGACATGAAGTTTATGGAGTTTTTACGAGGAATGCAAAAGAAGATTTTCCTAATGATTCCCTATATAAGTTTCTTCCATGGTCAGATCAGTTTCTTTGAGACGGCGGGTCAAAATGCACAATGTCGTCGTTCGCCACAGCAATTTTTAGATATTGCCTGTATGGTTCACAGCAAATGTTGTGGTGAGCGAAATAATATTTATTTTTCGTCTATTTTTTATATATTTGCTTAGTTATGTATTTATAGAGTTGCCACAGATTAGGGAAAAGTTAAGGAAAATAAAATTAGTCAGGGAAATCAGGAAAATGTCAAGGAATTTTATCAAAAATACTGGAAGAATATCACATTTTTCTAGAATTGATAGAAAAATTATGATTTTTTGTGTTCAAGAACATTTTTGAAATACTTAAAAACCTTGAATTCTCCTTGAATTTTTATTCATTTTTTTATGTTAAAAACTTTTGAATCACAATGGATTTTGAAATAATACCCTGATTTTTCTTATTTTTGTAAATAATTAAATTTATTTTGAATAATTAAATTCTAAAATAACTTTTTGATTTTAATAAAAAATTGTTGCAATTTTCAAAAATAATTTAATTTCAGAAGGTTTTGAAGTAAAATTTGAAAAATAATTTAAGTTTAAAATAATTTTATTTAAAATTCTAAAAAATCAAGTTGCTGAGAAACTTTAATTTAATTTTAAAAGATACAAAAAAATTTATTAAACAATTATCAAATTAATTGAAATTTTGCGAAATTGAATTAAAAATAATTAAATTTGTTAATAAATTTTATTAGAGCTTTAAAAGAAAATCAAGATTTCAAAAAATTTAAATCTAATAATTAATTAATAATTGAATTTTACAATGAGTCACAATTTAATGCATTCATTTATTTGTTAGTATAAAAATCATAATTAAAGAGACCAGATTGTATCTCAAATAATTTAATTTTGAAGGAAGTGCAATTTCAATTTTTGTTTATTAGTTAATTTTAAATAGTTATGAATTATAATTAATTTAGAAAAGATTTGAATCAAAACCTGTTGCAATTTTCAGAAATAATTGAATTTCAGAATATTTTAAACTACATTTTTTTGAAAATTCCAAATTGTGTGAAGAAATTCATAATAAATAATTAAATATTTATTTAAAAAATTATTTAAATTTTAAATAATTTTATTTTATTCTGAAAAAATTAGGTTTCAGCGAAATATCAATTCAATTTTTAAAGATACTTTAATTGAAAAAAAGTGTATTAAACTATATTGTCAAATTAATTGAAATTTTGTGACTTTCATTACAGTTTTAAGAGAAAATAGAATTTTCAAAAAGTTTAGATTTTATAATTGGTAAACAATTTTTGGTAAATAATTGAATTTCACAAAGAATCACAGTATTTATTTATATGTTTGTTAGTATAAAAATTAACATTAAAGACTCCAAATTGCATCCAAAATAATTTAATTTCTAAAGAAGTACAAATTAAATTTGTTGTTGATTAGTTAATTTTAAAAAGATTTAAATTTATAATTTATAATTCTTTGAAAATTTGAAATTTAAAAATTTTTATTTATAATTCTGAAAAATTATGTTTTAAGAATATTTCAGTTAATGATTAGATATTGGATTTTTATAAACAAATAAAATTTTTTTATTTTCAAATTTCCGAGAACTCGATTAAAAATAATTAAATTTTTTAATATGTAATTTAAAAATTGTTGAAAATAAAGGAGGGAAGGTCATGACATAACTACTTATTTTTAAAATAGATATAGGTACACTGAGTTTTAAATTAAATTTTTGCTTCTAAAATCTTATTTTTTTATATTTTTCTTTTTTCTTGTAATTGAACTCCATTTGATTTTTTTATATAGGAATCAGGGGAAAAGTTAAAATTTTGTTTGGAAATCAGGGGAAACGAAAATCAAATTATTGTGTCAACTCTAATTTATTTATATATTTATTTATTTGTTTATTTGCTCAAAATTAACGATTGTACGTTGGGCTTTTATTTTTAGGTCTAGAGTGCCAGAATGGAAGCTGTAAAAAATCTCTGCCATATTTTCCCGATTTTAAAGGAGACATAAATCTCTCTGAAAGCGTTCTCTATATGTGTTTAACTCCGATATTTTATTTTACAATTCTTGGATTACTCGAGCACAGAATTATACCTTTCATATTGATGAAAATTCAAAGATACGAGCCGAAATGCATCATCGACGAAATGGACGATCAAGTGAAGAAAGAAAAATTATCGGTTGCTTTTGAACTTAGTAAATTAAAAACTCAAAGTAAGCTTTTGAAAGAATATTTCCACTAATAGTATTAGGAAAATTTAATAGAATAATTAATTTTTATTTTAATGCCATAATAATTAATTTTAATTTTAATGCCATAAAAATTAATTTTAATTTTAATGCTATAATGATTAGAAAATTTCAGTTTAAATTTTTTAAATATGTAATTGATTTTTTAAAATTTGCATTATTGACGTAATTTGCTATTAATTAATAAGAATAATCTAAATGTTTTTTTGTTTTCTAATAGGTGATCCTGCAAAAATGCAGGGCAGTATGGAAAAGATGAATTCGAGTGCAGAAAATCCTGATAGCGATAGTGACGCTATTTACTTAGTTTATGAATTAAGTAAATTCTACGGCCTTCTACCGGCTGTCAAGGAAATTAATTTTTCCGTTAAGAAAAGTGAATGTTTCGGTTTATTGGGAGTGAATGGTGCTGGAAAAAGTACAACCTTTAGAATGTTAACTGGCGATGAATTTCCAAATAGTGGCGCCATGTATTTAGGCGGAAAGGAGATTTACAATAACAGAAAAGAGGTATTTCATTTTTAATATTAATCAACGTTTTTTGTCGACGCAGAAAGAGAATTTTATTTAATTTTGTCGACGTAAACGTTGCCAACTTCAATTATAGCTTAGTTTCATAATAAATTTAAATAAACAATAAATTAATTATTGATAAATTTAAAATCATTAATAAATGAAGATATCATTAGTAATTTATTTTCGTTATGTTAGTATTTAGCGCAAATGGGATACTGTCCACAAACTTCTGCGCTGATAAATTCACTGAATGCCAGAGATCATCTAAGACTCTTTGCTCTGATTCGAGGAGTTCCCAAAGAACAAGTGCACTTAGAAGTCGAAAAATGGATCAATAGATTAAGTACGTATTAATTATTATCAGTAATTAAACATTAGAATTAAATTAAAATTAGTAATTAGAAAATTTGATAGAAATGCATGTAAAATACCCTCTAAAGGTTCGATAAATATTTGTACTGAAAAACTAAGTGAATAATATTTTGCTTTACAGATTTAAATCTTTGCGCAGCTCAACCAAGTGGTGCATACAGTGGAGGAAATAAACGACGTTTAAATATTGCAATTTCACTTATTGGCAATCCTAATCTCGTTTTGTTAGATGAGCCAACAACGGGAGTTGATCCAGCGGCACGTAGATCTCTTTGGCATGTGATAAAATCCTGTCAACTGGCGGGACAATCAATTATTCTTACATCTCACAGGTAAAAATTTTTTACAGGCAATTATTTACCAAACTGAGAATTATTACGCGCGAAATGCGGAATTTATTCTATTATTATGCAAATTATAAAATTTTATATTTTTCAAATATTAATTTCAGTTTTTTAATAATATCAGATTCAAAATTTAAAAAAAATGTATTATTAACTAATTTACTAATTTAATTATAATTCTTCATTGTTTTTAAAAACATTAATAAAAATTCTTCGCAGGAATTCTATTATTTTTAATACAATTTCAAAAAAATTTCTCAAAACAATTCAATTATTTATAAAAATTTAATCAAATTCTTTGTAAGAATTCAATTATTTTCATAAATAATAAAATTCTTCGTAGGAATTCAATTATTTTAGAAAAATGAAATAAAATTATGGAAAAGAATTCAATTATTTTAGAAAAATGCAATAAAATTATGGAAAAGAATTCAATTATTTTCATATTCTATAATATCGCAGGAATTCAATTAGTTTCAATACAATTTTAGTTAAATTTTTAGAAAGAATTCAATTATTTTCAAAAATTTTAATAAAATTCTTATCTAATTAAATTTATCATGATTTCAATTATTTTCTTGTTAATAAAATTCATGACAGAAATTCAATAATTTTAAAAACTTTGAATGACATTCTTCGTGGAAATTTAATTATTTTAAAAAATGTTGATAAAACTCTTTTTAAGAATTTCATTATTAATTAATAGGAATTTTATGAAATTCCTGAAAAGAATTCAATTATTTTACAAAATTTTAATAAAATTCTCCATAGGAATTTCTAAAAAGTGAAATTATCATTCATTAAAATAAATTTAGAAATTTTAAGTTGTAAATATTTTTAAAAATTTATTTTCGATTTAGAATTTTTTAGAAATATTTTTATAAATTCCGAAAATAAGAAATGCTTTAAAAATGTTGAATATCTAAAATTGGCATTAAATTTTCTTTTGATCTACAAGAACTCTAAAAAAACAAGAAAAGTTACAATTGCAAGTTTTGTATTTAAATAATTGAAAGCTTGATGAACTTCTAGAAAATAATAGAATATTAAAAGAGTTATAGTCGAAATTATTAGAAATAATTAAATTTCAAAACATTTGAAATTGAATTTTGAATAATTTTTATCAAAAATTCTAAAGAATTATTTTCGTAAATTGAATTTTAAAAGTATTTTAGGTAATTTTTTTTAATAACTAAGTTCTCAAAGAACTTTCTCAAATTTATTGAAGGTAATAAATTTAAAAAACAATTTAAGTTAAAAATTTTAGAAATTAATTGAGTTATACTCCAAATTATTTGTTATTTAAATTTCTCAAAGTTTCAAATTGAATTTTGAATAATTTTTATTAAAAATTCTAAAGAATTTGTCTTTCTTCGTAAAATTGAATTTTAGACGTATTTTAGGTAATGTTATTTTTTAACAATTGAATTCTCAAAGAACTTTCTCGTTATTAAAAGTAATTGATATTTATAGAAAAAAATTTAAGTTAATAATTTTAGAAATCAATCGAATGTTAAAGAAGTTGGAGTGGATATTTTTAGAAATAATTAAGTTTGCGAAAGTTTGTCATAAAAAAATTTTTAAATTTTAATTCTTGTGGGAAAATAAAAAATAATAATTATTAAAATGTTTATTTAACAAAATTATTGAAATTTTGAGTAATTGAATTTAGAAATTCAGGAAAACTTTGCTTTTCGAAAAGATTTAATTAGAATTTTTTTCCGATAATTTAATAATAATAATTTAATTCCTACAAATAATTAATTGAAACATTTTCTTATCAATTTTTTGTTATTAATTTGTACTCTACATTTTTTTATTAAAGAAATAAAACCTTTTTTTCAGTATGGAAGAATGCGAAGCACTTTGTAATCGACTAGTCATTATGGTAAAAGGTCAGTTTGTCTGTATTGGACAAAGTCAACAATTAAAACAACGTTTTGGTGCTGGTTACGATATAAATTTGAAACTAAATCCAGAACGAAGTAACAATGATGTGGAAAAAATAAAAAACGATTTGGAAAGTACTTTGGAATGCGAACTTCGTGATGAACATGTAGTAAGTAGATTTTTAATTAATTCAAAAAATATGTACTTAATATTCGTAATTTCTATTCATATCTATGGTTTATTTTATTTTGGTTCTATTTATTTTTGTTAAATTTTTTACATTCCCGTGAAAAGTGAAAATAAATTAACGAATTTTAATTCGTTAATTCATTTTCACGAGTTTCGATAAAGTTTCGAGTGAATCTATTTTGATTGAAAAATATTTCAATTAATTGAACTCAACAGTAAGCAATTAGATAAAATTTGAATTACTTTTCATTTTTCCATATTAATACGTTTGTAAAATTAAATTAAGATAAATAAAAAAATTTATAATTAATTTTCAGGGTTATATAACGTATCACGTTACGAATTCAAAGACAACGTGGAAAACAATGTATCATTTTATGGAAGTTCTCAAAGAGACGTATGAATGTATAGAAGATTTCACAGTATTATCAGCAACATTGGAACAATTATTTTTACATTTCGCTAGGGGTTAACAGTATTACTGTTCTAATTAAAAAGAAGGGAAAAAAAGGATTACACTTTGAAAGGTATGAGCTTTAACATTTTATAGGGAGCTAAACAAATTTTCTACGTATATTTTATAGAAATATTTTTGTTTAATTATTAAGATTGTTTCTAAGGAGATATATTTTTTTCTTATATTTCGAGTTAAATTTATCAAAATTTCGAATAAAAGCTTTTCTACTTAAATTCATTTTTCTCGATGCCTATGTGTAAAGTAAAATGAATTAGTTATTCAACGAATTTAGTATATTTAAATGCGAATCGAGTTTTGAAATGTATATTTCTTATTATTTGTTGTATAATGTTTTTATACCGAAAAATAGGATATTTGTGAGAAATGTTATCATTAATAACTCATGCGCTTGAACAAAATATTAAGTTTAAATATTCATTTTTTTTTAAAGAAAAAAATTCATTAAAGATTAAGAATATATATAGGTAATAATTTGAAAAAGTTCGATAAAATAATTCGAAATTTCAAATACTCTACAATTTAGTTATTAGTTTCATTTTTTTATTTCTGAAATGAATTTCGTACTGTCATAAATGAATTTCGTATTCTTATAAATAAATATTGTAATAAATATATATATTATTATTGATAAAAGAATAACGAATAAGTTAGATTTTAAAATAAAAACGAAGAGAAAAAAAGAGTATGCCTGGGAATAAAGAGAATTACGACAATTTAAAATTAATTTAAAAGAAAGAATAATAATTTAAAGGCGATAAACAATATTTAATAAGTTATAAGTGTGAATATATTGATAACTCTTGTAATTATTGTAAGCACGGTATTGTAGTTTTTTAATTCATTTGATATTTATATCGAAATCACTATCTTTGATTTTTGATAAATGATAAAATTATGGTAAACGTGTACATTTTTATATTTTAGTAAATAATTTAGTAATTTTCACCATGTTGTATAAAAAGGGAAATTTGTAAAAATATTTTTGTTTTATAGTCAACAAAAATAAATCTTTTGTAATTAGAAAAATTGTCAGTCTTGTTAATTAACGTTAAATTGCGAATTAATATGATTTTTATTTGTAATTAATTACAAATAAAAAATAATATTAAGTAAACAAATTTTGAAATGATCGATCATTTTTTATATTAAAAATAATCTATATTTAATAATCGTTGCATTTCAGTAATCTGTGCGCAATTTAAAGTTAGTTGTTTTCTTTTGCTTTTTGTTTTATAATTCTTTTTTGATAATTTTTCTGTTAAAACTGTTTTAAAATTTAAAATTTGCGAAATTTTAATTTAATGCTTTGAAGATTAAAAAATACCAAAAACTAATTAAATCAAATTGTTTCCAATTAAAAATATTTCTTATTATTTCTTTTATAATTTTGAATCTGAAATAATTTAATTTTTATAAAGAAATTTATTTAAAATAATATTAAAAATGTATAATTATTTTTTTAAAATAATTGAATTCTTTTTAAAAATTTTACCAAACATTTTTTAAAATAATTGAATTTCTGCGAAGAATTTTATAACAATTCTTCAAAATAATTAAATTCCTATTTAAAAAATTTTATTAAAATTTTCGAAAATAATTGAATTTTTTCGTGGAATTAAATTAAAATTGTATTGAAAATATTTCAATTCTCATAAAGAATTAGGTAATCAAAAATTTTCAAAATATATTTGAATTTCTTTGAAGAATTTTGTTATTTAGGAAAAGAATTAAATTTTTTCAAGGAATTTAATTATATTTTTTTATTATAAAGAATTTTATTAAAATTTTTCATAATAATAAAATTTTTTAGAAGAATTTTCTTTAAATTCTTAAAAATAATTAAATACCTTCGAAAATTTTTATAAAAATTATGAAAGTAATTGACATCTTGCTAAGAATGTAATTAAAATTTTTGAAAATAAATTAAGTTTTTTGAGAAATTTAATTAAAATTGTATTGAAAATAATTAAATTCTTTCGACATATAATTTATTTACAATTTAAAAAAAAAATGGAATTTCCACGGAGAATTTTATTAAAATTTTTTTAAATATTTGAATTTTTTGAAAGATTTTATGAAAATTGTATTGAAAATAATTTAATTCCATCGAAGAATTTCATTATCATTTATGAAAATAATTAATTTCTTGCCCGGAAATTTATTAAACATTTTGAAAATAATATTGAATTCTTATAATGAATTGTATCACAATTTTTGAAATTATTGAAAATAATTGATTTTCGGGGAAAAATTTTATTTAAATTATTTGAAAGTATGTAATTAAATTCCCACAAAGAATTCTATTATTTATGAAAATAATTGAATTTTAACGAAGAATTTTATCAAATTTTTATAAATAATTGAATTCTATTGAGAAATTTTATTGAAATTGAATTAAAAATAATTGAATTCCTGTAAAGAATTTTATTAATGTTTTTAAAAACAATAAACAATTATAAATAATTAGTATCTAAATTAGTTAATAATCGAATTCGTAAAATTTTGAATCTGAAATTATTCCAAAATTGAAAGTAATAGTTGAAAATAAATAGTTTTTTTAATTTGAATAATGTTAATTAATTCTTTAATAATTATTAGTTTATTAAATTATTATATTATTAATTATTAAATAATTAATTACTAGTTTAAAATATTTAAATTTGAAAAAAGCGGTTAATTTCTGAACGTTGATTGGATAAATTCCACTAATGAAAATTTTTGATTGGTGAAAAAATTGTACTTTTCTCTTTCTTTTAAATTGCAATTATATTGTATTACTCGCGCATTGCTCAAAATTAACTAAATTAATTGAAATTCTATTAAAATTTGTATATAAACTGTATAAATAAGAGACAAATATAAATTATAAATTCATTTTTTTTAAAATAACAATGAGTCGATAAAAAGGGGTAAAAGCAACAATAGACTGTGTAAAACATTCGAGTATTTGCCGCTCTAGCGCTGCTGTCTGTTAATTTTTTTATCAGCCACATTTACAAATACCACACAAATACAATAGCGTTTTTTACAAAATTTTTGTTGGAATTCTTATTTTTATTAATTAAAAACCACATGTGCCGAAAAAGGGATTCGAAATGCTTTGTGCATATGTAAAACAACCAGTGAGAATTGAATAGAACAAGTGCAAATTTTATCCAAAAAATTCACCACCCCATTTGAGGTTAGAATGCTTTATAACCCACTTTTGAAAGAAAATTATGGCTTAATAATAAAATCAATCAAGTGTATAAGTATCCATTCAATATTTTAATAGTAAACAAAAGAATCAATTGTTCCATCAATATTTACCGCTACAAAAGAAATAAGTGATTGTTTATTAAATATAGTTTAAAAGCAGTTTCTGAATGCATCAAAATACATCGTCACGTGAATATAAATTTTCTCTATTATTATTATTAAAAAAACAGTTTCTAATTACTTTAATTTCATTATTTAGTTAAATTAATAAATAAATAATTTAAATTCATGTAGAAAGTTAAAATGTTAAAAGCCTCTGGTTGATTTGGATTGAAATTGTTTGTTTTTTAAAGGAAAACAAAAAGGTGTGGATTTAAATTTACAGGATTTACAGTAATAAAGGAAGATTTAGTGATATGGCATTTAAATATTTTGTGTTAAAACGGTTAAAACTTTTCTAGGTGGTAACCCCGGCCATTTAAATGGTGCTCACTGGTGCCATGGAGAGACGAATCAAATTGAAAACTTTAAATAGCCATATAACGTGCAAAATATGTCGTGGCTATTTAATAGACGCAACAACTGTCACCGAGTGCCTACACACATTTTGCAAGAGTTGTTTAGTCAAACATTTGGAGGAAAAGCACACGTGTCCAACATGTCAAATAGTTATTCATCAGTCTCATCCTTTGCAGTATATCAGTTTTGACAGAACAATGCAAGATATTGTTTACAAATTGGTTCCTGATCTTCAAGAAAGTAAGAATATTATTTCTTGACTGAACTTGACATTTCTTTTTTTTTTTGCTCTAAACTCTTCTCTTTAAACTAAATGTTTGGATTGAATATAAATTATTTTTTTAATCTAATTAGATTAAGATTATTCGTTTAAAGCCAAAAAGGGATGATAAATAATTAAAAATTAGAATTACAGGCTTTGTACTTATTTACTAAAAGCTATTTACTACTTTTTTTACGATTCGATAATATTTGGATACGTTTTCTAGTTTTGTGACACTAAAAATTACTTTTTTCTATTTTTTTTTTTTAATTTGTACTACTTTAAATCCGCTAATCATTTGGAAATATTTATACTAAATTTATTTTTATGAAACTAAATTAATCTATTCTAATCAAATAGTTGACTGAAATTTTTTTGCCCTTGATAGATGAGATTAAAAGAGAACGAGAATTCTATAGAGCACGTGGGCTGCCTTGTCCCAAAGACATTTTGCCAAATGCCGGTGAAATGGAGGAGGAAAAACCATCTGGCGATACACACGCGGAATCTGATTATCATCGAGCGGACGAACAAGTAAATTATTCGAATTATTTAGAAAATTATCTTTCATTAAATTGTTTCAAAGTGTAATTTTACTAAAATAACAAAAATGTTTCTTTCAAATCCAAAAGGTCAATGTGTGCTTGGAGTGCATGAATGCAAGTCTAAAAACTTTAAGACGAAGATTCATCAGATGTTCCGCACAAGCAACCATTACTCATCTAAAGAAATTTATAGCGAAAAAAGTTTTAAATGGAATTGAAAAATATCGCGATGTAAGTTTTTTCTGAAAAGTCATTGTTATTATTTGCCATTTCTTTTTTTCTAATTTAAATATTTTAATTTTTATTTAATAAGCAGGGTTGACACAAATATTTAATTTTATTTTTCCCTGACTTTTCCCTGATTTCCAGACAAAATTTCCACTTTTTCCCTGACCCTAAAGAATATTCTGATTCACTCTAAAAATTATTAGATACTCAAAAAAATGTTCTATTACATTTATTTACAAATTTCTTGAATTGTAAAATTATTCGAAAACATCAATAACTTCTTTTTTAAATAAATATTTAATCATTATTATTCTTCTGTAGGAATTAAAATTTTTCAATACATTCAAATTCAAACCTTTATGAAATTCAACAACTTATAAAAATATTATTACAAAACATGTCCGAGTCGAAGACTCGGAGTGATCGCCTTCTTCTCATGTATTTTAAATAATTGAATTCCTGTGAAAATTTTATTGCTTATGAAAATAATTGAATTTTTTCGAAGAAATTTATTAAAAATTTTGTAAATAATTGAATTCCTGTGAAATTTTGCCAAGAATTTATTAAAATTTTTTAAAATAATTGAATTTCGATGAAGAATTTTATTATTTATAAAGATAATTGAAATTTTGACGAGAATTTTTAAAAATTTTTGAACATAATTGAAATTCTGCGAAGAATTTTTATAATTTTTGAAAATAATTTAAATTTCTGAAATAATTTGTAACTTTTCCAAAATTTAATTTTTTTTTATTATTTTCAACTAAAATTCTTCTATCAATCTAGTATTTATGAAAATTGTAAAAGTTATTCATTAAATAATTTATAAGTCATAATTTTATGATACTTTTTGAAAAATTAAGTTATTTAAAAAGAAATTATTGTGAGAAATATAAAAAATTAAAGGTTTTGTATTAAAATTCGTGGTAATTTCATAGTTTACGAGGCAAACAAAAAAACATCAAAATTCAGAGTTTTCTCATGAATTTTCAAAAATTCAATTTATTTTTCCAGTACTTTTACTAAAAATCCCTGACTTTTCCCTGATTTCCCTGACCAATTTTACTTTCCCTGACTTTTCCCTGAATTCTCTGACCTGTGGCAAGCCTGATAAGTTTATAGGTAGTAATTTCTCGTTTTATTTATTAATAAGTTAATAATAATAATAATGACTGTATAATAATAGTTATTTAATTTTCAGATTGATATTTTGTGCAATGACGAACTATTAGGAAAGGACCATACGTTAAAATTTGTCTATGTAACGAGATGGAGGTTCCGGGATCCACCATTAAGGTTACAATATCGACCGCGCATAGATATTTAGAGGAACTCTTTTTAATTACGGGCCAAGTGATGATGGGGTAAAAAAAGCAAATTTTTTCCTATCGCATTTTAATCTCGTTTTTAAATTCCATTTGTCCGATATTTCTTAGTACTTATATAAACAATATAAATATATGTGTTATTCGCATATATAATTAACATTTGCGATGAATATTCAAGCAAACATTTATAATGATCGTTCAGATTTAAGAAGAGAACGTGATGATCAATTTTTTTTCTTCGGGTACCAAAGGTGAACTAATATACAAATAATTTTTTTTCAAGTATATTTTATACGATCAAAGTGTCCTCCAATTTTTATAATTTTATCTGATGAATTTTATAATTTAATTTTGGTACCCGTGTGATTTTTTTTCAGCAACTTTTGCTTTTTTTGTTTTTTGAAAAAAGAATAATACCATTTTAGTGAGAAATTTTTATCAAAAAAAAAGGGAAATTTTTTTGAATTTTTAATTTCTCAACATTGTCATGTAGACGAAAATTTGCAAAAAGCAAGCTCCAAAGAGCCGTTAGCTAATTTTTTGTTTAAAATTTGTGAATAACGTTTATCCAATTTATTTGATGGGATTAATTTTGTAAAAATTATTTTTTTTTTACTTTATTTTTTTTTTATAACAAGAATATTGAATTTTAAAGACAGGATAATACCAATCTTAATAATAGTGACAATTTTTTTTAACTCGATTGAAAAGAAAATCTCTAGATAAATTAGCATTAGTTCACAATCATAATATATTTATACTCGATTGATTTATTACTCACGTCTCAATCTGATTTTTTTTAAGACTGAGATTGTCAAGTTAAAAATCTTGACAGTTTATCCTCAAATATTGAACGATTTTGTCATTTTTGATAATTGAATTTCAAAGGAGGACAATTATTATAATAATACATTTATAGTTTTTACAATATTGAAATACTGCTTTTTAAAAGAATTTTGAAAAATTTTTTATACGAGAAAAAATTTTTTTTTTTAATCAATTAAATATTTTCTATTGTGATTTTTTTTATGAGAATTTTTTGAATACATAATTATTATTTTACCGAATTATTGGAAAAATTTTCAAGTATTGGAAATACTTTTACTTTTATTTTATTAATGAAAAAGTTTTTTTTGGGAAACTCTGACATGATTTTTTACTTAAAGACAATGTTTTCTACTGCGAAAATTAGAATTATGAAAGGAAAAATTTTTTTAGGTTTAATTTATGGCAATAATTTAATTTTTAGTAAACAAAGTGACTTAGCACTGGCATTAAGTATTTTGAAACAAACAAAAAAAATGTATGTTTAAGCTCGGAATAATTTTCATCGGCTTCTACGTAATTAGAATTATTATTTATAAAAATGTAAATAACTTCAAAATTTTCAAGTGCAAAAAAAAATCTACCCTTTCTTCCATTTATTACTTATCGTCAACCCGTACATGTAATAATTACCAATTAAGATAATTCTAACGAAACTAGCAACTTTCATGCTTATAATAAAAAATTAACGATCAAACTTTAAATTATAAAAAAAATTAATACTGTTACATATAAAATATTTTTTGAAGAAAAAGACTTTTTCAAATCCAAATGCGATTATTTAAAAAAAAACCCAGTTAAGCATGAACGTTATTAGTTGAAAATTTTTACATTTTATATGTTTACAAGAGTCGAAAGACTAATGGGACTTCAAAGTAAATTTTACCTTTTTTGTTAATTAAATATTTTTCCGAATTTAGAAATTTAATTTATTAACAATTTATTATTATTATTTAATTATTTAATTGATTAAATAATCCATTAGTAATCTTCGAAAAAAAAATTTAGTTAATTTCTCGCACAAAAATTGTCAATAATTAATTTTAATTATAAAAAAATGATGAGTGTGTGTGTGTGTTTTTTTTTGTAAAAGAAATGAGTGTGTATTTAGTTGTAAGTTATACTTTGAAGGCCCATAATTTTGGTGACTTTAGACTTGATATTTTGCTCAAATGAATTTTGCGATGTAAAAAAGATATTTGTAAAATTAGATTTTGAAGAAAAACAAAGACAGTCTATTATAATATAAGTGTAAAATTAAATTTTGAGCAAAATTCGAGACAAAGTTTATCCGCTTTCTATAATAATTAATAAAAATAAAATATCGAGAAATGTTAAAGAAATTAAAGTGTGATTGTATATAATATTAGAGAAATCGAAAAAAAAAATTTTCAAGTAGTAGCATATGAAAAAAAGCTTGTATTATGTACACTGTGTGTAACGCTCTAAATTATTTAATAAATATGTTTTGTACAGTAATTTATAGGTTATGTTTGCATTTTTAAAAAATATTTTTCGTTTTCTTTTTTTTGCATTATAATTAGAATTTTTTTAATTTTAATTATAATTGTGAACTAATATGCTTATAATTGACAAATATTCGTACAGTATTTTATAAAATAGAATAATTGTTAAACTTTTAAATCTTTTAAATTGTCAATTCCCAATTTCTAAGTTATTTTATAGCAAACCGCTAAAAAATGAAAAAAAAAGATTTAACTGACCTTTAAAATATTTTTTCTTCTTTTTGTTATTCATAACAAGAATCTCTTTGTAGTTTATTATTAAAAACAACATATTAGACGAGAAAAACAACAAGAACACAAATTAGACACACATTGTTAATAACAATTTTGCGAACACTAATTTTTTAGAACTGTTTCCCGCGTATTTGAATTCGATACTAATCGATACATGATCACGTGATAGCCGCTTTTTTAAATATTTTTATATTATAGAATTATAGATAGAGAAATTGTCAATTTTTTTTAATTAAAAAAAATATAAAATTCATGACTGTATAGTAAACAATTTTTAATCTACAATCACAATTTTAAAATTTTATTTGTTTGTTACAAATCGACATTCGATTTCTCGAATGCTCTCGAAGTCGTGTCTGGTCGTGTCCGGGCATGCGCACTGCGCACAACTAGGACTTTGAGAATATGTGGGACATCGCGTTGCTTTAGAGCTTTTAGAGTAGAATATTTTGATTTAATGTAAAGGGGGAATTGATTATTATTTATTTTATTAATTATTACTTATGTAATAAGTGGTTTTTTTTATAATGGATCCTCGTTTACATAGACGGCCCGAGCCAGAAAAAGAGCCTTCTGAGTTGGTCAGTGACATAACCTCAAAATTTAAGAAGTCAAAAGATTTCCTCTTTTTGTTTATATTATATAGAATTAGTTGAAAAGAAATCCATTTTATTTAATTACGGGGCGGTTTTAACACTTATTCTTATTATCAAATATCACGGCGAATAACTGTCGAAATAACTTTTTCAAAAGAAACTTACACATCGTATACATGTATTGTATCTTTACGCATACATGTATTACAAGCCGGAGTATTGTTATTTTTATTACGATTTTTATTACTACTTCTTCGTTAGATAGGTATTTACTTCCATTAGCAATTTTTTCGGAATTAAAATAAAATTTTAATTTCGAAAAAATTGCTAATGGAATTAAATACCTATCTAACGAAGAAGTATAAATTTTTACTGATTGAAATATTTTTTTTCCTACACTGTAAAAAAAATTTTCTGTAGATTTACAGTTTTGCTTAGAATTTTATAGAAACTTGTAAAATAACTTCTTTAAAAGTAGTGAATTTAAAATCCCTTCTGTAAAATTAATACTTTTAATGTGTCAATTTTACAATTTTCTGTAAATTTACTACTCTGAATGTAGGTAATATTTTTGTCTTTTTATTACCTACATTCAGAGTAGTAAATTTACAGAAAATTGTAAAATTGACACATTAAAAGTATTAATTTTACAGAAGGGATTTTAAATTCACTACTTTTAAAGAAGTTATTTTACAAGTTTCTATAAAATTCTAAACAAAACTGTAAATCTACAGAAAATTTTTTTTACAGTGTAATTTTTCTTTGAATTGACAGTTGTCATTGTCAAACCCAACCTATAGTAAAATTTTTGATTATAAAATGGATTGAATTTGTATGTTTTTAATTTTTTTGATTAAAATTGTAAAAATGAAAAATAGAAAGTATTTTTAAGGAAGTTAATTAATAATTTATAATTAAATTGTAATTTGTACTTAATTATGTAATTAATTTTCATATAGGTGATTGAATGGATTAATGAGGCATCGATATCTTCCGATGAGACCGTAAAAGTAACAAATCTCTGCAAATTGCAAGAGATTGTTATTAACAATAAAGATTCGCAATTGTTACATATTTATTTAGAAGAGATTTTACAATTTTCCTTGGATAGACAAGCGGAAGTGAGAAAAGCCGTTAGTGGATTTATTGAAGAGGCTGGGTAATTATTTTATTTTTATTAAATTATTTTAAAAAAGTACAATGTAACAATTAACTATATTAATTGAAAGTTTTTTAAAAATAAAGGAAAAAAATGTTTATAAATTATATTTGTCAATTAAAAAATATTTAATTGAAAATTAAACTGAAAATTTTTGAATTTTTATAAAATAGAGAAAAAAATTTAATTGAAAAAATGTTCTGTTAAATTTATTTACGAATATCTTTAATTGTAAAATTATTCGAAAACAATAATTTATTTTTTAAATATTTAATTATTATTTTATCATAGGAATTAAGATTTTCAAAAATTTTGAATTTCATTTAAATTTTTGAAAACAATTTTATTCTTTGAAGAAATTCAATTAAAAATGTTTTGAATTGAATTTCTTTCATGAATTTTAATAAAATTTTTAAGAATAATTAAATTTGTCGAGGAATTTTATTAAAATTTTATTAAAAATAATTAAAAGTCCGTGATGAGTTTTAAAATTTATGAAAATAATTGAATTTCAAAAAAGAATTTTATTATTTATAAAAATAATTGAATTCTTGTAAAAAAATGTTATTATTTATGAAAACAATTAAATGTTTGCCTATAATTTTATATTAAAATTTTTTTTGAATAATTGAATTCTTTTGGAAAATTTTATTAAAGTAGTAGACATTAAAAATCATTGAATTGAAAAAAGTTTTTGAAAATAATTGAAATTTTGCCAAGAATTTTATTACAATTTTTTTAAGTAATTGAATTTCTGAGAAGAATTTTCTTACTTTTGAAAATAATTGAATTTCGACAATCATTTATAATTGCTCCAAAACTCAATATTTCTTTTAGTGTTTTTAACTTAAATTCTTTTATAAATCTATTATTTAAACCAATTAAATATATATATATATATAAAATTAACTTATTTCTGAAGAATTTGAATTATTAAAATTCTTCAAAAATCTACGTTCTTTTAAGATTTCTAAAGAAATTCATTTAAAATTGAACTTTTATAAAATTTCAAATTAAAACCATTTAAAGTTCATTTATTTATGAAAATTGTAAACGCAACTCTTTTAAAATTGAATTCATTCTGAAGTATTGAAGTAAAATTATTGATTAAATAATTTATTTATTTTATGATTGTTGTTCAAGATTTAAGTTATTTAAAAAGAAATTTTTGTGAGAAATTGAAAAAATTGATGGTTTTGTATTATAACTCGTGGTAATTTTATAGTTCATGAGTCAAACAAAAAAGACACAAAAATTCAGAATTTTCTTATGAATTCTAAAAATTTAATTTTTTTCAGTTCTTTTAATAAAAATTCCTGAATTTTCTCTGACTTCAATTAAAAAATTAATTGAAAAATTAACTAACAGTAGGAAAATAGTTGTAAGTAATTTAAACAAAAAATTTTAATTTATAAGTAAAAAAATTTCTTTTTCAGAGAAAAACAGCCTGAGGTCATTCCACGTTTAGTACAAACACTATCGAGATTAGTGGGCGATGATGCACCAGCTGTGGCAAAGAGAGCTCTCAGAACAAGCGGTAGAATACTACGAGCCACCTTAAAATGGGTTGCAAGTGCTCCGATTGTTACTTCAGACATGGAAACAGCTTGGACACAACTTAGCAAACTCAAAGTTCAGATTATAAACATGATTGACAGCGATAATGATGGGTATAATATAATAAAATTTAACAATTAAATACGGTCAATTTTATTTTATCGAAATTTAATTGATCCTATTTCAATATTAACGAATCAATTAAAATTATAATACAATTAAATTTCCAACGATCTGTTTCTATAGAATTCGAACTCAGGCCGTTAAATTTCTCGAAGGAGTTGTCTTAATTCAAACCTATCCAGATCCGGATAGTCCAAAGAAGCAAGACGATTTTTCACTCGAAGATGTTCCATTGACGTTAAAAATTGCACGTCGACGAAAATTGGAGGAGGAGGCAAATCACGTTATGGATCTTTTAATTAAATTTCATGGTTCTCCGCACGTTAGCAGCGTGAATTTAATGACGTGCATGGGATCATTGGCACTTGTCGCCAAAACAAGACCACAATTCATGTCGAATGTCATTCAAGGTTTCTTTACAATACTGAATATCTAAAAAAAAATTCTCGAAAATATTTGTTTTATTTTTATTTAAATATTTCTTTTGTTTAGCTCTGCAGCGCTTACAACATGATTTACCGCCAACATTATCGGACTCACAAGTGACCAGTGTACAGAAACAATTGAAATTGACTCTTCTTGGATTATTGAAACATCCGGCAAGTGTTGAATTCGCTCAGTCTATTGCAAAACAATTGACTCAACTTGGAGCGAAGGAGCAGGAAATTATTAAAGCTTATCCTAAACCAGAGGATATTCGAAGAATGAAGAAGCGTTTACAGGTATGAATGAAAACACTCGATTTGGGAATAAATGAATCAGGGTTGCCACGCAACCTGAAAACCTGGAAATGTCAGGAAATTTTATAAACCTTAAAAAAACCTGGAAAAGTCAGGGAATTGTTTATCAAAATCCTGGAAAATTGTTGTTTTCTAAAGTTATTGTGTTTATTCCTGAAATCTAATTTTACTTAAATATTTCAAAATTAATTCAATTTTAAAAGAGTAGCGTTTACAATTTTTATAAATAAATGAACTTCAAACGGTTTCAATTTGAAATTTTAAAAAATTTCAATTTTAAATGTATTTCTTTAAAAATATTAAAGAATGGAGATTTTTGAAGAATTTTAATAATTCAAATTCTTCAGAAATTAGTTAAATTTGTCAATATATATTTAATTAATTATTAAAAATAATGGATTTATAGAAGAATTTTAGTTAAAAACACTATACAAATTATATTTTGGAGCAATTATAAATGATTGCCGAAATTCAATTATTTTCAAAAGTGGTAAAATTCTTCTCAGAAATTCAATTATTTAAAACAATTTTAATAAAATTCTTGTCAAAATTTCAATTATTTTCAAAAACTTTTTTCAAATCAATTATTTTTAATATCTACTAGGTACTTTAATAAAATTTTCCAAGAGAATTCAATTACATATTCAAAAAAAAAAATTAAAATATAAAATTATACGCAAACATTTAATTGTTTTCATAAATAATAAAAATTTCACAGGAATTCAATTAATTTTATAAATAATAAAATTCTTTTTTGGAATTCAATTATTTTCATAAATATTAAAATTCATCGCGGACTTTCAATTATTTTTAATACAATTTTAATAAAATTCCTCGAAAAATGTAATTATTTTTAAAATTTGTATTAAAATTCATGAAAGAAATTCAATTCAAAGCATTTTTAATTTTAATTTCTTCAAAGAATTAAATTGTTTTCAAAAATTTTAATGAAATTCTTTGCAAAAATTCAATTTTTTTCAAAATAATTTTAATGAAAAATTCTTCGTAGAAATTGAATTAATTTCAAAAATTTGTCAAAATTTATTTATTTTCAATGTCTACTATTTCAATAAAATTTCACAAAAGAATCCAATTATTTAAAAAGAAATTTGAATAAAATTCGTCTCAAGAATTTAATTATTTTCAAAAGTAATATAATTCTTCGCAAAAATTCAATTATGTTAAAAAATTTACAAAAATTCTCGTGAAAGTTTCAATTATCTTTAGAAATAATAAAATTTTTCTCAGAAATTAAATTATTTTCAAAAATTTTAACTTAAAATTCTTCTCAGAAATTCAATTATTTTAAAAAACTTTCCTCAATTCATTGATTTTTAATATAATCTACTATTTTTTTAAAATTTCCGAGAAGAATTCAATTATTAAAAAAAAATTTCAATAAATTTCTACGCAAACATTTAATTAATTCATAAATAATAATAATTTCATAGGCATTCAATTATTTCAAAAACTCTTATAAAATTCTCTGGAGAAATTCAATTATTTTTAATACAATTTTTATCAAATTTCTCGAAAAAAGAAATTAGTTTAAAAAATTTTATTAAAATTTGTCAACATACTTTTAATAAACAATTCTGTAAAATTAATTTTATCCAAATTTTTTTTTTTTTAATTATTTGAAGTCTAATATATATTAAATTATTTGAAATCGAATATATATTTAATTGAAGAATTTCAAAATAATCGAAATTTCGTAAAATTAAATTGTAAACAAATGGATTTGAAAATTCTCAAAGAACTTTATCAATAATTATTAAAAATAATTGATTTAAAGAAGAATTTTAGTTAATAATTCTAGAAATTAATAATTGAATCGAAATGATGAAAATATTTTTTAAGAAATTAAAGTAACAATATTCTTATCTTATAATATAAAATAATAAAACATGACGATATCGATCACTACGAGTCGAAGACTCGGAGTAATCGATATCATCATGTTTTATAATAATTATTCTTATATGTTATTGAATTTAAAATTTTTGAAAATTGATTCCTGTGGAAAAATAGTAATTATTAAATATTTATTTTATAAAGAATTTATTGATGTTTTCGAATAATTTAACAATTAAAGAAATTCGTAAATAAATATAATAGAACATTTTTTTGTGTATCTAATCATTTTGCGAGTGAATCAGAATATTCTTTAGAGATAGGGAAAAAGTCAAAGTTTTGTTTGGAAATCAAGAGAAAGCCGGGAAATCAGGGAGTTGTTTAATTTGATTAAAATTAAATTTAAATGTAGTTTTTTTTTCTTGTAGGAAAATGCAGCAAATTCGGCGGCTAAACGAGCGAAATTAGATACACCAATTATTCCCGTTGAGGAAATAGAACCTGTTCCGCTTCCAGTGCCACCGCCAAAAATGCCGGAGTTAGTTGAACTCTCCGAAAGTTTTATCGCCGAACGACTCAGCGTTGAAATCGCCTCCGATCTCGTTATGGACAGCATGGTCACTAGAATTTTTTCCCAATAACAAACAATTTAATCAATTGAATATTAAATTAAATTAAAAACCATTATCTAAACTAAATTAATATTTAATTTAATTCAATAATTATTCAAAGAAAAAAATAATTTAGAAAACTAATTTAATAATTAAATTCATATTTTAGTTCAATAGCTTTTTAAGCAAAGAAGAAAATAATTTAAAAGAAACAATAATTTATTTGATCAAGGGAAAAATAATCAAAGAAATTTAATTTAATATTCAAATTAACATTAAATTTAGTTCAATAATTATTTAAGCAAAGAAGAAAATGAAAAAAAACAATTTAATTTAATTTAAATTCATATTAATAATAAATAATAATAAAATTCGATTATTTTTGTTAACAGGCTTGGGTTCCGGATACAATGACAAAAATATTTCAACGTGAATATCAGCCGACAGCAACGACGGACATCATTATCCAACGGCAAACAATTGCGAAATTATTGTCGACACAAATTAAGCAGGCGATTGCTAAGAAAAATAAGAGAGACACAAAGGATGAGGACGCTGTTATGGAGGATTTGATAAAAAATCCAACGATAACAGTTGCCGAGGCGAAGAGGGAGAGAAAACGTGAGAAAGACAGGGAAAAGGAGAAGGAGGCAAAGGCATCATTAGAAGCGCATGAAAAGTCTTTGGCTAAAGCGAGAAGTCGATTGAAAGCATTAAAGTTCTCCGAAGTCACGAAACCACTCAGTCGGAATGTTAAAGAGAATATGTTATTGATGGCAGTGCACAGAATATTAAGCGCCGAAAAGGTCGCTGTTCTTGGCGGCGTATCTGAAGTTAGGTAATTTGAATATCAAAAGAACAAATTATTATTTTAACAAGTTTATCAAAAAAAAGAAAAGAAATAAAAACAAGAAGAAGATTTAGTATTTATTTGATTTTTGTATTTTGTTAAAATAGTTTTTGTTTCTTTAAGAGTAGTTTCGTATTTTGTTAAAATCGTTTTCTTTTTTAATCTAGTATTTTGTTAAAATCGTATTCTATTTTTAAAAGATTTTGTTTGATTTCTGTTTTCGAAAATAAAGATAAAAAAATTGTTTACAGAGCGAAGATTTTAACGACAGTCGCGGCAACTTTTAATCCGGAAATTAGAAGATTGGTTCTTCAGTACATTACAGACGATGTTAGATCGCGATTGGATTTGGCTTTGGGTTGGCTCTATGAAGAATATGCTTTATTACAAGGATTCCAACGGAGAACGACGTTGTGTTCAAAACCACAGGAAGCACCACATCAGCCGTACAATTCTCTTTTTTGCACTTTAGTTCACGCTATTAATGCTGTTCCTGGACGGGATCGCGATTTATTACTCTCTAGGTAAGATTTCAATAAAAAATTTTGTTTCTTTGTACAATTTAACAAACAATTTCAATTAAAATATTTACTTCAATTCAATTATTTTCTAAAATTTGTTGCAAGAATTCAGTTACAGTTTATAATTCTTCGCAATAAATAATTGAAAAAAATAATAATAAATATAAAATACAATATAAAAATAATTGAATTCCTGTCAAGAATTATATTATTTATGAAAATAATTGCATTTTTGCGAAGAATTGTATTATCTATGAAAATAATTGAAATCTTGTGAAGAACTTTATTTAAATTTTAAATAAAATTCTTCTCACGTTGTGAATTATTTTCATAGATTTGATTAAATAAAATTCATCACAAGATTTTAATTATTTTCATAGATTCTTCGCCGAAATTCAATTATTTCCAATACAATTTAAATAAAAATCTTTGCGGAAATTCAATTAGTTTCGATACATTTTAATAAAATGTTTCACAAGAATTCAATTATTTTCGATACTTTGCATTGAAAATAATTGAAAAAAACAATAATAATTATAAAATAATTGAATAATTGAATTTCTAGGAAGAATTATATTATTTATGAAAATAATTGCATTTTTTGCGAAGAATTGTATTATCTATGAAAATAATTGAAATCTTTGAAGAATTTTATTTAAATTTCTTTTCAAGTTGTCAATTACTTTCATAGATTTCATTAAATAAAATTCTTTGAAAGAATTCAATTATTTTCAAAAACTATAATAAAATTTTTCGAAACAATTCAAATATTTAAAAAACTTTTAATAAAATTCCATCCAAGAGTTAAATTATTTTAGATTCAAAATTATACAATTTAAAAAAGTTATAAAAACAATTTTTCTAACAAAAATGGTATCTTTTAAAATTAAAAAGCAATCGCTAATTAACGCAAAATTAAGGAAAGTGAAAAACTTAATTCATAAATTTTTCTTGCAAAAATAGTATTACAAAATTTATTTTCTAAATCTGAATTTAGTATAAATTTGAACTAATTTGAACAAAAGTGATATGGCATTTATTGCAATTAATTTCTTAATTCTACATAGAACAAGACATTAAATAAATAAAATTTACATTGATAATTCAATTTTGTTTAAATAATTTTAGTTATTATTTAATTTTTAAAACATGTAATAAAAGTTGAATTGATTTTAAAATTTTAAACATTTTAAAAGGAAAAATTATCAAAAATATTAGGAAACAAAAAAGGCAAAACAAAATCAATAAGCTTCAAATTTTTTTATTATTATTATTGTTATTACTATATTGTTATTATATTTGTTATATTTTTATAAATAAATTAATTGAAGTGATAAATAAATCTTTAAAATATTGAATAATAATATTAAGAAAAATAATAAATTTATATAAGTAATAAATTTTATATGAAAAAAACTGTGTAAATAAAAATTTAGACTTATATGAAATTTCAAAAATTCATTTAATGAATGATTATTTTCTGCAGGTTATATTTGGAGTCCCCTTCGATCACGGACGATGCTATTGAAGCTCTTAAAATGGTTTCATTGGAAGAGAGCCGGGGACTTGCACCTTTGAATCTTCTCAAAGAACTGAGCATTCGACGGCCAACGAAGCATTTTAACTTTTTGAATGTAATTTTATGCCATACTGGACATGAGAGCAATACGGTAATTTTAAAATTCTACTTTCAGAATTTTTATTCTATTTACTGCTTTGACTTTATTTCTATTTTCTAAATTTGCATCTCTATTGCTAATTTAAATTATAAACAAAGAAATTTATTTTTTCTTCTCCTTTTGTTATTAAATAATTGAATAAATTTTATTTGTTACTTTCTTTAACCCTCGGAGCACACAAGGGATCTCTCGAACTCCTTGTATTTTTACAAAAAGCATTTTATCTATTTTAATTATTTTAATATATGGAATTTAAAGTGTACAGACTTTTTTTTACAGCCTATAAATTGTATTTTAAAAAATTCTTTAATTTGATCAGAGAAAATTTAAAATTGATTGAGCTTTAAAAATGATCAAAAAAAAGAGGTGTGTGCTCCGAGAATTAATTAATATTTAATTGATATAATTATGATTGAATGTAAAATTAGGGAAAATTGTTAAAATTATTTTTTAATTCTTCTTGAATGGTTTCTTTGCAGATTCGTGAGACGGCGATCAAATTAGTTGTTGAGTTACACGGCAGACCAGAATTAAAAGTTATGATTGGAGAGTACGCCATGCTCTATTTAGGTTTTCTACGATTACAAAATCCTCCGGAAATTGTATTTGGAATTGATCGCGGACGACCGAATATCAGCGAAAAATGGACGGAATCAACAACCAAAGCTTGTCTCGGACTTTATCTTGCCCTCTTGCCCGAGCAGCAAGTTTTAATTCACGAGTGAGAATTTTTCTTTATTCTTTAAAAATATCTCTCGTAATTTCTAAAAATTCCTAATTGTATTTTAAATGTTACTTCTTTTTTCTTATTTATTCTTCAGATTCTTTTTTATTTAGATTTCTTCTTTTTATTTTCATTTACACTTAATTCGCATTTTTTATTTTCATACAAAGGTGTGATTCTTGTTTTATTTGTATTTTCATTTTTTATTTACACAAAAAGATGTTTCTTCTTTGCTTATTTTATTTATTTTTCAGATTCTTGTTTTATTTACATTTTTATTTTCATTTACATTTTTTATTTTCACAAAAGGATGTTTCTTCTTTTTCTTATTTTATTTATTTTTCAGATTCTTGTTTTATTTACATTTTTATTTTCATTTACATTTTTTATTTCTACAAAAGGATGTTTCTTCTTTTTCTTATTTTATTTATTTTTCAGATTCTTGTTTTATTAACATTTTTATTTTAATTTACATTTTTTATTTCCACAAAAAGATGTTTTTTTTCTTATTTTATTTATTTTTCAGATTTTTGTTTTATTTACATTTTTATTTTTATTTACCTTTTTTATTTCCACAAAAAGATTTGTTTTTATTTTATTACACTTTTTTCATTTCCTCTTTTAAAATTACTTTTGTCAAATTCTTATTAAATAGATATAAATATAAACTAATAATAAAAAATAAATAATCAATTTTTGTTAATATTTTTTATTTTTATTGTTAATAAATTTGTTGATTTATTTTACTTTCTTTTACATACCTTTACTTAGACCGAGTTTTCATTCAGTCCAATGAAAATTTCGACATTTTTTTGTCAAACAGATTGGCGAGAGTTTACACATCAATGGGTGCGGACGTAAAGAGAATAGTTCTTCGATTAGTGGAAGGTCCAGTAAGAATATTGGGTATGGCTAGTCCCCAATTATTGGCACTGGTTGAAAATTGTCCCAAAGGTGCCGAAACTTTAGTGACGAGAATTATTCACATTCTCACAGAAAAAGGTAAATATTGCAGTGGAAAAAAAGAGAAACAAAAATTTCTATTAAGATTAAGAGATAGAATACAAATTAATACCTTTTGCTTATTTCTAATTTAATAGCGGCGCCAAGTACCGAATTGGTACAAAGAGTACGTGAACTCTATCAAACACGTGTATCGGACGTGAGATTCCTTATTCCTGTTTTAAACGGTCTAACGAAATCGGAAGTTATCGCTGCCTTGCCCAAACTTATTAAACTCAATCCCATTGTCGTGAAAGAGGTAATGAAAAATTTATTTACAAATTTTATTGCAAAAAGAAAATATTTATTGTATTAAATTTATAATTTAATACAATTGTATTTATTGAATTAAATTTAGTTATTATAAAATAATATACAAAGTAAGTACAATTAAAATAGTATGAATCAAATTTTTATATCAAATTTAAATGCTAAATTGTTTTTTTTATTTATCTAAATATTTAATTTGTATATTTAATTAACAATATAAAATTTATACAATAAATTTATTTATTTATTTATATAGTAAATTTATATATTAAATGTATACGTGTTAAATCTGCACATACAACTTTTGTTTAAAAATTGTGTTTTTTATTTTGTAATTTTTTGTTACAGGTGTTTAACAGGTTACTAGGAACTCATAATAACGAAAGTGGCGTTCCTCATACCTCCCCAGTTACACCCGCTGAATTATTGATTGCCTTGCATACGATTGATCCCGCCAAAGCCGAACTAAAGACTGTTATCAAAGGTATCAATCAAATTAGCATAATAACTATTATTTGCCAAATTAGTAATGCTATCGCTTCATTATATCTACTGTTAATAAAGGCAATTGGAATTAATTAATTATTAATTATAATTTACTTTATAATTTTTACTTTGCGAATTTTTATTTTCAAAACTAAGAAAAAAAATTAAAGTATAGTTTAATATTATTATTAAAATGAATCTGAATTAATAATTAGAATTTATTTTACAATTTTTAACATTATACCACTTTGTGAATTACATTCTATTTTTAAAACCAAAACGGAAAATTTTGAAACAGTTTAATAGTACCTATTATTAAAAATGTATAATTAATTATTAATTAAAGCCTATTGAATTAAAAGAAAAATGTTTTATGAAATCAATTTTAATATTGTTGTGTTAAAATTTATTTTCAGCAACTTCGTTGTGCTTCGCTGAAAAACAAGTTTATAGCCAAGAAATTGTTGCATTGGTGATACGTGAACTTGTTGAAATAACTCCACTGCCGACATTATTGATGCGAACGGTGATTCAAAGTTTATCGCTCTATCCAAGATTAAGTGGTTTTATTATGAATATTCTTCAACGTTTAATTGTTAAGCAAGTTTGGAAATATCCAAAAGTTTGGGAGGGTTTTGTCAAATGTTGCGAACGAACTCAACCGCAAAGTTTTGCTGTTATTTTACAACTCACTCATGTGCAATTGGCCGATGTCTTGAAAATCAGTCCGGCTCTTAAAAAACCATTATTGACGCACATCGATTCATTTACTGAAAATCAGGTGAGAATTCATTTTTAAAATAATTAGAGCTACAAAAAGATTAAAATAATTAAACTCATTCAATAATTAATTTAATAATTAATTTTTTATTATTATTATTACTATCGTTTTGGAATTATGGTAGGCTTCGGATCGAATTTAGAAGCCAAAAAAGTCATTTTAGTCGATTTAAATTACGAAAGAAGTCGAAAAAGTCGTTTATTTTATTTAAATTTTTTTTTATAAAAATTTGACTTTTCTCTGATTCTAAAAAAGTTTTACCTTCTTTTTCTTATTTTGATAATAACTTCATTTTTCAATTTCTGTATAAAATTTAATTATTTTCAAAACATTTTTTCAATTTTTTTTTTATATATTTCTTCAAAGACACGATTATTTCCAAACAATTGTGATAAAATTCTCAAAATATAAAATTTGATGAATTTATAGATAATAATACTTTTTAAAATTTAATAATTTTCTCGAATTTTTAACTAGCAAATTACACGAAAGTTTAAGAATTTTTCAAATGGATGTTTAACTATAATTAAACTTTTATATCAATTGAAGTTTTCAAAAATTTTTAGGTTGAAATCTTCTCAAATTATTATTCCTAAAAATTGGTGCTGTAACTTTTCCAAAATTCAATTATTTTCTAGAATTTCATACTAAAAATCTTTTCTAACTAGCAATTATTCATTTAAAATTTGTCTAAAATTCAGTGTTTTATTTAATTTTTTATTCAATTTCACGAAATTTTAATTATTTGAAAATTTTTCAATAGAATAAATATGTTTAAAAATTCAAGAAAATTACTAATGAATACCTAATTTAAAAAAAATTGGAATTAATATTTTTCGCTTAAAATTTTTATTCAAAATTATTCAAAATTCAAATCTTTAAAAATTTAGTGAAAAAATCTGAGAAAATTCAAAATTTAAAAATTTCTTTTTGAAACTTTCTGAAATTCAATTATTTCTTAAAATTAATACTATTATTTCTCTAAAATTAAATTAATTTCTAGAATTTGTGACTTGAATTCTTTTCTAAATAAATTATTTTCATTAGAGAAGTTCTTTGAGAGTTTAATTATTAAAAAAAAAGAAAATTCACTTAAAATTTGTCTAAAATTTTGTTTTCAATTCAATTTCTATTTGAAACCTTCAGAAATTTAATTACTTCTTGAAATTACTACTACAACTTCTCTAAAATTCAAATAATTTCTGGAATTTGAGACTTAAGTTCTTTTCTAAATAAATTGTTTTTAATAATTTCATAAAAGTTCTTTGAGAGTATAATTATTAAAAGAAAAAAAACTTCATTTAAAACTTGTCTAAAATTCAATTGTTTTCAATGCAATTTTACGAAATTTCGATTTTGCGAAAATTTTTCAATTAAGTATTAAAAAATTCGACTAATTTCAAAAAAATTTGAATCAAAATTTATCACAAAACTAAGTTCTTTAGAATTTTTAATTAAAGAAAACTCCAAATTTAGATTTTCAAAAATTTTAGGTTTCGAAACCGTTTGAAATTTAATTATTTTTGAAAATTTCCACTGTAACTCTTCCGAAATTCAATTATTCTCTAAAATTTTTAATCCAAATTTTGGTCTAAAACAATTATTTTTAATCATTTTTAGTAAATTCTTTGAGAATTCAATTTCTTTTCTAAATCAATTATGTTTAATAATTTTTAGAATGTACTTTGAAAAAGTTCACTTAAAATTTGTCTAAAATTCAATTGTTTTTAATTTAATTTTACGAAATTTTAATTCTTCGAAAAGTTTCCAAGTGAATATAAGTTCAAAAAATTATTAATAAATAACTTATTTAAAATAATTTTGAATCAAAGTTTTTTTAAGAACCAAGTTGTTTAGAATTTTAAATTATAATTATTCAAAATTCAAATCTTGGATAATTTCAATTTGAAACCTATTAAAATTTAATTATATCCCTAACAATTGAATTATTTAATAAATAGAAGAAAGTTCACTTAAATTAAAATATAAATAAGAATTTAATTATTTTCAATTCAATTTTACAAAATTTCAATTACTTGAGAATTTTTCAATTAATTTAAAATCGAAAATTCAACTAATTTCAAAAAGATTTCATTTGAAATTCTTTGAAAAACTGAATTGTTCAGAATTTTGAAGTTTAATTGTTTTCAAAAATTTTTTACAACCCTTCAAAAATTAAACGTTAGTTTTTAATTAAAATTTTTTTCTAAATCAACTACATATTTTTATTAATATTCAGAAAGTTTTTCGAGAATTCAATAGTTGACATAGAAGGATTCAAACTTTTATAAAAATTCATATAAAAATAAATATTTTTGTTTACAGAAAGCACATATTCCAGTGATGAAAATGGACGTGATACGAGGGACTGTGCGTGAAGATTTTTCCCGCGGAAATCCACACGATAACTTCGATATTGTGAGTTTGATATATTTTCTTGCAACACCTAAAAAAGAATAGAATAATTAATTAGTCAATTATTTCCATCAAATTAATTTACTTAAAAAAAATTTATCTTAGGCACCACCTGGAGATTTCTCAATAGAGGAAAAAATGGAGACTGATCCCTCGGAACCGGCACCTCCAGGATTAGATTAAAAATTTTTTTTTTTAATTCTTATTTTTAAAAGTTACACGCATGAAAAGAATTTCAAAATATCGATAATAATTTCGATAAAAAGAATATCGTTTTTCAATATTTTCATATTATTTTTTTTCTTGCTATATTGAAATTCTTTGAAATGAAAATTATCTAGATTTCTTATCTTAAATTTAATTCGTAAAGTATTAATTGGATTTGGTTTAATATTAATGGAAAATGAAATGAAAAAAATATTTTATGAATTTAGACAACTAGATAAAAGTATTTGTAAAAAAATATATTTATTATAAAAATTAATGAACATTCGCCTGTAAACTTTATGAATTTGTGTAGTTCGTTTACACATTGATTGATATACAGTGTTAAATTTTTTTAAACTGTAGTTTTAATTTCAATTTTTGCTGTTCAAATGGTAATTAAAATTGAACTATTCTTTTTTAAATTTGTCATCCAAAGTCGACGCCGGTGTCGAGTAAATCCCTCAGCATAAAGGACGCTTTCTTTGGTAGTATTCTGAAAAAAGTAAGTCCATTGAATATTAAATTATAATTAATATTCTAAATAAGAATTTTTAAAGAAGTTCTATAATTGAACGAAGTAAGGAATATTAATAATGTATTTTAATTAACGTTATTTTGGAATATATAAATTTATTTCTAGAATTATTTATTGATTATTAATAATAATTAATAATAATAATAATAAAATTAGGGGGAAAAAGAGAGAGAAAAAAAACTACCTCAAGATGTGACCAAGATATAGCAAATATCCAGGAACGCTGAATTCCGCATAATTCCGGCGCACTCCATCTAAAATTCTTTTTGCCGCTTCCGTCGCTGGCATTGTGCCAAAGTAACTCGGTATCCTGCGAGCATGAGAAAAGATAAATTAATTCCTTTTTAAAGTAGAGAGGACCTTTTTAATTTGCAATTTTTTTTCTCTTTAGTTTAACAGGACTATGAAATTAGGAAATTTTTCTTTTTCTTTTTTGATTTGCGTAATATTTAATGTAAAGTACCTGAGGCGAAGATCTTTGGCAACTTCAGCACCGACAATGAATGGATAGACGTGTATCAAGGTAATGATAATATTACTATTTGAATGTCTTAATTCCGTGTGCAATGATTCCGCTAATCCTTGAACTGCAAATTGTGCCGTGGAAAGAGGAACTCCACCTCCACGAGTCGCGCCCGATGATAAGCCAGCCACTGATGAAAGAACGACAATGTGACCTTTTCCAACTCGTTGCATTCCTGGCAGAATTGAATCTAAAAGCTGAATTTTCATTTGCTGTGGTAATTTTTTTGTTTCTTTTATTTAAAAAAGTACTTTAAATTTTATTCAGGTATTTATTTGTAAAACTTTTGTTTTTTTCTATTAAAACTAATTTTATAGCTAATATTTTAAACTGAATTCTATTTACGTATTTATTTATAAAAAAATAATGTTGTTTTACTTTCAAATTTTGATTTAGTTCTTAATTTCAAAAAATATTCTTTTATAAATTAATTATTTTATTTGAAGTATATTTTTTAAATATTCATTTTTAATCATTTTCGTATTTTAATATTTCCTAATGATTTAATATTTTTAATAAACCGAAATATTTAAATTAAATATTTGGGGTTTTTTTTATAGTTTCTTGGCGATCTTACCCAGAAATGACTCAGAACCGAAACGTCCATCGTTTTTCTAATTTCCGGAGGATCCTGCAACGAACGAGGACTTGGAACACCGCAGCAGTGGAAAAGCATCGTAACTTCTCCCAATTCAGCCTTTATATCGTTTACTGTTTGAGCAACCTGAAAATTTATTTGAAATCGAATGGTATTTCGTGAGAACGATCTATATCACTTTAAAAAAAATATTCTGCATCTTTTAAAAAATCAGTTTTTTTTAAAGAGGCCTTGGATTGACTTTAAGGCGCAAAAAAGTTGTCTTTGTTGATTTAAAGTACAAAAATAATCGAAAAAAATCTTTTATTTTATTCAGAGTTGTCTCAAACATTTGATTTTCTATCTCTAGAATTTTTAATTAAATTTACTCAATTTATTCAAAAGTTTAATAATTTAAAAAAAATATCTTGTTAAATATTAAATATTAACTGAAATTTTCAAAAAATTTTAGCTTGAAATCTTCTGAAATTATTATTCCCAAAAATTGCTACTATAACTTTTCTAAAATACAATTATTTTCTAGAAATGTAAAGTAAAATTCTTTTCTACATCAATTATTATTTTTAATAATAGAAAAGTTCTTCAAGAGTTTAATTATTTAAAAAAAAGAAATTTTACTTATAATTTGTCTAAAATTCAAAATTTTATTTAATTTTTTATTCAATTTTACGAAATTTTAATTATTTGGAAATTTTTCAATAGAAAAAATATGTTTAGAAATTTCAAAAAGTTACTAATGAATAGCTAATTTAAAAAAAAATTTGAATTAATATTTTCGCTTAAAATTTTTAATTCAAATTATTAAAAATTCAAATCTTTAAAAATTTCGTGAAAAAATCTAGGAAAATTCAAAATTTTTAAATTTTTTTTTGAAACCTTCTGCAATTCAATTATTTCTTAAAATTACTACTATAACTTCTCTAAAATTAAATTAATTTCTAGAATTTGTGACTTGAATTGTTTTCTAAATAAATTATTTTCAATAATATCAGAGAAATTCTTTTAGAGTTTAATTACTAAAAAAAAGAAAATTCACTTAAAATTTGTTCAAAAATTTTGTTTTCAATTCAAATTCTACGAAATTTTGATTTTGCGAAAAATTTTCAATTATTCAAAAATTCAACTAATTTAAAAAAAATTTTAACTAAAATTTATCAGAAAACTAAATTTTTTCGAATTTTTAATTAAAAAAACTCAAAATTTAGATTTTAAAAAATTTTTGCCTTTGAAACATTTTGAAAATTAATTCTATATGAAAATTTCTACTATCACTCTTCCAATATTTAATTATTCTCTACAATTTTGTATCCAAATTCTTTTCTAAATCAATTATTTTTAATAATTTTTAGAAAGTTCACTTAAAATTTGTCTAAAAAATGCAATATTATGAAATTTTTATGTTTCGAAAAGTTTTCCAGTAAATACTTATAAGTTTAAATATTCAAAAAAATTACCAATAAATAACTAATTAAAAAAAGTTGAAAAAACTCGAAAAAGTTGATCCAAGGCCTATTTATTTATAAAATCGAAATAAAGAAAATCGAATTTTTTCCTATTTTGATTGTATAAAATTTTATAAATATTGGAAATTTCAATTTACGTCTTAAATAAATAAATATTAAATACAAAATTTTAACAGCAAAATACTATTTTAGTTTTCTTAATTCAGTAAAAATAATTCTCCAAAATTTTAAAACTTTTCAGAAAGAAATACTAAAAATAAAACTAAAATACTTTTTACTTTTTAAAAATAATAACTGAATATTTTCAAAAACATAAACTCACTAACAATAATTCAATTAGAATATAAAAAACATATTTTTAAAGCAAATATAAAATAGCAGTTAATTGGAAAAGAGCATAAAAGCAAAATTTTTCTCTCCAAAAAACAAATCCACACAAAAAAAGAATATTTTTTTCCATGATTTTTAAAAATTGATGCATTTTTATATTGTGAAGTTTTTTTCGGAGAAATGGTTTTTATCATATCAAGTAGTTTAAAAAAAATCAAATAAAAAAAACCAACTAAAGTGTTTTCAGATTATCGACATGTTCGATAGTTCTTTTTTTTTTTACTTGTTTTTGGTCAGTGACATCACAAATGTAGGGCCTCGCCACTCCCGATAATTGACAAGCCCGTTGAGCAGTTACTTCGCAATTTTCAGGATTGATATCGACGCATGCCACAATAACTCCCAACAGTGATAGTTGAATAGCTACTTCCCTTCCTACACCGCGACCTGCACCAATAACCTGCCGAGGGAAAAAAAAATATTGCTTCAATACTGTAAGAAACGTTCAAAAACTATGAACAAAAAATAAATTCAATTCTCTCCATTGACAAATAGAACCATCAATTTATGAAAGAGAAAAATATTTTACGACTATAAAAAATCAATTCGTTCAAATATTGAATCAAATGATTGATCCTTTTTAAACGGTGGTCATTGTTGAACAAAAAAGAAAGAAAGAAAGAAAAAAGCAGCAAAAAACAATTTTTTTGCGCGAAACATAAAATGTAGAATTTTTTAATTTGGACGTATATTTTTCAGTGAAATTGAAAATTTTTCTTTTTGCGATTTAGATATTTTTTTTTTTAAAAGGAGAATGGAACTGAAAATCCCAATAGGAGATTGATTAGTTCTTTTAATCTATCTTCTATCGTCTATATTAATAATCGTTCTATTCCGGTAATCTGTTCGCAGTTTGAAGTTATTTTTAATTTAGTTGTTTTCGTTTGCTTTTTGTTTCCTGCTTTTTTTGATAATTTCTCTTTTCAATTTGAATTTTAAAATTCATGAGATTTTAATTTAATACTTTGAAGATTAAAAATTACCAAAAATTAATTAAAGAAAATTGTTCTCAATTAAAAATAATTATTTCTTTCTTTTCGAATTTTCAATCTGAAATAATTGAATTCTTCTAAAGAAATTTATCCAAGTTTGTCAAAATAATCAAATATCTTGCGAAAAATTTAATTAAATTCTTTAAAAATAAGTTAATTCTTACGAGAAATTTAATTTGAATAATATTAAAAAAAAATTTAATTCATATAAAGAATTTAATCAAAATTTTTGAAAATAATTGAACTTCTGCGAAGAATGTTATAATTAAGATTTTTTTAAATAATTCAATTCTTTCCAGAAAAGTTATTAATTAATAATCTTTATTAATTTAATAATCTTGGTAAGAATTTTACGAGGAATTTTATTAAAATTGTATTAAAAATAAGTGGATTATAAAGAATTTTACACAAATTTTTCAAAATAATTGAATTTCTGCGAACAATTTTAGAAAAAGAATTAAATTCTTAATTTAAAGTGTTTAATTACACTTTTTCTTATATAAAGAGTTTTATTAAAAGTTTTCAAAGTAATTCAGTTTCTGCGAAGCAATTTACTAAAATTCTTTAAAATAATTAAATTCTTGTGAAAAATGTTATAAATTATAAAAAAAAAATTAAAATCTCGCTAAGAATTTAATTAAATTTTTCGAAAATAATTGAATTCTTTCGAGGAATTTAATTAAAATTGTATTAAAACATATTTCAATTCTGATAGAAAATTTAATTTAAATTTTTCAAAATAATTAAACTTTTGCTAAGAATTTTATTAAAATTTTAAGAATAATTGAATTAAAGTTTTTGAAAACAATAAATAGGTAATTAGTAAATTAGTTAATATTTGAATTCTTAAAAATTTTGAATCTAAAATTATTTCAAAATTTAAATTAATTAGAATTAATAGTACTAGTTATTAATACATTTTTTAAAAGAAATTTAATGAAATTTTAATAATGAATCAATTTTTAACGTTTAAGTTGATTATATTCAAAATTTCAATAATTTTAATCAAATTCTTTTTATTTTAATCAAATTCTTGTTTTGCTGAAATATTTTTTTTACCATTGCAACTTCGCCATTGAGACTTTTTAGAGGCGGTGGTTTAAATGTTCTGTAGAAAGCGACCAAAATTGCAAACCATATTCCCACTAGAAGGGTAATGAGATCCAGTGCAAGGACAATTAGAGAGTAAATCCTGAGTAACATTTCTGGTGGTTTAATTTTTTGCAAACTACCCTGAAAAAGACATTTTTTTATCAACAAAATTTTCCATAAAATTGAAGTTTTATTTTTACGATTACAAAATCTATTTATACATTTATTTTTACCCTATATAAATAGATTTTTTTATATTATAAATAACATTTTTTTGATAAATCCCCGTCAATATTCTGTAGAGAGTAATTTTATATACTTTTCAATGAACAAAAATCTTTAAAAAATTCACAAACATCAAAATAAATAATTAAAAAAAAACAGTAGTGAATCGCATATCTCTCCAATTATTAGAAACAATGAGATAATAAAACAATTGATAAGCTTTACTCTTAATTTTTTCTGTGATAATATTATTAAGAACTTACCATTTCGAAAAAGTAATGAATTCAGTAATTAATAATTAAAGGAAAAATAAACAATTTGAACCACGTGCTTTGAAGAAACAAATATTATAATTTTTTTAATCCTCGGCCCTGATGGGGAACTTTAGAAGACAAAGTCAGTGTGAAGAGTGATAATTGAATTAAAAAACATTTGAGAAAATTTTTATTCAAGTGTCAGTCAGTGTGATATGCAAAAATTCAATACTGTTTACCTTTTATCTTTTATGGCTCATATGTTAAGTTTATATTTTTTTCTCGCTGCATTTAAAGTAATCAGAATTGATTACGCATTAATCAAAGTCGACCTCATCACAAAACAGTATATATATTTAAAAAAAAGAAATCAAAAAAAAAAATAACAACAAACACTTACAGTAAAAATGTACTATAACGGAAATGTATGGGTAATTAAGCGGAAGTTTATTTCATATAAGACAGAGCCATCTTACGGATAAATGTCTCTTGGTTTATTTATTCAAATTTGCAATAATGTGTGTGCTTAAACTTTTTTCTAGGTGAAAAAGAAAAAAAGCTCATTAACATAAAAATACAACCTCCCTTAAAGATGGAAAGTGGAAAATGGAAATAAAAGAAATAGAAATAAAATAACACAAAAAATGATTTTAAAAAATGTTTAAAATAATATAAAAATTTTTTCTATCGATTGTTTAACACTTTTATGAATTTAACATAATTTTAATATAATTTATGCATTAAAAAATATTAGCCAAAGTGTGTAAAAATTTGAAATTAAATGGTATTTCCCGCGTTTGCGTAGAGGAAGAAAACTTGACGCATGCGCAGGAAACAGTACGGACAGCTGATTTTTCGGATTTTTCTGACAGTAGTACACAGAGAAATTTAGTGTTTTTTATTAAGTTAATTTTTATATTATTAACAATTAAACTAATTCAAAATGTGGTGGGAAGCACTTCCTCCTATGCTTATTATTGGTGGAGCTTTAACTCTTGCTTATGAAGCTTCGAGAGGAATTAATTTATTGATTTTTGGAGTTGTAAGTATTATCGTGCTTACATAACCTTTTTTGCTCGTATATATTAATTTGTCATTTTCATCTATGCTCTTTATTTATTTTAACAAAACAATAAATTTATTTATTATCGAAAAATGAAATACATCTTATTACAGCCTTACAAGAGGGTCCTTCATTCTGGTTTTGAGAGAAGAATGCTCGTTCGCGATGAACGAGTAAGTGGTTCTCCTTTTGTACCTTTGGTAAGTTATTAATATTATAATTAAAGTATGTTTTAATTTACAAATGCAATTTTCAATTTTGATAAATATTCCAAATTATTACGATGTTCCCCATTATTTTTATATACTTATACATAAGTTAATTTTAAAATTTTTAGTCGCCTTTGCAAATAATGAATTATTCCATTTTCATTTTTATATTTGGAATTATTTAATTATTTGCTATAACAGTGGAAAAAATTAGCTTTAAGGGGATGTCAAAGTCGATGCGATTTTCCCATTGAAGCTCAATGCAAAAATCCAATCGACTTTGACATCCCCTTAATATTCATTTAAGTATCTAAATAATTTTAGAATTAAATATTAAATAAAAAAGTAAAATAAACTGTCCAAATAACAATAAATAATAATAATAAAAAATAATTAAAATATTTCGTAATTAGTTACGAAAAATGTGAAATACAATTCTTGATTAAATTTACTTTAAGTAAATATTTATGTTAATAAATATTTATTGAAATATATATTTATGTGAATTTTCACATGTATAATTTACATTTTTTCTTAATTCCGTTGCAGGGTCTGGACAGTCTTTCGGACGAACCGGGAAAAGTTAAATAAAAATGTAGAATAAAACAGTAATATATATATATATATCTAATTCTACTTAGGAAATATACAATAAATTACTTTCGAACTGTAAGGCTATGATTTTAAATATTTTCGTTAAAAAGTAATCGTTTAATTGAAAAAAAATAAAAACAATTAATTATACTATTCGAATGTTATATTCTATCGAATATTATTTTTAATTATTATTTAATATTATTTTTAATTATTATTTTCGTTTACTAATTATGCTAAAACTTAATACATTTCTAAAAAATAAAAGTCTCTAAGGAATTAAAAGAATCCTTTTTTCTTTAATTTCGGATTATTTCTAGATTTTGCTCCAGTCGTTAAAGGACTGGATATTTTTTTTGAAATTTTGACTATTTTTTCTGTTGGTAAATATTAAATAAACTAAATTAAATATTTAATATTATTCTATTATTAAATTTTTATAGAATAATATTTAAAATTAATGTTTTTACATTGAATATCTAGTATTTAATTTAATATTAATTTAGAATTTTATAAATATTTAATTTAATTTTACATTGAATTTCACTTTTTGATTAAATTGTCGAATATATTAATTTAATTTTCAGTGAATATTAAAAAACATTCTAAAGTAATTAATAAGTTATTTTTAATTTAAAATTGAAAATTATTTTTTTCTATTCTTACTTTTTATAGTCGAATTTATTTATCTCGAAAGTCTTTTATTTCTTTCAAATAATTTATAATTTAATTATTTTTTATTATTATTATTTACTAAACACAAAGAAAGAAAAGTAAGTAAAAAACAAATTTCTAATATCAAAAAATGGGTTAAAGTCTATTGAACTCAATATTATCCATTGGGAATAGACGTTAGTAAAAATAAAACAAAAGTATAAATCATTTTTCATCTTCGAAAAGAGCTAAAGGATCCTCTTATATATAATAGAATTTCTTTTCTAAAATGAAATCCTCTTATCCGAAATAAGAAACCAAACCCTTTAATTGTACCGTAGATGTTATTCTTTTTTTTTTTTTTTGAAATAGCAAATCTCTTATTATAGTATTTTATAAAAAAATTTCACTCAATTTACATATTATTAAAATAATTAATATTTATTCAGCTTTCAATGACAGTAACATTAAATAAAATATTTAATATACACAATATATATGAAGTCGCACGATGCTGAAATGAAAAGAATTTATGAGTTTTATTGAAAAAAGGATTACGTTCAACGTCTTTCCTGTAATACAATGTGCCCGTGCCTTTAGAAGCTTCCGGTTTTTTTCTACTCTCCCAAAGCGAATTTATTTTGCTACTAAATACCAATTTTTAATATTTAAAACTAAATTGAATTTTAATGAAAGAGCATATTTCATTTTTATTAATTTTTCTTATAGTGCATTAATTATTCTAATGTTATTTATTAATATCTGTTATTTTTTATTAATATTTACTATTATTATAATTGTGTACTATTAATATTTATTATTAATTACTATTATTATTCATTACTTCTAATTATTAATTATAAATTGCTAATATTAATTAGTAATTATTAATATTAGAAGAAATTTAATTAAAAATCTAAGTAAATTGAAATTTTTTTTCTACAGTTATTTTTTCTTTTTAAAAGGGAATTGAATGAAAAAACAGATTATTTAGTAATTATAGTTAATTAATGATTATTGTTAATAGCAAATGATACGCGCGGAACGCTGTATTCCAATTATTATTATTTTGTAAACTAAAAAATACTATATTTTCAAGAATTTTAATATCAATTAATTATTTTAAACATTTTTTTTTTAAATTCTTTTAAAAAAATCATTATTTTCAAAATTTTTAATAAAATTCCTTAAAAAAATTAATTACTTTCAAAAATTGAGATAAAATTCTTCAGAACAATTCAATTATTTTTATAAATTGTAAAATTCTTCGAAACAATTCAATAATTTTTTTAAATAAAAAAATTGTTCGCAAGAATTGAAATATTTTTATAAATAATAAAATCCTTGAAAAAAATTCAATTATTTTCAATACAATTTTAATAAAATTTCTCAAAAGAATACAATAAATTATTTTTAATAATATTATTTAAATTTAATTATTTTCAAATGTTTTAATAAAAATTCAATTATTTTCAACAATTCTGATAAAAAATTCTTCGAAACAATTCAATTATTTTTATAAATTGTAAAATTCTTGGCAAGAATTCAATTATTTTCAATACAATTTTAATATAATTTTTAGGAAAAAAATCAATTATATTCATGATAATTTTAATAAAATTTTTCTAACGGGTTAAATTATTTTTTAAAATTGTGATAAAATTTTCCTAAACAATTCAATTGTTCTCAAAAGTTGTTAATAAAATTCTTTGTAAATTTCAATTATTTTCAAAATGTTCAATTAAAATTACTAAAAAAATTACAATATTTTAACGAAATTTAATAAAATTCTTCAGAAAAAAAGGATTTATTTACAAAAAACTGATAAAATTGATTAAAAGAATTTAATTTTCTATGAATAATTTTAATATAATTTAATAAGAAAATTGTTAATTACAATTAATAATAAACACGATTATTTTAAAAACTTGAAAGAAATTCTTCATAAAATTCAATTATTTTCAAAATTTTCAGTAAAAATTATTTAAAAAAAGTTCATTATTTTAAAGAATTTCAATAAAAATCTTACAAGAATTCAATGATTTTCAGTACATTAATTTAAAAATGTTAAACATTTAAAAAGAAAAATAAATTTTAAAAAGTTAGGAAACAAAAAAGCAAATAACAATTAACTTCAAACTGCGAACAGATTACCGGAATACAACTATTAATTACAAATTACTAATTAATTAGTAATTACATTAATAGTAAAAAACTTGAATTAAAAAAATATTAATTATCATAATTACTACTAATTATTAAATAGAATTGAATAATTATTAACTACTGATTATTATGATAATTATTACAATATTATTAATTATTAATATTAAATCAATAATTTATTAACCACTGATTATTATTAATCAATATTAATTATGAATTACTTATTAATTAGTACACTGAAAAAATAGTTATTGGAGTCAATTAAATGGTATTTGCTTCAAATACTACAATTATTGGTTCAAATACCATTTAATTGATTCCAATAAATATTATTTGATTCAATTAAATATTTAATTGATAATAGTCAATTAATCAATTATTTGAATCAAATAAAATTTTTTTTAGTGTAATAATTATTATTAAAATCACAGTTTTTCTAAGAATACAAGAATACGAAGCAACGTTTTGATTCGTTTTTTGTCTCAATTTAATATTCTTAGAAAAACTGTGAGTAAAAAATTTTAATTCTAAAATAAAATTAAACTGAAATTTATTTTTTTGATTATAATTATTATTCGGTTTTTTTTTTTAAGAAAAGGGAATTGAAGGATAAAATAGATTTTCGCTCGTAATTGAGAAAAAAGGGGCAAGATTGTATAATGATAATGATAGTTTTCTAAAATTCAAGGGTAAATTGTATTTTTCACA